CAAATAAAAAACTTTTCTATACAAGAAATTTATTTTGTTCGTTCAGTTTGTATGACAGCTATATGCTATAGTACTTCGATATCGACGATTCCGACAAATGTGCAGCTTCTTGAGGAGAAAAGAACATATGCAAAATTTCAGATTGTTATCTCAAAAATTAAGAGACTAGTTCGCCAATAGAGTAATGTCGTCACGCTAATCATTTATTTATATATACAGTTTATGTGGTTTCCGACGTTTCATTCTGGGTGTGACAAACTTCGTAACAAATTTAATATACTCTGTTCAGGGTATAATTAATGGTTTGTATTTCCTGACCAGACAATTTAATTAACATATAAACTAAAATCAGAAATACCTTAATAAAATCACAAAGGTTATGCGACAATTCGATTATTCGAAAACCAAGCACAAAAACAAATTATGCTTCTATTTAAAATTTATGAAGAAGTTAAATTAAATTAAAACCTCCGTTAAAAGCTTTCGCTTACATAAAAAAAGCGCTGCATGAAGCGTTAATTAAAACTCGACAGATTTCCCATTAAAGTTCATTATACTAAAAAAATTATTAATGCGAAAAATGTAACGGTAATGTATAAAAAGTGTTCGGTTTATGATTACAAAGTTGCTCGAGCAACGCGCAATACCGTTACACACACAATCATCGAATGTAGCATACATAACAATACTCACTAACACAGGATAAGCCTTTTGTAGATGTGTATTTAAGCGGAATTTCAACGAGTACTTTTTCAAATACTAGAAATATATACAGAAGTAATATATGTTATTATATGTGGCATGAGGTATGTGGCGCAAAGGCTCGTCAGCGCAGTAACGCAATAGCCTTGTGTGTTATCCAATGAACTAACTATATATATACATATACTAGTACTGTATATACTATAACTAGGCAAATTAATGTGCACATACATGTATGTGTGTCTGTGTGTTTTTGCATGAAGTACTCGTATTTATAGACCGAAATGGGTGCGCCACGCTAATTAATATCTCCAACATTTCAACCTTCTCCACACGCACACATAATTACTCAAACGTGTTGCTATGTCTTGCGTGGGGGTATGTGTTGGGAAAATACTTTTCATCCTTTGTTGAGACGCTCATATGTTTAAATATGCTTAACGTATTAATTATATAAGTGAAATGTCTCATTTTAATGCTTGCGTAGACGCAAAATATTTGCCTGTCATTCTACCATTAATACTTGTCATTGATATTTGCGTATGTTACAAACATACACAACATATAGAAATATATTAATAAATAATAATTACTAGTGGTAATTATTAAATAACGTGCTTCACACTACTATAACGGTTCTTTAAACGTTTTTTAATGCGCTGAATTTTATGCTACACACTTTTCGTTCATCGCTGATCTTAAAAAGTTCTGTTTGATGTTATAGTAGACGCAAAAAATTACATAATATTATAAAGATTGTAATTAGTGCAGAAACATTTTGTTTACAAAATTTTATATAACAGCGCATCTATTATTTATTTGAAAACTCGTGGTGTTCCTACTTATATAACATGCATTATATATCTTAAAGGGTTTTATCGATTTGGAAATTAAAAAAACTCAACTTTTTTTGAATGCATATCGAATGTATGGTATGTATATATGTTTGAAAATATTATCCGACAATTTTAAGTTGATCCGGAAAACAGTTTCGTAGATATGAGCGTATTTGTAAGAATTTTTTAAATAAGTGTAAGCCGGTGAATAAAATTTTTTCAATCAGCTGGATCGAACGGCTTGAAGTTTTCACATAAGATTATTTGATATAAATGATATATGTGATCGAAGGAATAAGATGTTTGTAATAATTTCGATTTTTTCAACCCCTGTGAAGTATACATTTTTCCACAAAAATCGATTTTTATTTTTGTCAAATCTTCCGTACAGCTCGAGACCTTTTTTCGTAGGTCCTCCTGTAGACAAAGGAATCCAAAATTTTTTTAAATCTATCACCTATTGCACAGGTCAAAAAAAAATTTTTTTCGCGCATCGGCTTTACTTAATATATTCTGTTTATATAAGCAAAGATACATGGAAAATGACGATTATAAAGGTAGAGCACGGGAGTTAGTGTAGCTTGCAAGGCTCATGATGTACGACAGTATGTGTTTGCACATTGCAGAGGACTTATATGCTATTTTCGCGATGCAGAATAGTTTTCCTATATTTGCGACGAATTTATTCAAATTAGAGAGAAAAAGTATGATTTAAGTAAAAATGTAAAGACTTGCGAAGAGCAATGAAGATTGAAGTTTGAAGTAACCAGATAATCGTCACTCAGACTGTCAGTTTAGCATTGTTACTCTACTCAATGGTAAAAATTAATTTTAGCCTGATCTGACATGGTTTCCTAGGGCTGGTAATTACGACGCGCCGATACACCATTATCGGATGTAGATGCTTATGTTACATTCTCATTTAGTTAAATTTAAAAATATTATGGAAGCTTATTCGAAAGAAAAAGGATAACGCTTCATCAAAATAGCGTTACCACGGCCAGTATACTAAAAGCATGATGGAGGACTATATTTGGGGTTTAACAAGAGCAACTTATACGGAACATGATATGAAAAGTAAAACTATACAATTTTAAACATTTGAAGTCTGTTGTAAGAATGAATCACAAATGGATGATCGTTATCTTTTAATAATTTATTTACATGTAAAATTTTTGCGTATTTTAATTAAGTTGAATTTTTGCATTTTTTATACATACAAGTAAAAGCAAATTCAGAACTATTTATTATTCTTATTATGAGGTATAAAAGCAAAAATTAAGTAGACGGTGTTATAAAAGTTCATGAAATTCCGAAAATTTAGATTCATTTTATCATTTAATTAATAAAATGCTTCTTCAAAAATAGTTCACAAAGAAACGCCTCTTTTCTAACTTGCAAGTGGATATAACCCCTAAGCAAGACTTAGCACATAGCGGGATATTGAGAAGCAACTCAGCTAAGTAAGTAGAAGTTAACGAACGGTAATGCCTAAAAATGTTTACTTCTTTGTTTTCCTGAGGCTAAGAAGACATTCCTCATACATAATGTTTTGGTCAAATTTTGCTAAACGAATCAATAAAACAACTTATTTATATAAGTACGTAACCTAGACTTTGCCACTTCAGGTTTCCTCACATTTTCTCTGGCTTTCAATTTTTTTGTTTGACTGGCGACAAAACTCAAACAAAGCGAGTATGGTACGCGTTGAATGAAAACAAGCAGAGAATATTTAAGGAAATAAATAGAATAATTTCGTGCAAAACCATATAATTACTATTTGTTTGGCTACAGAATATCAGTATCGACTTTTATTCGTGATAGACTAAAATTATATGAGATAGCAGCCCATATAAAATTATGACAAATGGGTTAGCTCTGTTACCACTATACAATGAAACATTAAGCTAGTTTAGTTTTATATATTCCTGTCTGAACTATAACTAGGTGGAAAAATATATACAATATACTAGAGATAATTCATTCCTCTTTATCCTATGAATGTAATATTGACTCTATAAACTCATAGTCTAATCGAATGCTTATTTAGACCAAATGTGGTTGCTGAGAAACTCAAGTAACGATTTTCCAACAAAGCTGTAAGTTTTTAATTTATATCTCACGCTGGAATAGAGTAACCCCTTGCCAAAACCAAAAATCTAAAAATAATACAAAATATATATTTTAAATAAAATGCCAAAAATAATATTTTTAAAAGCTTTTCTTTTATCAAAAAAATTTCGAAAACCTATAGTTTGGACATATTTTTGAACTAAATAAAAAAAAAATAACATTTAAACGATTAGAAGATGAAGACTTTAAAACAGCCTGGTTTCAAATACCCGAAATAATAATATTATTTATTCTGCTTGATTTTATACCGCATATAGTTTATAGGTATAGTATGGTAATATATATTTAAATTTACTTGAATAGAATTAAGAAAATAAAACTATTTGTTTATTTAGTTTGGTGCACGAATTTGAAAACTCACACTTTTTCTATTGCTGTTTTTTAGCGATAACTTGTATTGTCCTCAACAAGGTCACACAGTTGCTATGACATGACTTCGCATTTGAAAACGATACAACAGCGCTTGCCCCCTTTATTTGACCAACTTATCAGCAGTAGTGCAAATATTTTTTTATACTCGCGCATTGGGTAAACGTTGTAAATATTGTTATAGTCGTTATTGCGAAAATATATAAATTAATTTGCCGATAAATGATAACACTTGTCAGCATTTAGGAAAAAGCAATCACTTACACAGCTGTTACAATTCCACGAATACCAACACAAAGGTTACCTGCAGGTAAGCATATATTTAGGCTCTAACGATGATGCAATAATGCCAAACAATAAATTTATTTAAGTAGTTTCACTCATAAATTTCAACACGTGCAAGTTATTGAGTATAATAAATATTGCTGCCTTTTTACAGCTTTTTTCAACTTCTTTTTTTAACACTGAAATTTATCCTTATCAGCGCGGGTGTCAGTTAGAATAGAACAAAGCGAGCGAAAAGTTAGTTAGTTCTACCGGTATAATTGCCTGAAATTAAAAATGTATGCAAAACGTGCACACGTTCTAATTAAAGTGTGCAAACAGTACCACTTAGTTCACACACACCCAGCATATCCGCCTAAATGTATGCAATACAAGGTGTTTGCATTCACACACACTTATGCACTTACATGTGTGATTCAAAGATTTAAAATATTTATATACACTTTATAGTGCACTTGTTACCCTAAACACACACACACACATATATAGACATATAATATTAGAGTGAATCAAAAAAAATAAGGTTTTTTTTCGCTTCGTACTCTGAAAAATTGGTTGATAAACAGCTCTAAGAAAGGCTTTCCTAGTATGAGCTCTTAATTGTTACATTCGTTATTATTTTAACCCACCCTAATATATATATTCTCACAGCTAGTATTTCAAAGTGCAACTTACTTCTTCACTACCACCAACAATGTAACTATAGTTAGAGCACATACAAGTATATGTAGCTGCACAGCTCAGTTTACTACGGTCACGTGCTCTCCCTAGGCGCACCGTTGTTGCAACAAATAATCGAGGTTAGCCTGCAGCACTAGCTGTAGGCATGCAGCTCGTATTCCTAGCGGCCCACTTTCAGGCCGATAACTGCAATACTAATTGTGTTAAAAATCATGCGAGGCTTGCAGCAAACCCAACGCAACGGTTCAACACTGACATTTAATATGCGAAACAGGTGCACTAGTTCCGACTGTCACAACTTGTCTGCCTTACAGCGCCGCAGTGTTTATGTACTCACTAGTTTCAATTTGACTTTTGGCTCCTAAATGTAGGCTATGCCGAGTAGAGCAATTGTCAGGTCACATGTAAGGGGCCGGCAATTTCAAATGTTTGAATCACACGATTTTTTAAATATTTTTTTTTGGTTTTTTTGGTAAATACAATTAAGTAGGCGTGTATATACAGACGATTTGTGGGCGACAGCTGAATGTAGAACGGAATTTTTTAAACACACGGTAAAGCGACGTTATATGTGGGTGCGCTTAGAGCAAAACTTTTAAATTGATATATTTTTCCATTTATATATGTATATATAACACTGTGATTTAAATTACACTTGCAGTAGTGTTTTATATATAATTATGTCAATTTAAATTGAAAAGTTGTATTGACAAACACTTTAAAACAAATTTTTATGATCATTACTATAACAACTTCATGCTAATTTTCATGTTTTCACTAAATGTTTTGTTAATTTTTTGCTTATTTAACTTTTCTTAATAATTTTTTTATTTTTCAATTCTTTTTTTTATTTCTTCAAAATATTTTTTTATAAAAAAATTTTTTTTTTATTAAATTAATTAATTTTTCTTTAATTTCTTTATATTTACTTTAATTAAGCAAACACAAAAATTGTTTTTATCTACCGATCTCAAATATTTTCAATTATTCTGCATACACCAACAAACTCTCAACCACACATTATTGTATTTTTGTTTTTCAAATTAACTGTTATCCACAATATCCGTTTCCTTTGCTCGGTTTTGTTAAGCCAGCGTACGTCTAACGACTATCGCATCCCGACATAAACTGAAATTTCTAGTGTTGCATGCAACATATAAAAATCATTTCGCTGAGCTTTTAATAGCCGCCTTTAAATATTTTTGCTACAGCTGGTCACCTTAGCAGAGCTTAAAGCTTAGCGTTTAAGAGTAATATACATTGCATATCTTAAGGCGTTGGAGCGAACTCATTGTTTTTGTTTACGAATTGCTAGCACAAAGCAGTTGACCAAAAACAAAAGCAAGCAAAGAGCCAAATAAAATAGAATAAAACAGCCAATATAATCTATTTTGGTATGACACGCCGAACAGCGTCGGCTAAATGTATGGTAACAAACACATGTTGCTTCAACACGTAATCGGCCATAGCCTGAACTTTTTTGGCATTGTGGTAGGCAACGGCGACAAGTGCTCTGCGATGTAACTGTGAAAATTTGAAACTTTACTAACACTGTTTTATTTGCAGGCGATTATTTGTTTTTATTTCAATTTTTTGACTTAAATATGATAAATGATTTATTTCTTCTGTGTCTTTTGTTTCTATTTATGAATAAATAGATATAATAGAATTGAATTGAAAATAAGAATTCTACCTAATTTAAATTTTATAATAAGCAAATCTTCCTTAGCTATAAGGAAAATCCTACAAATATAATATAAAGGCTTGTAGATTTGATTTTGCCGAGATTTTGCCTATCCATAAAAGTTCTACTTAAAGAGTTCCATCAAAATTTATTAATTTACATATACAAGCAAATTCAGTTCGAAGAACGATCGGCAAACGAGAGGAGTGCTTTTTACGGTCTATATATATACCATACATATAAGAGATGCAGCTGTGTCATATTTGGGCAAACAAGGATTTTTAACAGCTGAACTTGGCTAGTTCGAAGTAAAATAGTAACTCAACATTCTCGACCAAGTCGCCTATGCTTAAAAATAGTGTTTAACGATTTTTCGTACGAAAACCGATTGAGTTGAAGTTACGAGGTGTTTGCATATATATGTATACCAGGTAGCTAAAAAACATATATTTGATTTGATGGACATAGCTGACGTTCTAAAGATAGATAAAGGAAAGTGTTGGGCATATGGTTCAACAATATGTAAGGCGTGTCAAAGGAGTGCTGAGTGAGCTCACAATTGAGCAACGCATAGTGTCACAAATCAATAAAAACGATGGCTTAACCGAATGGATTTGACTTTAAATTGCTTCTGCATTCAGCACATTCTCCACATCTGTTCTTGTTCTCAGTTCTCAGGAAAATAACCCCTGGAAAGAAATTGCCAAGAGTGAAGTCTGTTTTGAAGCAAATACCATTCTCACTACCAAATAATGTTAATAATAATTTGACCCGGACTGAACAAAAAACTCATTTCCACGTATTTTAATTAAAATATTTATTATTACCTTCAAAATAGGCTACTAAGCATATAAAAAAGTTTTTCTCACGTTTGCTATAAGCCTCGACTCGGATGGCCTTCAGAGCCTTCAGCGAATTTCGATTTTTTCGGTTTCGGATATTTTTATAGCGCCATTCACTGGGATGTTGGACAATTTCGACGTCATTTTCATAAACCTATGTCACTTATCATCACGTTGTCGAGCATCTTTTTTGTGACCTCTACCCGACCTCGTTTTTGCAAATGATTCAGATCTTTTTGTATGTGTCTCTCATTGATACGTTTCATGCCCTAAACAATAACTAAATTGTGTTGAGTCAACTGATAAGAGATTTTGAGATCCAACACGACGATTTTCAAACATTGTTTCTATAACTTTTTCGATGTTATCGTCTCTAATAAAGTATAAACGACTCGCATGCAACCAGCTATCGATGACTTTAGGACTTTTACTGAGTTCTTTGAGCCATTGAAATATTTGTTCAAACTTCACACGAACATAAAAGAGTTGTACCAATCCAGGAAACAATTTATGATGGATTCGGTAAACAGTAAATTCGGTAAATTTGATCTTGAGTGTATGTCGGATTGCCTTATTGCTTATTGGATTGTCTTCTGACAATTTGTAGTCAAGCCAATCTACATACACTACATACAAGGTACAATATAGGTATATGTGTACTTTCCTTCCTCATTGCTGATTAAGAGAATTCCGATATATATACAATTTATACTTTTTGAGCGGGTTGTAGTAAAAACAAATAAAACTTCATTCGCATCACGCAAAAGCAAGCGAAAACTATAATTTTTATAAGTACAAATTTCTTTTAAAATAAATGTGTGTGTATGTTTAAAGCTTATATAGCGAGGTGCTAAACGTATATTTAACACTGATTAAATTTCATGAGAATTTTTCGTTTATTTTTTTTTGTTGTATTGCAATGAATTTATTGCAGTCTATTATGAGATATTACAATCGAATATGTATTCATGCTAATATGCAAATACGCACGTATGTATGTGGTTGTATATATATATATATATATCTAGGCTTATACTTAATAATATAATATATAATATGTGATTATAATTCTAATTGAGCAGTGTCAGATTGAGCTGGCTGAATATCAAGTCATCGCCGATTTTTTCCGTTTGTATGAACGCAGTCGAGGTAATAATTACTGTTACTGATTGTTGAATAATCACTGGTGCAAAATATTTATTGTATATTGGGCGCTCCGGATTGTTTGAACTACAAGTACAAGAAGAGCATGTACACTACTTTTGTTTTAGGCAGAGCAAGCCGACAATTACTTACGGACAACAAATGATTTCCTCGTATACCGTATAGCCGCAGTGACCCACATCTCTGGCTAGTAGACCTTTTCTAGTCATCGTAGCCTCTAAATGCGGGCATTGCTTCTCCACCAAACAGGTGCCATCATAACTGTTTGTAACGCACTCATCGCCCTCTGGTGAAATAAATACATTTTTTTTAAATTAAAAATTTACGATTTTTTTCCTAGAGATGATTGCTTTTCTTGAAACTCTGTTATCACTTTTCACTAATACAATCAACCGCACTTTCTACTCACCATACAACACCACTTCTGGCGGCTTTGCCTGGGTTAGGCAGAAAATGGACACTAGTAAGAAGACCGACAGGTAGCAAATTTTTTTCAACATGTTTACCATTATTTTATATAGGCACTAATAATAAAACTTTATTTAAAAGTTTTTAACTTTTACTGTTACGTTTAGCGGTCTTAAACGAGCAACGAACCAAAGCTTACGGCAGTAGCGAGACAAGTGAAACAAATCTTCGCGTACGGAGCATGTTGGCTTCTGCGGCGGCTAACGTTGTGGGAGCAAATATACTTAAGGGAGTGTGTAGATAAGAGTATTCATCTGAAACCGGTTTTTTAAGAAATAGACAAGCTGCGCTCTTTGTTATTCTTTAAACTTAACCGAGAATTTCCTATAGAGTTGCCAGTTCTGTTAGAAATGTTGGTCTTTGTTAGCTAGATTATATGATACTTATCGAACAGAGATCTTCATATGCCTTGTGAACATCCTTACTAGAAATTTATGGTAGAGCCGCGTCCAAATAGCTAATGGGTTTGAGGTTATTCAAAATCGGAAGTTTTGTCTGTCGAGGAACTTTTAGAAAATTCGTTACTGATGTACGGTTGATAATCGGTATCGAATACAAGATCTTTCCCACACTGAGATCGAGATCAGAGTCAAGGCATGTAGATATGTTATTTTAGTCATATACCGCCTCTAAGCTCCATAAAATATTTTTCTGATAATAGCTCATCGAAGACCCAAAAGGAAGTTGAGGTCACAATAAAATTATAAAAAGTACATAGTAACGAACGAACCATGGTTTTGTGTGTAAGAACCCAAATCTAGACACCAGCCAACTATTTCTTACGTTCCACCTTGAGCAAGAACACAGACGTTTTCCTGTCTTTTTGGTATTAATGGTCGGTAGAATGGATAGTATGGTATTAAAGAGTTTTTGCAAAAACTCTTTTTAAAAACCGTTGGAAGTATAAAACTGATCAGAACATAATTCACCAAAACAATGTGACATCGAAGTATTTGAATCTAAAACAATTTAAAATTTGTGTACCAACCGCATTAGTGTTCTGATCCTACAAACTAGGGTCAAATATTGTCGTGAAGAGACGAAACGTTTGACACACTAAAATCGCATGTTTCGCAGTTGGTTCCATTGCACTGAACAAAGTGCTGAGGAGAAATAGGTTAAAACACCAAGCCTCGAGAATACAAATATTTCAAAGAAATACTAACACCGTTTTCCGCCAACAATATTCACTTATAGAAAAAAGTAAAAAAGAAATTGTAGCACTTTGGCAGCACATTTGTAACTCTCATTCTTTTGTGTTTGTTTTGAGCAAAACCAATTATTAAATTTTTTTTAATATTTGTTTCAGCTCCCTATGAGGGCATGATAAACCAAAGCCCAAGCACCGCGACGAAACATACCTTAATTCGTACATACGATCCATAAGATATACTGAGAGAAGAAAAGAGACAAATATGAATTTTGCGCTCCTGATTATTTATTTTTTCTCATCTTAATTATGATTCATCATGAAATCCCCAAAGTCGTTAGCTTACAGCTGATGGATGATGAAAGAATCTCGGGGAAATCCGGCCAAATTTTAATATTATCGTTTATTTCAAAGAAATAGCAGCAAAAATGAGATAGTGATAAGCTACTATTATAATTTTTAGCGGAATTGCTTTACTGTGGCTTGAACTACTTAAAATATGTTTTCAATTACTTTTCAGAGAATTGATAACAAAGTTATTTTTTTACCGCCATACATAAATAATATCTGACGTAAATTAACCCTTACTGGATATTCTTTCGCATGGCTTGATTTTAATTTTTGTTTGTTTTTCATTTCATTTCAAGGCGCTGTTGCCAATTTTTCTCGAGGATACATTGATTGATCGAAATAAATTTTCAACGGCACCAATAAAGACCGCTTTGGGTCTCATTCAATTCGCATTTCAGCTTTTGTATGAATGTGTATCTTGGTTTACCAATAAAAGAACAGATGATATAATTATACTGGATATGAGGTCTAGAGATTGTTCACAGATTCATCCGAAAAATATGTTCTCTTAATGTCATGACTTGCCTAAGAAATTGATCTATATACATCTGCTCAAATTGACCCAAAAAAAAAAACTTTCCTATCGCCTTCAAAATAGGCTCTTGAGACAATACAAACATTCCAACGATTAATCAAATTGTCAATACGCTTGTTATAAGCATCAGCCTATACGTCGTGTTTGAAAAATATTCTGGTCTAACAATGATACGCTTCATACCGAAACATTAACTAAAATGTGCTGAGTCGATCCATTAAATATGTTGAGAACCTCTGCTATCTCTCTGATGCCAACATGGACACTATCAAGCACTTTTTCTTTACATTTTCGATGTTATCGTCATAAACAGAGGTGAGAATGGACCATAAGCAGTTTAGATGGACCAGTTCGGGTCAAATTTGATCAGATAAACTAGCCGGAAAAGTTAGATGCTCTTATGTTCCATACTAAGTATAAACCTCAACATTTTACCAAGGTGCCAACATGTGTATCTTGGTAATATGATTAAGGTAAGTTTTTAAGTTATCGATTGCATCACGAACGGTTGGATGTATATCGGAAACAATTCGTCTCGTCATCCTGTTTGTTTTAATAGATGTATATAATTTTACAACTATAACGCTTAGTTTTAGTATTATAACTAAACTATTGTATTTGTAAGGCAACTTTTTCCGGGAGTAAAAAATATTTATTCAAAACTGAATTTGGTGTTTCTTTATTAAAATGTTTTCTTCGGACCGATATATTATAATATAAATTCATGCATTACTTAATTTAATTTTTGTCTCCTTAACTAGTTTAGAAAATGTATGGCAATATGGTGGTTTCGTATTTTAGAGTTATCACTTCCGAGAAGGTAAAGCGTAAAATATCGTCAAATCTATCCACTGGGCCAAACGATGCTCTCGATCCAGTCCAAAAAGGAAGACACGCGGCTGTAAAGACCAGGTGTGGAACTGCCACAGGTAAATCCAGCCGAAATAACAGCAACTACACGATATTTGTTTAAAGCCTCGTCGACAACCAAATTCAGCGGACCGCCTGAGTCACCCTGGCAGGCATCCTTTATTAAGCCAGGGTCATGCGCGCACATCTGACTAGCGATGATACCTTCCCTATTGCGACGTGTCAACCCGCTGTCCACGTAACTTTCATTACATTTCGAGTTGTCGACGATCGTTTGACGCGCTTTCAATAAAACATCCGATTTTTCACGCGCTACAAGGAAGAAGAAAGCAAATTTTTAACAAGAAGATATACTAACTATAACATAGAAACTTACTGTTTCTATTCATGACACCCCAGCCGGTGACATAGAGCACAGATTTGGCTGGCGGATCATCCGGATCGGTGTAGAGGCATGTCGGGAATACATTGTAACTGTAAATAACTTCGTCCTCTAATTCCAGCAAGCCCACATCGTTATAAACAGAGGCGCTCGTATAGTCCGGATGTATGTGAGTTTTCTGCGGGAGAACATACATTATATGTTTTTATATGTTACCTAGACATATGTTACCTTAATTTTGATTTCAACAGCTCCCTTCATTTGTTCGGTGTCAGTGAAATTCACCACACCCATTCGCACCATAACCGGTATTTGTTGTGTGACTAGACAATGGGCCGCAGTTAAAACAAAGCGCTTTGCAATCAAAGTACCGCCGCAATTGTACTCCACAACATCATCTGTATTAGTGAGTCCAATAGCTACCATATGTGGATATTCACCTAATTCTACGGGTGTACCGCCTAGAATGTGTGGTGTAAGCAGCGGCTGCAATTGTCCATCGATTTCAATGCAAGCTACCAGGTTGGAAAGAGTGAGGTTAAAATTGCTTTTTAGTTTATATTTTATATATAAATATATGTATGTATGTTGTTGAACTCACCTTTTACAGCTGGACGATCATCGGATCGTGTTTTTATGGTTGTGGTGGGAGTAGAAAGAGAGCTGCAGTAGTTAAAAATTATAAATGCCGCTAATATAGATTTATTACATATTGAATGCATATACTTACGGACAACAGATTATTTCATCGAATACAGTGAATCCACAACGTTGTATATCACGTCTTTTCAGGCCCAACTGAGACATGGTAAACGGCAGATCCGTACATTTGCTTGCCTCAGTGCAAATGCCTTTAAAATTTCTAATTTGACATTGATCACCAACTAAAACGAGAATAAAATCTTTAATAGGTACGCGCCTTATATTAACACATAAGCATTTCATCAGACCAAGATACTCATACGATATCTGCAAAATGTCTGGAAAAGTAGTTCATGCCAAATTGATATCTTGTCATAAAAAAGATTTCCATACATGGATTTGATTGATTTGTGTGAAAATTTTCAGATCAATATCAGACGGCCCGACGAAGATCATCGGATCAGCTCATAACGCTGATCATTTATATACTATATACAAACTTCGTGGCAAACTTAATATACCCTGTTCGAGGTATAATAAACAAGCAAGAAGGTCTAGGCTAAGTAATATTATGAGTAAAGTTCTACATATCTGCAAAAATAGATTGAAAGACCTGAATGGAAGTAAAATTTAATTTTACCTGATGTAAGAACCGTCCGAATTTCTAAGAAACTAACAACTTTTAAAATTAAGTGATGCCAGAATCAGCAAATGCAAGTGCGTACCAGTAACACTGCACATATTTTTTTAAGGCTTTTTAAGGTGAAAGCACGAGTTTCATAATGACACTTTATTATATTTTCAAAAACCTACTTGAAACTCAGCGTAGAGTACTACAGAGATATGTTTTTAGTTAGACGAAAACTTAGAGGATAGGTAATGGCAATTTGGAGGTCTAGACAGTCCACACCACAATCGATATTTGGAGCGCAATTCAGGATTCAGGGGTCATTGGCCACTGTTTGTTTATAAAGAGCTTATCTGTCGTCTAACCACCTCTGTTATTGAAACAGAGCTCAAAATTCGTCCTTTTGGCTCTCTCTGATATATTACAGAGGATCTCAGCATCTCTTATGGATCGACTCAATACATTTTGGTGAATGAATGGCAGAAATTTCATGCATTTTTCACCACGACAATGCGACGTTATATTCTAACAAGATTGTGACTGACTCTTCGGCCAAACATGAAACTAGAGTCATCGCTCAGTCATCATATTCGCTCGATTTGGCTCCCAGTGACTTTTTTCTCTTTTCGAAACTAAAACATACATTGAAGCCATTAAAAGTCATCCCAGCCGAGTTGTATAACAAGTGTATGGAAAATTGGATTAGGCTTTGGCAAGCTTGTATTGGTTATTTTGAAGGCGATAATAAATATTTGTATTAAAATACCTGAAAATGTAGCTTCTTGTCACTCTGGTTCATTTTTGATCACATAGTATATTAATATATATCTACATACTCGTATGTATAACAATTATTCTAATATCGACTACTTACCCTGCATTTGAGCTGTGGTCATTCCAAGCAGAGCAGTGAACACGCTACCCAGCAGCAGTAGCAGCAGCATATTGTAATGTTCACTTGGTTGTAATTTAGAATGTTTGAAATAAAATTTCCGATATTTATTCGATTATCAACAAAATCAGTTTACGTGCACAGTATTCCTACTGAACAAACTTTAAGTGTTGCGGTGCAGTTTTATCACTCAAAATGGTTGGAAGTATGTACATATGATAGAAGCTACACGCGACACAGGTGGTATTAAGTCATTGAACCGTGAATGAATCTGCAATTAAATTTGTATACATGTAAAGATATTTGTAGCTACTTGTGTCCGACACCGGTTTTATAAGCAAATAAATATTAACTTTTATACGTGTGACCTTGTGCGCTGCGTCAGATTGCGGAACAACACCTTGACATTGGCATTAAGCGATTGGTGCAGCCGAAGATGAAGTGGAGCTTGAGCTGTACTTGTTGTATGAATATTTTCATAAGCAATAATTATATTTATTTAGTTTGGTTTTTATGATTTAAATTTTTAAATTTTTTGTTGTGTTTTAATTTAATTTGGGCTCGTTTAATTTTATTTTATTTAACTTAATTTAATTTGATTTTATTTTATATCATTTTAATTTATTTTATTTTATTTTATTTTATTTTAAACATTTCATAAACAACCAACACCGTCTCTCATGAATCTTTGTCAGAAGTTTAACATATAATATGGTACATGCTCTTATAGCTTTTCTTTTAAAAGTTCAAAACTCTTTAGACCGGTGTCCGTGTGAAAGTTTAGTAAAATTTACCAATATATATGCGACTAATAAAATATAATGCTATTATATATGCCTACGGTGTTCTAATGTGACCGTTAGAAATCGTACTAAAATATTTGTATAAATTTTTGAAATTTTGCTATGCCGATTTCACTGACCGCTATACTATATTAGGCTAGGTAGGTAATGATATAGGTTAGGTAGGATGCTATTGCACACGTCAAGTGATAAAAACGAACTTTCAAAAACCCTAAGATTTTACAATTCAAAGAAACATCCCATGAAATGTCGACGTTAGCAATAGGTCTGTTCTATATAAACAACTTCCATAGATTTGAATAGAGTGCAAAGGAATGAAGAATAAAAAAAAAACATGAACATCGTTACGCCAAAACTATTATACCCTTTACAGGTGCATTTCATATAAGCTGAAAGGGTACAAAAAGATCTTAATCATGATTTGGGTCTTACAGTTTGTATTGCAGCTATATGCTATAGTTGTCCGAACTAAACAATTTATTTGGAAATTGCAGCGTTGCCTTGGCAATAATCTATGACGAATTTCGTTAAGATATCATGTCAAATAAATACTTTTTCCACACAAGGACTTGATTTTAATCGATCAAATTGTATATCCTATAGTAGTCTGATATCGGCGATTCCGACAAACGAGCAGCTTCTTGGGGAGGAAAAAGAGAACGTGCGCGAAATTTCAGATTGATATCTTAAAAACTGTATATACAGACAAACAGACCGATTGGCGGACAGTTGGGAATGGCTAATCGACTCACCTCGTCCCACTGATCTATGTATATACAAGTATGTTTTATAGAGTATCCAACATTTCCTTCTGAGTTTTACAAACTTCGTAGCAAAAGTAATATACTCTGTTCAGGTTATATAAATAATAACTTAAGTGTTTTTTCTTTCATAGTGCTACTTATATGTAAACTAAAGTAGGCGGACTACTATTTAATTTGACAAACAAAAGAAAGAGATATTGACCAAAATAGTTCATTAGTATACTGGTAGATCTGAACGCATTAGATATACCACATTATTCTTGCTTAATTTTAAAATAATCAGCGGGAAAAATTATTTCTCCACACTTTTCATTACTACACTCATTTATAGCGAAAAAACTGCTGGCAATTCTCTTATCAACTCTTCAAAAACTAGCATTTCATGACAATGAAAGCCGTAAATGATATTTTTAACAAAACATTAAAAAAAAATATTGTTTAATGGACTTTTTGTCAATAATATATAATTGCCTTCATTAGCATAAATAATTACCAATTTTATGTTTTTATACCCTTACGTTTGCCACGAAGTTTGTAACACCCGAAAGGAAACGTGGCAGACCCTATAAAGTATATAAGTACTTAGTCTCAACATAAATTTTGTTGCAAAGTTTACAATACATACAGCGGAGACAAATTCGCAGAAAAAAGTGCTGTTATTTATATTTGTATATAGTGTCTACTTATAAATAATAATCAGTTCTGTGTTTAGCAATGGAGTGGAGAGCTGAAGAAAATCATATTCCGGTGATTGTGAAATAAGCGCAAGCGAAATTTATGAGCTTTGAAAAAAACTTAATATTTCGATAATGTTTGTTTACCGAACTATCGTTTTTCCGAGAAAGGGCGCGTCATTCGCACCAATTCGGCCATAAAAACTGTTCGCGAACGCATTCGATGACAGAAACGTATTTCAAGGGAAATGTATTTATTGACGTTATCAATGGCAAGACATATTCGAGATGATCTCGACATGAAAGGTTACCGTCGGTCAATTTATAAACAAAACATGTTATTCCAAGGGTTCAACATATTCACCATCCAGATTTGGTGAGAGTCTCCTGTAAAGGCGTTACACTTCTGTGAAAAAGAAGTTAAAACTGGGGCAAAAGTGAACCAGCAGGATACTTTAGAAGGCACGGTGAAATTGTTAAGCAATACTCTCTTCGATGGAGAGCAAGATTCTGCTCCAGCATGCAAGGCAAAAACCACCCAGCAGTGGCTTAAAAGCAATATTCATAGTTTCATAGCTGCAGATGATTGACCAAGTGGAAGTACAAATTGGAATCCATTGGACTACAGTTTTCGGTCAGAATTGGAGAACATGGCTTGTGGAATAGTTCTCAGATATTTGGATAGTCTTAAAAAATATTTGTTTAGAGCACTCTCGTCAATAGCAATAGAAACAGTGCGTGCTGCTATTGATGTATGGTCAAATCGTTTAAGACTTGTGTGACAGTAAAAGGTGAACATTTCGAATAAAGTTTTGATTTTCACTCAGTTAATATATGCATTATTAAATAAAAATAATTTTATTTGAAAATGTATTATAGTTACATTTTTAAAACGACCAGAACTTGTTACAGAACTTATGGCCGGACTAACTATGTACTTATGTATATAAATGACCAGCGTGTCGAGATGAGTCGATTTAGACATCACTGTCTGTCCATCTGTCTGTGTATACGCGAACTAATCCTTCAGTTCTAGTAATATTAATCTGCATTTTGGAAACCCGATTTATTCCCAAAGAAGTTGCACATTTGTTGGAACCGCCGATATCGGATCACTATAGGATATAGCTGCCATACAAACTGAGCAATCAAAATCAAGTTTATGTGTGTCCCTTTTTATTTAAAAATATGTCTTCTTCTTAGCTGCCAGTCAAACTGAACGATTCAGATAGCCGCAAACATTTTTTTTTGTTTTTTGTCTTGGGTTTTTTAAAACATTTCAAATTATGAAAACAAAAAATTTTAAAACAAAAATTTTGTTGTCAATTTAGGACGTCATTATTTTTTATGTATTTATTGTAAGTATAACATATATACTATATATTAAAAATTAACAATTACTCATACAGTACACACTCATATATGCTTCGATAACTATTGTATATATAATTCCGCAAACAAAAAAGTTTGTGCCCTTTTTGACTGTCTTGCCGTTGACATATAAGGATAAAGTTCATACCGTTGGAAAGGAGAAGACGAGCAGAAGTGCACAACGTTATTTAAAGTGTACGTCAACGGGAACATAGGTAAGAATGCGTTGACGCATATTTAGCGTCTACAACAACTACAAGCGCGGTGACGCGTTTTTATTGGTCGATGTTATTTCGCCTTTGTGCGTCCCACTTAACACAGTCGTATACCGAAGTACATTTCGTCGCTGTTCTGTATAAGTTGCGAATACATATATCGCATATTTGTGTATCGTTTACGGCGGATTTGTCGTTGCGATTTCTTTTCACTCTTAAATGTGTTTGGACTTCGCATGTTGCAACACTGAATTCTGTTATAATTACATTTTTAACGCACATTAATATCCAAGTATGGTTTGTGAAAAAAAAAAAAATGTTACATGTACGTCACTTGGTTTGCCTACACCTACCATAATGCCAGAATTTGCTAAACTCCATATTTTTGATCCTTTTGACGATGAATATTTATTTAACAATAACTGCGATCAATTGAAGGATCAACGCGATAAATTGCGTTAGAATGTTGAACTTCTACAGAAGAAGGTGCTGTTCTACGAAATTGCTGATTCCTATGCTGATAACTTTCCGATATTTCATTCAAACAAGACATCAATATTTTATACTAATAATTATATTTTGGCATCTTTTCGCAATTGCATACGTGACCACAAATGACGGCAAATTCAAACTGGCCGATTTGAGTCGATTATTCATTCAAGGAAGACTTAAGCCAAAACCAGAAACAGAATAAATAATTTTGCACGAGAATGAATTATAAATTTTAATTATTTTTAAATTTATTTATGCAAATTGTTAACTACAACTTTCTATAGATTTTGTTCACATATTGTTCAAATTCTTCAATAAAATTTAATTACTATTAACACTGTTAATAAATTGTATTTTGTAATGGTCAAATTTTGAACACTGGCGACTCTAGTAAAAATAACTTCGCTGTGTAGATTTTACCTTTCATAAAGGGGCCCAAAAGTTCTTTTCGCATTACACGCAAATACATATGTTTAGTAAGTACATATATATCGATAGATTAGTAGCGCATATATTTACACACATATATATGTTATATATAATCTTATTGGTTCGTTTGGTGTCAGTCTTATCACTTTGCCATTGGAATCAATATATATATGTATGGTTGCACTATATGACGCTATTTCTGTTTCGTTATTATTGTTTTTTTGCGCTTTATTGTGTTTCCTTACTTTTATTGTTTAAGACAGTGATTTCTGCTGTGTTTCTGTGTTTATACACTCTTTTGATGCGTTTTTCGCGCGTACTCAACAGTTACTCATCCGGTTTGTGATTGTTTTTTTTCTGTTTATTTTCAATTTATATGTACTTTGTATAACAAAAGTATGCAAAATTTGAACGAACTGTTTCCACCGAACTGATTTGGTCGCGTGTTAAAATATATATTTTTTATTTTTTATATTAGTTATAATTAGAGTTTTAGAGATTCTTCCAAACAGTATTCTAGTTCCACTTTTAATATGCGGTGAAATGGTGTTCAGCAACATGCCACAGCTAAGCGAGCACTGCCTTGCGGGCTGAGTTGCATCAAACTCATGAGCTCTCAACGCGCTCCACTTGAAAGCGTAGTAGATGGCGAAAGCAAATCGTAGTATAAAAAGTAAAGAAGGGCTAAGTTTGGATGTAACCGAACAGTTCATAGTCTTGCAACTTGCGAGGGTCACAGACGGCTAAGGGGCCTAAAGCAAGTTTGAGCACGATTTTATCCACTTTAAGCATAAAGATACCCTTTTATTAGAAAAACACGCTCGCTCAGTTGCATTAAGATAAATCCCACATTGACCGATATATGCGGTATAAAGTCAATTGGAAGTTCGACAATCTTTATATTCGGTATATGGGGGCTAAGGAGGTATTAACCCGATTCAACCCATTTTTGACACAAGGGTATATTATTATTACTAAAGAAACATTTTCTCCGAGTTTCAATAATATATCTCACAGATTTACCTATATTTTTGGCAAAAATACTCCAGCGAAGTATAAGATTTGGTGTTAAAAAAATGGCACAAATCTTCTCCAATCGGTGCGCTAATGAACACTGGTTATGTCAACTGTGAACTTGTTGCTGGAGAGCCAAGCTTCTGATTTTACGTCACTTTGAGAGGCGCGCTCACATATGCCGAGTATGTAACGCAGCTATAAATAAATATATATATGTCAATATGTTCACCAGATAAGCCCGGCTTGGCAGTGCCAGCAGACTTAAATTAATTTGTTAAGTTAGGTGAAGAGCGTCGAAAAGAGATAAAGTGGAGAGAGTGAATTTGGAAGTATGACAGCATTTAAGCAACTTGGCAGATGCTAGAAGCTTTGAAAGTATCAGCTTTTCTTTTTGCATATACCAAAAACATATACGCTTATCTTTAAATTTCTCAGTACCAGAAGACGTTAATAAAACGTTTCAAAGAGTATTCTTATATTAAACCTATGTTGATTCGACTTTTTAAATATAGACCGGTTCGCATGGTATCTATATAGATTTAAAAATCAATTTTTTTTTAAATTTTAAGTCAGTATTTTTTAAAGAGATGCCAACCTTTGGAAAAATGAAATTTACTCTAATAAGTAAATATAGAATAGAGAAATATTGAAGAGCACTTAAAACAATATTTTTATTAATTTAATACCTATATTTAATCAAATATGGGTGCCAAAGCGTGGTATTTAAATAGGTATGGCACAATTATTCCGATATTAACTTATCAACTTTAATGACACCATAATTAAAATTTAAAAAAAAATACCGGTTTGCTTTCATATTATTTACAAAAATATATGTATATATTTTTCAATCAGTGTTCTGATGAGAGCTCACAATCAACTGCAGTTTATGCTTCCAGACCACTATAACGTCTTTCAAGTAATGGTAGCTGCCATGAAAGCAACAGCCGATGCACTGGAAACCATAACGGCGATGAGTTTTCAAAGTAGACTGGTCAGAGCTCCGTTGTCCTCTTGTGACTTGGCTCGATGAGCGCTGAACAACACATGAGATGCTTCCGAACCAGAAAGAACGCCTGCCGTCCTTAAAACTAAAATTGTCAAACATAATTGTCTGAACACTCCCTCCTCAGCTGTTCAAATTTGCTAGAAATTGCATCAAAACACAGTACATCGTTTCCTTCGTCGTGGGGTCAGGTCCAAAACTTAATCTAACCTGCACATTTTTTGATATATCAAATCGATCGTATACTCTGGATTTCAAGCGTATTTTCCTATACTGTTAAAAAGCACACAAATATATATAGATATAAATTAACTGTATTATTTTAATGTATTGAATATATATTATATATAATTATAAAATAATTTGCATTTAATTATTTGGAAATTGAATGAGTGTATTTCTACTGGAGCCTCTATAAATTCCTTGTTTTTTTCGGTCTATTGCTGCTTCAAATCTTCTATGATTCCTCATTTTAAAATGTCCATTATTGAATGAATTTCGATTTTCCATGAATGTACCATGTGTCCTCTCATTTGGAGGTCTAACTCGTAACGGCTTGTCATTAAAAATAAAATGCTCACGGTTGCTTTCTAATTGACCATTACCGGCGAATATACCAGGATTTTGACTAATTACACCATTTAGTCTACCTTTAACATTTTTAAATTTATTATTTTCATCGATAACAGGGTTACCATGTGTATGTTGATTGGCTTGTGAATTCGGTATGGTATTTGCATTAAAAATGCCGTTATTATTCCCAACTATAACCGGAACAGAATTTCTCTTCCATTCCCCAATACTACTTACACTTCCAGTTTGACTAGGGCTGCCATTGAAAATAGAATTAAATCTTTCATTTTCATCGATAATAGGGTTACCATTTATCTTTTGGATTTCTTGTACATTCCACACTGGATTTCCGCTGAAAAAATCATTATTATTTCCATTTACACCCGAAACAGTATTTCCCTTCCTTTCCTCTTTATTATTACCATTACTGACCTGTTCAAGATTACCGCAGAAGATAGTATTGCCTTTAGCATTAAAATTTTCAGCAGGATCTCGATTAATTACACCATTTGGTCTCCCCATATCATCGCCAATCGGGAGAGGGTTACCATTGAATATAGCATTAAATCTTTCATTTTCATCGATAACAGGGTTACCATTTACGTTTTGATTTTCCTGTATATGGGCTACTGGATTTGCATTGAAAAAAACGGTATCTGTTCCTCTTACTAACGGAAGAGGGTTTCTTTTCCTTTCATCTCGACTATTTACATCTTTGACCTGTACAGGGTTATCACCGAATATAGCTTTAAATCTTTTATTTTCATCGATAGCAATGTTGCCATTAAAATTTTGGTTCTCCTGTACATTCGGCAATGTATCTGCCCTGATGAATCCGTTATTATTTTTATTTACTTCCGGAAATGGATTCCCCTTCTTTTCATCTTGACTATTACCATTTCCGACCTGTATAGGGTTATCACCGAATATAGCTTCAAATCTTTTATTTTCATCGACAACAGGGTTACCATTTAAATTTTGTTTGTTTTTTATATTTGGTACTGGATTTTCATTGAAGAAAATGTTGTTATTTCTATTTAAAACCGGAGCAGAGTCGCCACTCAATTCCCCCACATTATTGCCAATTCCAGCTGGACCAAAGTTGCCATTGAATAAAACTTTTAATCTCTCCTCTTCATCTGGTATGTGTTCTTGAAAAATGTTGCCATTTTGATTAAAATTCATAGGTGTACTTGTAATGCTGGGAATAGAACTATCACTAATCACACCGGCTGGTGGCGGCCTGTTTTCAAACTCAGGCTGTTTGGATAGATCTATAAAAGCGTTGGAAAGTTTAGATGGTGTTTGTACTGGTGTTGGCCACTTTCTGCAAATATTTTGTTAAAGTGATAAACATTTATAAAACGAGAATGTTTAAAATATACTAAATTAGTCTTACGGACAACATATTATCTCTTCTTTAACCTCAAAGCCACAGCGGCCGACTTGATATCTATCGAAGGTCAGTGCTTGCATTTTGGCTTGCAAGTCAGTACACTTGCTAGCTGCCAAACAAGTTCCATCGTAGCCAGCAAAATCACAAAAGTCTCCAACTAGAATTTTATCAGTAATGATTATTTAATTCGTTTAATAAAGAAGTATTGTATATAAATATTGCAGCATATTTACCGTAAAGTATTTGAGCAGTACTGAGCCTGCATAGAGCAAAGAGAATAATTATCTGGCCGACCTCACTGAGTTTATAAAGGTTAGGCATTTTGTTCGCCGGCATAGTGCCTATATATACTAAATTTAAATCGGTATAAGTACACATATATGCAAATTATATTATATAGGAATATAGTTTAAACGTCACGGCTGACTTAAAGGCTGATTAGGAGATATGAAATTTATTCTGAATGCCCGCAAAAATGTGCTCATGGTTATCGATTAATTTTACTAATTATAACACTATAATGGATGAAATAGAATATTCCCACTGAAAAGAGTTCACGGCATTTAATTATAGGACCAGTCGTACTGTCCAAAATCTTACACGTCCATATGTCTCTTGAACCAAAGTTTAATTTAGGCAGAGTTTGGTGGGCATCTAAGTAACTCTTTGCCAAATTGTGAAAAATAGAGACACCAGTACGCAATTTTGAATATTTATTTTATTAAAAATTTCTTTTATTATTAATCCGCTTTTCGAGATGATTTTCTAAAAAAAGTTTTTTTTAGAAATAAAAATCACTACACTATAAAAATTGTAGTATATGGTAAAAAAAAATATTGAGTTCTGATGAGTCTTTTCAAAAGCTATTGTTTAAAATTTTTTTACTTGGTTGGTAATCTAATTCAAAAATAAGTGGAAAATTGCTTTATCCACGAAGCCTAGTGCCTATTGTAATGACATAGTTGACCTTAGATATGCTCATTTCAATTTACCAGCAATTAGGCTGTATGAATGAGCTAAAAACTGGCTCTACTCGGGAAAAACTGGCGCACCCTATTACAACACATCACACCTGAGAATACCACACTAAAACATCACCACACAGGACAACACAACACATGGTTCCCGCATCTTCTTCACCTCACATCGAAACAGAAGCGATCTTGCGCACTACATGTTGTTCGATTATACACATCGATGCGAAACCATCAACCGAATGAGAATCAGACAACACATCTTTTCGCTCATCATCGGACCTTTTTATCTATAATCATTTTAATTTTAACATTGATATCTTTTTTATAAAAATAAAGTATCGTTTAATGCGTAACCGAGATCAATTACATTTTCACATGCATATAATATTTAACGCGAGTGTAAGTGAACTACGACAATTAGAATTCAGTGGTGGATGTTTTCCACCAAATTCGGCATTCGACGCACGATTCAGTCAAATAACTCTCACCTCAAAATTAAAATCAAAACTTCCGTGCACTTTTTAGTATTTGTTATCTACCACTTGGTTTCACAATAACTGCCCGATCATTTCTGTGTGCCTCTCGTGGAGTATGCGTTTTGTAGCGAATATATTCAGGGTTCGTTATACATTAAGCTGATAAGACATACACATATACATGCATATGGGCGAATTCGCAGGAAATTTGATATGAGAAGGGATTTTTTGTTATAATGATTTTTTAATATTCATACACACTCGTACAAATGTATGTACTGATAATACTCCATTTTCGTATGCATCTTTTTTATTCTCGCAGTTTGGCGCCAATTGGAAATACCAAGCGAAACCACTTCATTTTCCACTTGATTTTTTAAAGAAATGGTGGACTTCCCTTTCTTATGCTTCCACCAGGTGGCACTGCATCGAACACCCGCAAAGCTGGAGTGATTTCGTCAGTGGCATAGGAGCCATGACGGAGCCAAAACGGAGATATTTTGTCTTGTCTCGTTTACCACTAGAACTCTTCGCTTATTTTATTTGTCTAGCCGGAAGAAAAAAGAACTAAAGGCGTGAACTAATATTAATATCAGTTTTTTCCAAGATTTAACGCATGGTGAATATCTGGTCAAGGCTAGATTAACGAGGTCTAAAGCCACACTGATAAAGTCCAATCAGTTTGTTGACAGTGAGTTTTAATCTCTTACACAGCGCATTTGATAAGACCTTATATGCGATATTCAGGAGTTTTGTGGATTGAGCAGAGCACACTTAGGTTCCAATCGTCGGGCATGCTTTCGTCCGATGATATTCTGGAAAAAATCTGATACATGTACGCTATCAATTTTTGTCTAGCGTGTTTGAATAGCTCGACCGGTAGACCATCGGCTCCTGTCGCTTTGCTTTGCCTACATTCGACCGTACTGATATTAACCAGAAATTTCAAATAAAATTTATTATTGAGCATATTTTATAGCTGTATATTACGAGTGCTTGAATTACATACCTTCTAAAAACACTGTCTTTCGAAAATATCTAAAGTAACTCAAACTCCCTTGACTACTTACAACATGTCGATGGCAATTGATTTGTTGAGAGAACTTTCGCGGTCAGAATGTTATTTAAGCTTAATTTTTTATTCCGAAAACACTTAAAATAGTTGTAGTTATTTTTAATTTCAAGTAGTTAACGATATATATTTAAAATATTCATCCGGCCATACAATGGCTTCAACGAAATCCAAAAACTTTGACACCCTGGTATACACACCGGGCACAGTTTGGCCACACGTTGAACCAAATGAAGTGATGCCGACGACTCTGTAGTTATTATATGCTGCATTTTCACTCAGAAGTAAAGGGCCACCGGAGTCACCAAGACAAGAATCCTTTCCAGGCGCAAGGGCACAGAGTTGTGTGTCCGCAATGCCATGGTTCATGTATCGTCCAATATATTGTGCATAACTTTGAATACATTTTGAAAGCGGTGTTTTTTTCAATTGCACTGCTAATAAATGTTCTGAAAGGGCTATATCAATATAGTAAAAATTGATATAAATATTATAAATTGCATTAAAGTGAAATCATAATTTTAAGGTGCTTATAACATACATTTATTCTCGGTTATTCCCCACCCAGCCGTGGTGAGTTCAATGTCATCAGGTAGCTCTGTTCGATCGGTATGCAAACATGTCGGATACACTGTTAGACCGCGTTTGACCTCTTTAGCCAATTCAATCACAGCGATGTCGTAATAATTTGATAAGCTTGAATATTTCTCATGGTCAATCGTTCTCTGTCGACGAAATATAATTCGCAGAAAATAAACAAAATAAGTAAAGAAGTTCTAATATTTTATACTCTTACAACTTGAAAAAACAAAGACAGCAAAATATTTATAGGTGTTGGTAGAACTTTATATTGAACAAGTAAGGAAGGACTAAGTTCGGATGTAACCGAACATTTCATACTCTTGCAACGTGCGTTAAGCATTACGGTTATGGGAGATAGGGTTAGTATTGACCTGATTTTATTTATTGTATTTTTGGCTTTACGACATATTATTAACAGTAATAGGTGCTCTCTGAATTTCATTAAGGTACCTCACTTACCATCACTATTATATTAGGAGTAAAGTCAGTCGAATGTTTCAAAATCCTAAATTTCAGTTGTATAGGAGTTAGGACAAGTTTTCACCCAATTAGAAAATTACACAGTTCGGAAATTTCAAACAAAATATGGTCGGAATAGTGTTTTAACTTTGTCAACTGTGACAAGATTAACTGAAAAATTCTAGAATTGCGTTGGAGACGCCAAACACACTAGTCGTCCAAAATCAAATCGTTCAAATAACAATATCGAAGCAATGCGTGCGAGTGTCGGTGACAATCCAGGAACCACAATTCGGCGTCGTGGACAAGAATTGCAAATTTCAAGAAGCTCTCTACAGCGTATACAAGTACTCACTAAATGATTCAATAAAAAAATTACAATCAAAAGACTAAAAATTGTGTTTTCTATTTAATTTTAATCTTGCGTTAATTTTAAGGCACCCTTTATTAGGTATATAGGGGCTAAAGAAAGTTATAATCCGGTTCTATCCATTTATGACATACAAGTATAATCTTATCATGAAAAGACTTTTTTCGAATTTTAATAATGTACGTATTTCACAGATTGACCCTCATTTTCGATAAAAAGTTCTCAATAGGAACTGGGGTCCACATATTGGATAGCTGAGGGCTTGAACAGTTGTAGGCCGATATATTGATTGGTTCTTGATTTGTATACTGGAAAGTGAAAGAATCAGATGAAGTTTAAAATAGTATTATATGAGAAGTAGGCGTGTAGCCCATTTTCGCACTGTAATGTAGGAAAGGTCAGGGTAATGTTACCTGCTGTATTTTGTTGAAATTGATCTGGTTTTAATGGTAACTATATGCCATATTGGTCCAATATCAGCGGTTCTGGCAATAAGTAGCTTCTTTAATAGAAAAAAACATGTGCAAAATTTCAGATATCTCTAAAACTCAGGCACTAGTTCGCGTATATACAGACAGACGGTCCGATAGACAGACGGATATGGTTAAATTAACTCAGCTCGTCACACTCATCATTTCTATTTGATTTTATAGGGTCTCCGACATTTCCTTCTGGGCGTTACAAACTTTGTATAAAAACAAAATACTGCAATATGGATAACAAGCGAAGTAGGTTTGAAACAAAAGTTTAAGTTGCGCAACACGACATTGTTCCAGTTTTTGATCTTACTATTATGTCTAAATAAGTTACATTTCAAAACTTTAGATGTGCATATCACTCACCTTAATATCTATATCTTGCCGATAGCGCGCTTCTCTAGAATCATATAAATTTGCTATACCCAAAGTTACTTTTATAGCTTTGACCGCATGTTGTACGACACAATGCGCTGCTGTTAACACGAAACGCTCATGGATCAAAGTACCACCACAAACAAAATCCGGCTGGTCATAAACAATGTAAGCCATAAATGGATATTCCTTGGCGGACACTTTGTGACCACCGAAAATATGTTCCTCTTGATATGGTTCTAATTCGCTTTCAATAGCTCGACAGGCTAAAAAATATTTTCGTTTTATTTGTTATTGATTTTGCTTATCGCGGACACTTCTTTCTACAATACTCACCACGAACAGCGGGTCGTTCAATATTGCTGCGATTAAAATTGAATGCTCAATTACAAATTCAAATGATACAAAACTCTTTCTTGACAAATACTTAAATACTTACGGACAGCAAATTATGTATTCATGATCGCAATGTGTCACATCCGTATCATTTAGACCCATCTCCACCAAGGTAACGGCTAAATGTCTGCACTGTAACTTTGCCTTGCAGATGCCATTGTAGTGTCTCGTCTTACAAGGGGTATAAGCTTAAGTATATATTAGAGAAAATGAGCACAAGTCTGCAGTTCAAATAGAAAGTACAATTACCGTTCACATTACCTGGCAAGGGAATATTGCCAATCCCCACCACCTTTCCAGTTGCGCTTAAAGGCTCAGACAGCACTTGGGCCGTCTTTTCGCTCGAATCTTCAACAGCCCTACTTTCACCGTTATTGCCGGCATTATTTGGCACATCGTTATTTTCAATGGGTATTTCTTGCATTCTCTGTCCTACCTTTGCAGTTAACACATGGTTTTCATTGCCACTTGTTAGGTAGTTATTAATAGTTGCATTTCTGGCCCCATTAAATATAAAATATATTATCTCGTTTTCATCCACACGCGGAACCCCTGTAACATTTTTATGAAGTATGCTGTCGCGTAAGTCAGCATTTGAAAGGCCGGCATAGCGAAGTAAAATATATACATAAATATTTTAATGGCATAAAAACGACTCACTTACGGACAACAAATTATTTCTTCACAATGACCAATTTGCTCTCGCTTCAAACCCAAGGTTTGCGCCACGACAGGTAAATTCAAACATTTTGTTACTCTCAAGCACGTCCCGTTATAGTCCGAAAAATCACAGAAATCACCCTCTAAAATTAATTCACCTTTATATTTGCCTTGAATTGCTCACCGAATTGTACTCATACTCACCGTCGTACTGTTTCGCAGCGCTGAAAACGCACAGTATGAGAAACACAAACAACCGAGTGTTTTGTTTCAGCTTATTTGTGAATATTCTGCCCATTTTGCTTGAAATAAAGATTCTTCCCAGTTTCGTTGAGATATTAAGTTTGTCAAGAAGTTTGTAACACCCAGAAGGAAGCGTCGGAGACCCTATAAAATATATATATAAATGATCAGCATGACAACATAAGCCGATTTAGCCATGTCCGCCTGTCTGTCCGTCCGTCTGTCCGTCCGTCTGTATATATACGAACTAGTGCCTTAATTTTTGAGATCTGAAATTTTTTACATGTGCTTTTTTCCAAAGCATTTGTCGGAACTGATATCGCACCATTATAGCATCAGCTGCGATACAAACTGATCGATCAAAATCAAGTTCTTGTACATATGTAATCTTGTGAAACGTATTTTAACTTCAGCGCAACCGCAGTGAACGTTGTTGCTTATTTTCCTTACTCTTTAATTACCCCTGTAGCGTCCGTTCTACCATCCGTTCAACACTAATGTTATTTACAAAGACCCAGCATTCCTGTGTCTGCAATTTGAGCGTTTGGAAAACAATATTCAAATTCACTATAATTATGTACTTGTGATCGTCGTTTCGTTCACTAAATAACTGAAACGTTCAGCGTTGAATTTTTGGGTAAAAGGTTAGAAAAATATCGCTGCTGATAATAACATGTGTGCATTGCAAGAAACCATATAAATCTAAAAATAATTGCAATAAAAAGAAATTCGGGGGTTTTGTTTCAAGTCCGAGCTCTCTGCATCTCTTTCTCACTGCCTGCAGCGCCGAGAGACGCTACAGAATTCATCGTAAACTATAGCTTTTGGTTCGCATTGAACGATATGAAAGAAGTTTGTGGCTGCACAGCGAGTGCCTCAGATACGGTTTCACAAGAAATACACAATCCGGCTTTCAGAAGTTTCCCCGTAAACTACTATACCGCAATGAAATTCTTTCAGGCATTCAGTATGACTTATTCAGGCAATTGTTTGAAACTCTGGCGCAACTATAAAAATGAACCGTCTCAACGTGAATCATATCACTGATCAGCTTAATTGTGACCATTTTTGCAGAACAGGAAATTTCCTATAAGACTATATATAAGCTTTGCAATTTAAAATGAAATTTTCTCATTCAGTTACAAAATTCAAAAGAAAAAAATAAATTTGCCTTAAAATAGTCAAGCTTCAACTGTTACTGTCTTTTATAAAGTTAAGTTTACGACTTAATACTACTAACTTAATTTAAGCATTTTCCATTTGACATTTTACTGAATTTTTATTTTTAATTTTGGTAACATGCTTATGTTCAAAAATAAATATTTTTTTTTTAGGTATGGTTTGCTCTTAATATAATGAAGATGTAAACTATCCTACCTTTTAAGTTGAATCAAACTGGAGACAGTGTTCAAAATTTTACTAAAATCGGTTCAGTAGTTTAAGTGATAACCCCGGAGAAAACGTGATACATAATTTGTTTACTGTTACAAAATGTTACTACAGAGTATAATAGTTTTGTTCACCTAACCTAAAAGTAATCGAGTTCATTATAGGGTTATGTAGATATACATAAATGATCAGAATGACGAGACAAGTTGAAATCCGGGTGACTGTCTGTCCGTCTGTGTAAGCTGCAACTTGAGTGATCGTAATGAAACTGTGTACACGTTTTCCTTGGCTAAAAAGTAAGGACGAGTACGTAGATGGGCGTAATCACAACGCTAAGCAAAGTATTATGCACGTAGTCTGATTTCGCCTATTTTTAAACTGTAACAGAATAACGTCAAGTAAATATTAAGTACTATATCTATCGTGTTTTTACTTAGTATGTGTCGTGAAATGCTAGAAGGATATGTTGAAATAAATATTTTAAATCCATTAGTGGGCGTGGCGTCCCACAACATTTAAAAAAATTAATAAACCATAAATGTTCCACTTAACTTTTGCAGTATTATTTATAGCCGTTTATGTTTATTCGTTTAACAGCGTTTTGCAGGCGTGGCAATAGTCCGATTTCGCTTTTAATGGTTTGGCATTCCACAAGAACCGTCATTAAAAATACAACAAAACTGGCTTACTCTATTTAAAGATATTTTATATATTATTAATATATGTATTCAACAGTATTTAATTAACCTCATTAAAAATAATAAATGTTCTTAGCCATTTGGCCATATAATGCCTTCAATAAAATCCAAATATTTGGCAACTCTGGCGTGCACGCTCGGTAAGTTCGCGCCACAATTAATATTAGCCGAAACTACGCCAACAACTTTGTACTTGTCATTGTCGATCATAACTAATCCACCACCTGAGTCGCCACCACAGATATCTCTGCCCGACGCAAAGGCACACTTGAGTGTCGAAATGCCATATGGAATACGACGATCCTTATAATTTGCATAGGTGCGTTGCATTGCGAAAGCGGTGTGTGCATCAATTTGGCCATCATCAGTTGAGTGGAATAATCTATGTAAGCATTAAAAGATGATTGTATAACTAACTATATAAATACATATGTACATGCAAATATTATAAAAGGTCTAGTAAAAAAAAACCATTATATTGCCAATAAATGACAGTTTCGTGATTGCCTGCCTCAACAAAGAAAAAATACGCCCTATTTTGCCCGTTTCAGTAATATTGATGTTCAAAATGTACCAGGCTCTGGAAAGCCAATCATCGAAAACATCGATAAAATAATCGAAATCGTCGAGTCCGAATGTCATCAATTGTACAGGAGCTAAAGATTGCACGGAACCCCGTTTGGTTTCATTTAAATAAGGCTGGTTATAAAATTAAACTCGATGTATGGGTTACACACGAGTTAACGCAAAAAACCTCATGGACTGTGTTTCGTCGCAATACAATTGATTTATTTTTGAAACGGACGTCTTCTACTGAGTGGGTCAAACGGTGATCAAGCCAGGACTGACCGTCAGGAAGCTTATACAATGTATTTGGTTTTGGTGGGAATCATCTATCATTGGCTACTCTCTTATGGCCAAATTCTAAAGTTAAATCTATGCTTTCAACAATTGTGGCCAATAGGCGAGGAATTGTGTTCCGTCAGGACAACGACAGGCCACACACATCGATAATGACCCGCCTAAAGCTCCTGGAGCCTTGAGAGGCTCTTATACATTTACCCTATAGTTCGAACCTAGTACCAAGTGATTCACCTATGTCTAATGATTCTTTAGGCGAAAAATTCGTCTCAAAAGAAGCTTGTGAAAATCGACTGTCCCAACTTTTCGCCATTGGAGACGAGGGTTTCTATGAAAGTACTTTTATGTAATTACCTTCAAAAAGGCATCAATTTATCGAGCAAAACAGTGCATATTTGACCTTAACCAGATCATTCTAACTATGCTAAATAAAACATTAAATTTAAAGCAAAAATAATGGACTTACAAGTGTTTTTACTAGACTTATCTCCAAAACTGAACTCACGATATTTTTCGGTACGCCCCAAGCCGGTTACAACCAGTTCGGTGTTGTTGAATAATTCTGACGCGTCTGTGTGCAAACAGGCGGGATATATATTTCCATCATAATTGACATCTTCAGCCAATTGAATCAAACCGATATCATCGTATTTCATCAAAAATGAGTAATTTTGTAAGTAGTAACAAAATGTGAGTACAAAGTTTTTGTCGATGAAAGTACCACCACAGAAGTGTCCAGATGCGTTATAAACAATATTAACCATATACGGGAACCTTCTTTGTACTTTGCTGTCGTATATAATCCAATGCGTTATTAAACGACTCTCCAATTTTTCGGAAGCTAAAATTTCGAGTTGTTTTTTAATGTATGTCGATATTTCTACATCAATTTACTTTTCATTACACCCACCCCGTTCGGCTGGCCGATTAGAAGTACGAACCAATATCTCCTTTTGGCTAAAATTAAAGTCTTTTGGACATAACAGTCATAGTACAATTAAAAAAAGAAAGCACTTACGGACAGCAAATAATTTCCTCGTTTACTAAAAAACCGCAACGTTTCACATCTGTCCTTTCTACATGAGAACAATTCTATATGAGAACAATTGGAGTTTCTTATACAAATTCCATGGTAATGTTGTGTAACATATGCATCATTCTAGCTCCAAATTTCCACAACACCGATGAAACAAAGTAATTATCAAAATTATAAAGCAACTCAATTCGGTGGGAATTTTAAGCGGAATTTTCGTTTGAAAAAATATTTAATCATATGTCTACATTAATGTTGTCGCCATCAAAATATTCCCCATTTCATATTATATACTTATACCAGCACTTTTTTTTAATCGTAGAAACACTGCACAAACTCGATTTTTGGAATAGCGTATAGCTATTTGAGCGATTTTCATCTACTCGTATCTTGTAAAAGGACAGACCTTTATTTTTATATTCTTGAAACATGCTGCTACACAGTATAATAGTTTTGTTCACCTAACGTATCACCCAAAAATAATCGAGTTAGATACAAGATTATATATGTATATAGAAATGATCAATACCAAAACGAGATGAAATCCGGATTTCTGTCTGTCGGTCTGTCCGTCAATTTGTGCAAGATGTTTTTGAAAATATTGGCGTGGCCCCAGACTGTAAAAGGTTTAATGTACATATCTTCCAAACCATTCAAGTCAACTAACCAAATTCACTCAAGACAAATCCCTTAAGCACCCCTATCGACATCGTAAAAATGTATGAAATCTGATCTGATATAAAGATTTTGGAACTTCCTGGCTGACTTAATATCGCATATATCGGCCAATATGTGAGTCATCTTAATAAACTTCAGCTAGCGTGTTTTTCTAATAACGCTGCAATGTATGCTTAAAATGGATTAAATCGTGTGAAAACTTGCCCTAGCCCCATATAACTAATATCAAAAATACAGAAAACGTCTTTGTCTTTCAAAAACAGATAAAATCGTGTCATTACTACCAATATCTCCTATATCTTTATATCGCATATATTGCTCTATGTGTATAATATCTTAGCATACAGGTAATAATTGTTAATGGCCAGTCAAAATTTTGATTTTTGACCAAATGGCGGCTTTCCAGAAATAAGTTGATTTTTGCGAAAAAATCTACACTTCAGAGTGGCTTACAAAATCGAAATTATTAGCAAAACTTGTATTTCTTTGATCATTCCCTGACAAGTATATCTAAGAAGATCATGTGAAAAAGTCGATCAGTCCAGCCGTTCCGAAGATGTTTTTTTCACTAACACTGAAAACCGCTTTGTGGGACCCCATAAATTAAAAAACTCTCACAAGCATGCTCTACGCAATTGATCTTGCAATACGAGTGGAAAAGCTGAATGTCAATCCAAGCGCAATACTTTTGATTTTCGCATGAGAAATTCACCGAAATAGTGTAGCGTAAAATTTGGTCTTTAATGAAAATATTTATTAATGGATGAATGCTTTGAAAAATATTAAAAAAGAAAACAAGAAAAAACGTTAACCGAAATTATAAAACCCTTTACAAATACAAAGGCTCCTTACAAGAACTTGATTCCGATGTTCAGTTTGTATGGCAGCTATATGCTATAGTTGTCCATTCCGATAAATGAGCAGCTTTTTAGTGAGAAAAGGACAGGGGCAAAATTTCAGATCGATAGCTTAAAAACTGAGGGACTAATTTGTATATATACAGACAGACGGACAAACAGACAGACAGATGGGCATGGCTAAATAAACTCAGCTCATCATGATGTACATTTATGTATGCATTTTTTAGGGTCTCCGACATTTCTTTCTGGGTGTTACAAACTCCGTGGTAGGGTATATATAAAAAAATTATAACTGACCACAATTTACATAATTTTTATGCATATTTGATATGAGTAACAAATTAACACAGAAGGAAGTCGAACCATCGAAGAGTCATACTTCGTAGGCACATTTTTAAAATTATTTCACTTAAATACATTTATTTGCATAACAAACATTCACAGAATAAAGCTAAAAATGTAATGTGTGAATTTTGCACACGCTTGTTTGAACTGATTTGTATAAAAAAAGTTTAAATAAATTGTTTCATGCAATCAACAAATGTTGTCACACACTCCCCCGAAACACGACTGAAGTGATAAGCTCCATCCAATGTGGTTTTGGGTATCAAATTCGCCTGTCTTTACTTGTGGTTTGTGTATTAAACAATGGCAAAATTATGTTACATTCAGTGATGTTAGACGATTTATATATTATATAAATATCGTATTTATATAAATATCATATAATTACATAACAAATATTAATTGTAATTTTATGCTTTTTTCTTGTTAACTTTATAGCGTATATCTATATCGATCAGTACATAAGTTAATGGATCAAAACCTTTACCGAACTATATGACAAACTTTGGAGAGTATCGAATCGAACAAACTTTACCTAGAGACTCGACCAAACTAAACCAGTTGTTCAAACAGACAAGTTGAGATGAAACATTTGTTTATTCTCTGGCACTTGTGCTTCTTTCTTTTGTAGAGAAATTTTTCTTTCCGAAACAAACAATTTTTTAGTAAGCCCTCGAATTCGAGCACCTTATAGAACTCTTCTAATGATTTCAACTCACTAACTTTTGTTTTGCTTTCACAGGTACATTTTTTGACGAGAATTCAGTGTTTAAAGATTGCGAGCAGAGATTGCGAATGCCTAGTGTAACTCAAGTCGATAGATAATATACGCCAATTGAGCGTGATTCAATACAACAATATATACAACAAGACAAAACGAGATAAGATGTGGGAAAAGTAAGAAAATTTTAAGCTTTCGTTTCAATTTGATAAGGAATTATTGTTTATAAATATATAAATTTTTTTTCTGCTAAACATTTTTCTATAAATAAAAAACATATTTTTTTATAATAACTAATTTTTACTAATAATAATATAAAAACGTATCTAAATATAAAATATATATAATACACAGTTTTCTTATGTAATCACACCACTTAGCCATCTGGCCATACAACAGCTTCGATAAAATCTAAATATTCTGACACTCTAGTATACACACCCGGCAATTCTGAGCCACACTCGAAACCGAATGAAACTATGCCAACGACTCGGTAATTATTAAAATGTTTATCTTTAACAATATGTATCGGACCGCCAGAGTCACCCTGGCAAGCATCACTATCCGTTGAAAAGGCACAGAGCTGTGTATCGATAATGCCGCGGTTGAGTCGAATATCGTTGACAGTAGCGTAATTTTTATCGCATAATAAAGCAGGTATGTGCGTTAAATTGGCTGCTAATAAACGATCGGAAGCCTCTAAAAATAAAAAACACAAATATAGTAAAAAAAAGTGATAAAAGCAGAAAATTGCATTAAGACGTCGTACTTTTATTTTCTGTTAGCCCAAAACCAGTCACAATTAGATCAATATCATAGGGCAGTTCCATTTGATTGGTGTATAGACAGGTTGGAGCTACGCCTTGACTAAACTCGGCATCTCTGGCCAATTCAATCAATGCGATATCATCGTAAAAGCTAAGCTCACTGTAGTTTTGCGGTAAATAGGTTTTCTAATTTCAAATAAAAGATTGTCAATAAAAACCACGAACGTATATAAGTAGGTATTAATATATACTTACTTTGATATCTATATCCTGTCGATAGTCAATCTGTGCTTTATCATTGAAGTCACTTACGCCCAAAACTACTTTTATTGGCTTTCCAAATTTGTTTTGCACGCAATGCGCAGCCGTAAGTACGAAACGCTTATCAATTAGGACGCCACCACACCTCAATCTATCTAAATCGAATATAAGTCTAACCATGTGGGGATATTCGCCATAATTGGTCGGGGCTCCACCAAGTACATGCGCTTGGAGACTAGGCATTAGCAGTTTTTCGACTTCCTTGCATGCTAAAATATTTTCGATATTATTTTTTATTTGCTGTATAATAAATTTCTTGTACTTTTTCTACTATACTCACCACGATCAGCTGGGCGCTCCAAAGAACGCAAACTTGTGAGATTGCTGCAAAAACAAAAATTATAATTTATGCATGAGCACCAAAATTGCTACCATTTCTACATACCTCTTAGTTGGTGGTCGTTCTAATCCACCCATTGCTTCTCGCATTAACTCTTTGATTCTTCTCTTACTTTCCTCGGGCGAAAGCCCCTTTAGCGAATCGCGAATGGATTTTGATGATATCGTAGTGAATTCTGTAGATTTAGAGGTTGTTGTTCTAAATCTCACTTCGTTTCTATCAGTTAAAGAGACTCATGTTCAGTATTACAAAATAAAATTAAGTAAAGTAGTTTTGAGAAATGCTTACGGACAACAAATGATCTCTTCATAAACGGTAAAGCCACAATTCCCCACGAATCTGCTATTGAGGCCCATCGCTGCCATTGTATTCTGTAAATGTAAACATTTTCGGCTTGTGGTGCACACCCCTCCATACTCTTCAGTTTCACATGGATCATTTTCTTTAATAGAAATAGAGCATGTATATTTACATATTTACATATTGTAGAACGAATATACATGTGTGAAGGAATGAAAAAACGAAGAAAAAATCTGATAGAATTCTGGAATAATCCATGTAAAACAGAAAGACCAACATTGCAATATGACATCAGTAAAATATATGGATAAGTCGTTGAAATCGGCGCCCCATTAGACTAAAGATCTGTTGCATCGAATATATTACGAGCTAGGCTATTTGAAAATGGTAAATGGTGGTGAGAAGTTTAAGGTTTCTTAAAAGTCCATCTAGCTTTAGAACAAAAATTTAAAGAAAAAACTATTAAAAAAGGTTTTTAATATTGACTAAGCCAAGCTTGTAGCCTACAATTAGCTCTATTTTAATTTACTGTTCACTCTCATCTTACTCTTAATATCATTTTCAAAAATCTCAGCAACTGAAGCATCACGAGTTACTTTTGTATTGTCTATATGTGTATCAGTTCATTAGCCCGCTTCACTTCTGAAGAGAAACTCGTAAGAAGGAATTCAAACGAAAATCAAGTCTTCAGACATAGAAAACGACTATACTAACTGAAATCAATGGATTTCAGGGAAAGAGGGTTTTATGATTTTTTGCTTACACATATGACAGAGAAGAGACCACGAACTGACTAAGACTAATTATTCCTCTTACTCTTTCTATCATTTAGTTTTCGAAATATTTGTATGAAAATCACATGGATATTCTTAAAGTGATTATAGCATCCCACTATAACTGATAACTACCAGACAATCGATCATTTGATCCGAGTACCGCTACACCAATCAGAGTATAGTATTCCCCTCAAGAAAGGTTTGAAGTCAACGAAATAGCCGAACTCAGCTAAAATTTTATGTTTCTCAAAAATATATGGCCTCTTACCTTCCTGTTCTGCCGCGCCAAGCCTTGAACAAGCACATAAAATAATTAATGCGAAGCTAATTCGCCTTGTTGTCGAAAACATTTTAATTGTAAATGAAGCTCGATTGCATTAAGTAATTAAAAATTAATATAAACTGTATTTTATATATTTTATTTTATCTATTTATAAAGCATATCCTTTTTCTCTTTACTTTACACTGCACTCATATTTTTATTTTTAGTTGGTTCGTATATGTACTTAGGTAAAATACGTATATGTATTTAGGTCAAAAAATTCACAAATTTCATGTGATCCTTTTTTTTTGCAAAAAAACTTTATCCGCAAAATTCGCGATCCAACCAAACCGCCGCTACTAATTCGCACAACTGAATGTTCTGAACTAATTTCTTATATTATTACATTGTGATAAGAATATTTCAGTTAAACAATATTTCCACGAAACAAGTATTTTTAAACAAGACTGCAATTTATTTTGTTTCGTGAAACATATACAATAGGTGTACATACATACATACATGTATAAAAGTGAGCTCTATGTTGCGTGTAATCTGAACTTGAGTATGCTTTTAAGGGTAAAAATTTAACTAGGTGATAATGAGATCTCTCAGTCAGTGTAATATTTTGGCGCAATAATACTGAAATCTAAACACTTCTGAGTATGCTGCCACGAGATTGCACTTCGAAGAAATTTGATTTCCGACTTCCAGTAAATAAAATTTTTGGTTGCTTTGCTTTGCCTTGCTTTTCTGTGGAAGCTTTTTTGATCTAAAAGTGCGTTTGAATACTGTCAGCACTGGCCAAGTAAATATAAATTTTAAGCTTTTACTAATGCCGTGTACCATACGCGTGCGGTGTCGGCTTATGTGCAAACGCCTAAGGAGTGTGTAGCTGCTCGTTCTTCATTTAAGGCCGCTCATTCGGTATTTGTGGAAACGCGAATGCCTAAGCCAAACCAACTAAGTCCTATTAACACAGCCATCGAGTGTGCGTAACCGGAACCGACCCGAATTTTTATCCGGCCAAAGACTATCAACTCAGCAACATTCCTCGAAATTACTGCGATGTTTTTTGCCGCTATAATTACAACAACAATCATTCGCTACCAAAACAATACATTTAAATTCAAACAAGAAGCTTCATATTTTGTAGATTAATTACTTACGTAGATCCTAAAATAAATCCAACTTAAAAAAAACAGTAATTATTCTCAACTAGAAGCTGAAAAATTACCACCACGACCATTAATATCTATGGAAGTTCGCTGAAATGAAGAGTGCTGAAAGCTGTTAAGCTTTTTTAAAACTCTCTCAGCACTGAGGACTATTCGAAAATTTCTTTCTGCAATATTTTTTTGATAATTTACTATTGTATTTTCACGGGGCATGTCTCGAATCTACTACTCACCGAGAGGCACGCTCACTCTCTCTTTCACTCACTGTAGTACGTCATATATCAATAATCAATATTTAAGATGCAGCTTGCATTTCTCTGTTTAATTTTGACATTTATCGCTACACACTTGACATGCTGATGAAGATGAGAGATTATGTACTCCCTCAGTGGAATATAATCAGCGCTATATTACTCAAGTACTGAAAGCATAAGATCAAATATTTTTACATCAAAGTGAGTGTTTCGTATTTTGATGACGAAATATATGACCTACATTCTCTGACACAATGAGCCGTTAAGAGACTAAGCAATACTCTCTATGAGTTTAAAATCTCGAATTTTTACATTTACTCGTAAATCTAATTTTTTTAATGATTGATGCTAGAATATGAGACCAACCTTACCTTTAAAATTTTCTATCTAATAAAAAAAACTACGAGACCAACCTTCGTAAAAAGTTAATAAAAATTGTTGCTATACAACATGATAAGTATATTTTATCGGAAATGAAGTTTTCAAAAGATGCCGCGAAAGGCCGTTACAAGCAATGTAAACAACGAAACGATTTTACAAGACAACAGTTGTGTCCGTGTAAATAAGTGAGACTCATATATAAGAAACCGTAAACCAAAATCTTCGTTTAGTGCAACTTACATTCCCGCAAATATTAAAACACAGTTTTTCAAAGATGAGCGTTTCATTTACTTGCTTTATCTTCGCTATTTTGGTCGTTACAGCAACGCCTTTAAGTGCTTCGGAGCGAGAACAATTAAGCTCATTGGATGCCACGACCGTTGAACACTTCACACTGGGTAGCACCGTTGAGGGTATATTTAGCTAGTAAAAGAATTTTTTAAATTTCGTTAAAAATTTATTTTAAAATTCATTCATTAGGCGCTTCACCGATTTACCAATTTCAAGAGACCGTTACACCTAACATTGACCAAAGTGAAATAATCGTTAATATTCAATATCCGAAATCAACTGATAATGCTGCCGATAACAGTTTAACGGACGCTGCCGACCAAATTATTACGAAAATCAGTTTGTATCTGGAGGGCGATGAGGGCTTCACATCTCAAGCGTACACTACGGCGGGCGGCATAAGTGAGCGAAGTATTACGCTACAGGTGGTCGTCACAAACACAGAGACACTACGCTATATTGTGATTATTGATGGCTTGAAAGCCTAACTGAGAAAGTTACAAGCTAAAAAATCAGTAAAAGTGAAATTTTAATAAAAAATAAATAAGATGATCGATGATAAATTATATGTAATTCAGTTATTATTAAAAATTTAACATGAAACGACGGAAAAGGAATTTTCGAATGTAATTGACACTAAAACAGACTTACATAGCCGTAGTTAATGCTGATGATACGAAAACTTAAGTATTTTTACCATAATCAAACGAATCTAAAGTTAGATCAACATACCAACAACCATTTGAAATTGTTATAAATATTCGTGATATATTTAGAAGTTTCACAATATGAATGCCAAATGATTTGTATCCAGTAAAGAGCTTTACAGTGATCGAGCACAACTTTTTGGCTAGCATAAGAAGTTTCACGTCTCCTAAACACAGTAAGATTGGCCCTATAACTTTTCGCATAAAAATTTAGTGAACGTTCAACCTTAAAAAGTGGGCGTGGTTTCACTATAAATTTAATATACATATTTCATAAACCATTATGAAAATAGATAATAACCAACGCCCTTATAACAATTATGTTGTTGCGGTACTAAAAGTAGTAGATAACTCACTGAAGAAATATGTCAGAAGAATTAAATTTCTTAACGAGGATGGTACGGACCAGCTTTGTAGCAGTCGCTGTAAATAAGCGTGTCTCAGCCCATCTTTAGGTAAAAACCAATATCTCAGGCATTACTCCATCAATTTCAACCAAATTTTATGTATAAGATTATTCGATAATTTTATGTTACATTATGAAATCGAACTAAAACCGCGCCTACTAACTAAGCGTATATCACAATTTTAAATTCCATCTAATTCTTTCACTTTACATTATACTTGTATAAATCAAGCACTAATGAAAATAGTGGAAATTGTACACAAATAGAGCCTTCGGGGTAGGTTATCTCACGTCTAACAATTATAGAAATCGAACCGAAAAACCGAAAATATCGGTCAATATGTGAGATATATTATTAAAACTTTAATTAATTCGAAAATAAGAAGAAACGTTAACTTCGGCTACATCGAAGCTAGAATACAGTTCAGAAATAAATAAGTTTCCATACAAGAACTTGATTTTGATCGGTCTCTTTATATTACAGCTATATGGCATAGGGATCCGATCTGCATAATATGTATCGTTGCTTTAGATAAAAATGTATGCCGAATTTCCTGAAGACACCTTGTCACTTAAAAAAGTTTTCCATACAAGAACTTGTTTCGGATCTTCTAGTTTGTATGCCAGAATTTTTGAAAAATATTTGAATTCTCTGCGTATCAGTTTTTAAGAGCCCATTTGCATCAACTCTTAGCAGAAAGTCTAACCAATTTTTTTTAGGATTATACATAGAAATAAGCTCTAGCCAAACATGCATATATTCAACAAATATTTCCAAAAAAAAATGCATTGGCAACAAGTTGTGAAAATAAAAATAAAAATAATTAATATATAATATTTTAATATTTTGTTAATCAAAATAACGATCATATATTCGACCTGCAACACCATTTTCTTCTGTAGCATGGTGTTGTTTATAGAAAAAACTAGGTTTTCGATCAGCAGACAGTCTGTCGTCTCAAACTGAGCCGCTCAGTCGTTGTGCGGCATTGCAACGAGAGAGTCGTTAATATCAACTCGATATCGTTTTCGCGATTTTCGCACACAATCCGTGTATTTGATTTTGTTCAGTTTTTTATAAATGTCAAAAAGTGAAAAAATAGATTTGCATTTGTTTGGAGATCTTGAAAGCGCATAACAAAGTTGTTATCAAACTTAAACAAGCAATTACCAACGTCTTTAAGACAAACACTAACGATCAATATAAATATATATGTATTTATGTACATAAACAAATGTACTTTGATTAGTGATGTTCTCCCAGCTTCAAGCAATTCATGAAACTGTGTAGGCGAGTTATGTTAGATAAATTGCTGACATTGCCCACAGCGTATCTCGCCGAACGATCGCCGCAGGTGTTCTCAAGCAGATATTAAAATATAATATATAGAATATATTAAAGTAAAAAAGAGAGCGAACAAACAATTTGTGGGAAGATCAGATCAGTTCAGATTGCGGGGAATCAAATCTGTTTCGACAACAAATCTGTGTAGAATAATTATTCGCTTACTCGCTCACGCTCTGTACTTAATTTCTTATTATCAATTATTGCAATTAAAAAATGTTTTCAACGCATAAGCTTTGTCTGGTATTAAAATTGTATTTTTGCGCGCATATTGTTTTGATAACTTTATCACCGATATTCGCTGCTGAAATTGGTAAGTATATTCGGTAAAAGCATTGTACGAATTTCGCTGAAATGTCATAAAATTATTAGTATATTAAACCAATAAATACGTATGTAACGGGTGATCCAAGTAGAGGTGCTTTTTTCAATAGTTTTTCTTTGACAGATTACCAATTACGAGTCGTGTCAATCTAGCATGCTATTTTAGTGGTTTAGTATTGTTTGTCATTTTATCATGGAAAGACTTACGCCTGAACAGTGTTTACAAATGGTTCAACTTTATTACGAAAATTCACATTAATTAATCGGCCTACTGAGCGTACTATTCGCAACACCATCACCCATCTTGAGACCCAGCATTTATTATTGGATAATACTCGACCGAATAGACCACGTCTAGCACACAGTAAAGAAAATATAGCTGCCGTAGCTGAGAGTGTATACGAAGACTGCGGAGAGTAGATAATATACATATTGTGCCAGAACTGAAGCCGCTCGACCTTCCCAAGCGACATCATTTTGCTCTATGGGCTCTTGAAAAGTTCCCTGAAGATCCGACATTTTTGAGCCAAATTTTGCTCAGCGATAAGGTCCATTTCTGCCTCAATGGGTATATAAATAAGCAAAATTGTCGCATTTGTGACGAAGAGCAACCTGAAGAAATCCAAGAGCTGCCATTTCAACCAGAAAAAACGGTTTGGTGTGGTTTGTGAGTCGGTGAAATCATTAAGAACGTATCCGTCAATAGCGACCGTTATCGCACCATGATAACCGACTATTTGATGCCTGAAATTGAAGCTCGTGATCTCGACGACATTTGGTTTCAACAAGACGGCACCACTTAACACACATCGCATCAATCAATTGATTTATTGAGAGAACACTTCGGTGAGCAGAAAATTTCACGTTTTGGGCCGGTCGATTAGCCACCAAGATCGTGTGATATCATTAGAATTTTTCCTGTGTGGATATGTAAAGTCTGCATGGACCAGACATTCCCGAGTCATCGAAATTGAACTCAACGGATGGACTATCTGAGACGTAGCCTCGGCCAACGTTTGAAAAAGAAAATCCTCAAAAAATGAATGCCAAATATTGTTGTTTCGAGTGATAATAAACATTTACCTTTAAATTTGAATTTTCTGTAATTTTTATTTTAAAAAAGTAGGGAATTTCGAAATGGATCACCCGTTGCATTTTTGCTACTGAGTCAAAAACTAATATAGCAAAATGTTATGTTATGAACAATCTAACTATTGTAAATTGTGATGAATCTATCATAAAAAATTTGCGTAATGAATATGATATAATGTGATGTATTACTGCTTCGTTATATTATTGACACAGTAGTGCGTGTTTACAATTTAATTTACATAGATCTTAAGTGCTAATTTCTGATTCTGCTATGATGTCACATAATGATGGAAGCTGTGATGTGACTGATTTAACTAGTTAATGTTAAAATGTTATGTGATTGATATAACTTGTTAATATAATATTATGATGTTATGTGATTGATTTAACTTGTTAGTGATATGATGTGATTAACTTGCCTTCTTGATGTGATGAATTCATTTGTTAGTGATATGATGTGATGCCAGGTGATGAAAAGATCTGATAATTTTTTAAAATGAATGACAAGCCATAAAAAATTTAAAATATTACACCACGCTTGTTTATAATGTCATGTGCGGCACGTGATGGAAAACTCAGAAAGTCGCGTGCCTTGTGAGGATGTGACATCATCTGGTGATGTGATCAACTTAGTATCGTGCTGATTTAATGCGATATTTTTATTTGGGCTGTGATATGACCTAAAACGTTCACACATTCAAGACACTATGATGAAAAAAAATTTGCTTAGTACTAAAATGATTAGATATTATTCGTAGAGCCTATAAGATTAGTTATTAGCAATCTGAATGCCGAAATTGGTCTGGATTCTTTTGTACATAATTTCAGATGACTTTTCTGAGAAAATGTTTCTATACTCATAGTGCCGCCGACAACCCTAATTCCATAAATTATTTTTTTATTATTTTCCCGATCTTTAGTACCTCTTTTATACAACCTTCTTAAGGTTAAGTAAAACTAGACAAAACGTTAACTCGGGTTGCACAGAAGCTATAATAGAGTTTTTATCACAAATAAAAAAGATTTCTTAGAAGTACTTCATTTTGATCATCCAGTTTGTATGACAGCTATATGCTATAGTGATCCAATCCGAAAATTTCTGCGAATATTTTGCGATTGTCTACGCCAATAATCCATGTCAAATTTGGAGAAGATATCTCGTTATACAAAAAAGCTTTCCATACAAGCACTTGAATCTGACCGCTCAATTTGTATAGCAACTGTATGTTATAGTGATTCGATATCGGCAGTCGGTTCCAAAAAATGAGCTGCGTGCGAAATTTCAGATTTATATCTCAAAACGGAGGGACTAGTTCGCGTACATACAGATAGACGGACATGGCTAAATCGACTCAGCTCGTCATGCTAATCATTTGCATACATATGTATTTTATAGGGTATCCGACGTTTCCTTCTGGGTGTTACAAACTTCGTAGTAAACTTAATATACCCTGTTCAGGGTATAATGATAGATATGAACTGTCATAAAAAATTTCTTATTTGATTCTTACCATTTTTTACTTATAAATATAATTACTTAGTTCAATTGGGCATTATATACAATTTTTTTTTTAGAAAATATAAAACATTAAAAATCGTTCTTTATATGAGACTGTGGTATGTCAGATAGCCACAAAATATTTTCTAAATACTAAAATAAAATAAAATATTTTTTCACTTCCAGAGGGCAATGCATGTGAAATCAAACAAGGAGTTTTTGGCAAATGCACATTACCACGGGATTGTCCAGATATTGCAAAACAAATGCAAAACCTCGGACTTACGAAAGCTGATGTGAAACGATGTGGTTTTACGATTTATGAAGAAATCATCTGCTGTCCCATTATAAACGAAAGAAATTTTCTGGGAATTTTTAATACCACAGACGATTTCTTAGAAAGTGACAAAAACTCAAATGGCGACAAACAGACACGTGGTGACTTCGGCGGCGTGCAGGAGCGAAAAGCAAAAAAAGCTTGCCGCTTACTAGATGACTTCGCCGAGCCATACACTGTGCCACATATATTAGGCGGATCGCCGGTGGCCCCTGGCGAATATCCACATATGGCTGCCATCGGCTATGCCCCAATCAATCCGCAAAACTCACCTTATGAGTTTCGATGCGGCGGCGCACTAATCGACAAACGTTTTGTGCTCACGGCGGCGCATTGTGTTAATCGACCGGATAGCAAACCGATTATTGTACGCTTGGGGTTAACGGATTTCAATGATCCCGATCAAATAAAAAATGCTGTCGATGTGCCCATCGAGGTAATATTGTAATGTTCTTCTAAAATAAATCACTCAATAATTCTATAGTTTTCCATATTTTAGGCTCTTTACCCCCACATGAATTACCGGAATTTGGAAAAGTATGATGATATTGCCATAATAGAGCTGAAAAATGATGTTGAATACTCTTCTCTAGTATTTCCAGTTTGCCTACATACAGATCTGGCTGATCCGCCACCCACAGCGACGCTCAACGTAACCGGTTGGGGCATAACGGAATTAAAAAGTAATTATTCAAAACTGTAATGTCGATAAATAAATAATTAATTCCTTTCTTTATTTTCTGTTCGTATTCCATCCATATCAGCACGTCGAAAATCGAATGTACTTCTAAAGGCGAGTGTCAAGACTATTTCCTTAGATAATTGCACTAAGGCTTATGTGCGCGGCGGCGTCTTACCAAGTCGCGGTATTTTACCCACACAAATTTGCGCCAGCGATCCGAATTTTATTAGCGACGCCTGTTGGGGTGATTCTGGTGGCCCGCTGAATCTCATCATTGATGAAAGGTTTCGAAAGATGCAAGTGATTGGAGTTGTGTCAGCCGGTGATGGCTGCGCCAGCGTCACCCCCAGCCTTTACACAAGGGTTGCGGCATATCTGGACTTTATTGAAGATATCGTATGGAAGAATCTGTAAACACTCCCCAGGAATATTTGTACATAAAATATTTGTTCAAGCGCAAATAAATTGTATATCTTTGAAACTCAAAGTAAATCACACTTTAATCCAAACTAGAAGTGGGTTGCCAACTATAACAATCGAGACTTAACAACTGAAAAACTTACCTATTTTTAACTAAAATTTTGATTTAAATTTGGTATAAAAACAAACAAATTTTGTATTAATATTTATATTTTAAATTTTGTGCATTTTACCCTCAGGTTTGACAAAAATTCTCAGAGCATTCAAATATAGTGATATTTTTATGTAAATAAACTCCTTACTATAATTTTTATATGATAACTCGTGTGTTTTTTTACAATCGTTTCCTTATTTCGTTAGGCATTACTCTGTTCACTCAAATTGTCAAAGTAATAGAAAAGGGCTTTCTAAAACTCTCTAGATCATTAGTAGAAATAACTAGTTCCCCTTTAAACCTCGCAAAGAGCGCGGAGCGGAGATCCTGTACATTAATACCAATAGACTGTTATACGATTGTCTCAAATCGTCACGCTAATCATTTATATGCATATTTTATAGGATCTCTAACGTGTCCTTCTGAGTGTTACAAACTTTGTGGCAAGCTTAATATACCCTGTTCAGGGTATAAACATTCGTACAGGTTGCAAAACTGTTTAATTGATATATAAACACCATTAATGAGCTTAAAATAATTGCGAAATGAGCATTGAATATTCTTGATTATTGTAAAGTTATTTAATGTTTACACGCCGAAATAAAATATGGCGCACCCTGTATAGTTATAATCATTAGACGAGTATTTTGACCAGGTGGAATCCATAATCTCCAATATAAGTGATGTTTAAGACCTAGCAACATGCCAAGTCTTACAAGTACTCACCAACACTTAAGTTGTATTTAAAGAATATAATACAGTATAGCTCTTTTTGTCAGTTCTCACCAATTATAACTGTATATATTTATATTATAATGTGAGCATGATAACACTCTTGTCCGACAAGTGCTAATAATCCTATCGTTTTCACACAATTATCTAGTTTTAACGTTTGGACTATCTTTACTTACCCTCTAGTTTAGTTAAACAAATAGGCACTTTGTAATTTTAAATATACACTACTCGAAAGTACTCGTGTTGTCATATAGAAAGCAAGTGCTAGGTATTCTTATGTATTTATACATAGCGGTACTTATGCTCCAAACGTCTGTGCGTACTTATATATAAGTATGTAGACAGATGTGTATACGGGCACGACGCCATAAAAACGATTATCAGCTGAGATAAAGAAATATAGTATTTGCCTCTGAATTCGAATTGCAATACATTGAGTACTTTTACCTACTTACCGTAAACGCTGCCGTTGCCAATAAAGTCGTACGACCGTGCCAATATAAACAAAATATTAACTTATTACCATTTGATAAGAAAGTAATTATAAATTTGCCAAAGATAGAATCAATTGCGAAAGTCGCGTATGAATTTGTTGTCTACAAAATGCTTACAAATACACGATTTCAATAAAATTTTCCATTTTGTTGTTGTTTTTGGCCATAGAACTTCTTTTAAATATAAATCTTGCTTGTAATCTCTGGAATACGTCAATTGATTCATTTGTCATAAACAAAAAATAAAATTTTACCTTTCCTAACATTTTCAAAACTGATAGAAATAGAGATTGTGAGCGTTCATTAGTACGTAAAGTCTAGGCGAAAGAAAAAGAGAAGGCTTTGTTCACAATTACTATGAAAGTTTGTCAGCGCGTTTCGCAATCTTGTTATTCTAGGACTAATAACAAGTCAATATTCATAATGCGTAATATCATGAGAAGAAAAAAATCAATTGAAGAAAGTACTTATAATACAAATGGGTACATATGGTAATTTATCTTAAAATAAATATGGTACTCATCTGCCAGAGCTGGATTCACAATCTATACCCCATTTATCTTCTTGCTATTCCTAACATATAAATTTTGTAAATGTTTGTGTTTTTTTTTTTTTTTTTTTAATGTACTCTTAAAGTGTACGTTCTACCACCAATAAATTATGAGAGTTTTGAAGTACAACGAGCGAAAAAAACACTCGAAAACTGTATGCATAGTATAATTTTTTGAAATCTGGAAAATTATTAAAATCGAAAGTGAAATATATAAAAAGCAAATTTTCGAAATTTCAATTTTGGAAAATGGACTACGCAAACGCGATTTCGAAAATACGATTTCGAAAATTCGGTTTCATGAAAAAGTTGGCTTCGAAAATTCAATGTGGAAATTTTATTTTCCAAAATTCGATTTAAATTTCGGTTTTGAAAAATCAGCTTCGAAAATTCGATTTCAAAAATTCAGTATTACTACTTTGTTCGCTGGATTTCGTAAGCCTTTTAGTACAAGTATTCCTAGTCGATTGGCATTAGTCCAATGCGTTCGTGACCACCAACCGTGATTGTTGTTTCAAAACCCGCACAAAAAAAAATAATATCAAAGTGTTTAGTAATAAATACCACGCCAACGCATTATTATTCATATTGTAATTATTATTATTATTATTAGACAATATTGCGGAAAACTCTAAAAACTCAATAACTTTATCTTCACAGCAAACTTGTTACTACGCTCAACGTAGCATAACTTTTTTTTTAATTTTCATTATTCAAATTTTACTTCAAATCACAGTTTTATTAAATCATCTTTGTTTGTTCTTTAAGTTTTCCAGAGACACAAATTTTTGCTCAACAAAAATTTTTTCATGTATTATTTTTCAATATAACGGCACACATGACGTACAGCTAATAACCATAAATGAACATCTCAAACTCGATATAATTAGTCTTATTGCCGGCGATAAGTATCTGACAATAGGATTTGTTGATACCGCCATCAACGAAGAAGGAGTCGGCATCTTCTGAAGAAACTGCTGCATAGATATCTACCTGAGTTATAATATTTGTATCGGTACCCTTGGCTGGATAACGTAGTAGAGCTTCAACATCTTCACCCTTAGTGAATTGCGTTGAGTCCTGGAAGTTGAGTATCAAGCGATCGCCTGTAATGAATAGGAGAAAAAAGTATAAATAAAACATATCCCAGCAGTTCAAAAGTTACAAAGAAGAAGAGATAGCTTTTCAGAAAGCATTTTTATAGCGAAAAATATATACAAAAATTTACTCTTAGGTACTTTCGATCTATCGGTAATTTCACTAGCATTCACTAAGTAAACGATTTGATTGTCGAAATTTTTTATGGAAAATTTTAAGCTCCATAATTAATTAATAATAATATTAATCGAGCAATAATTTATCTACATAAAGATCTTACGGAGGTTTTTATTTATGGGATCTCAACTACTTAGCAAACTGTTTATAAAAATTATTGTATTATATGATATCTATTTTTAACATAATTTTCCAAATTCAAAATATATTTGTCCAGTATGGATTATATACTTGGAGTAACAAATATGAGAATTAAAAAATAATAAAAGGCAATTTACTTTTTTATGAATATTTCATATATTATTTCCTCTTACATAAATTTAAGAAAATATAAAATATATGGCAACATAAGAAATACATTTTTAAATTAGACTTCCAATTAAAAGATGGTAAGGGTTATGGATAGATAGCTCCAAATACTACTTTAGAACTCGACTAAACCTTAAATTTTTAAAAAAATTTATTTTAATTATTAAATTAGCGGGATGTATAATTTCGAAGCATATGTCGTAATTATTATTTAAGTACGTGACTATCAACTAGATTGGCTTTTTTAACCTCAAAAAATTCTAAAAATTGATTTTAGTCCGAGAGTTTTCGAATATTATTCGAGTTTTATATATTATATTTAGACCTAGAAATGGCAATCGAGCCAACTGTTCGAAATTATAGGGTCCCACCAAATGAGCATTTATATGCAAGTATCCATAGCCACATCATGAATTAGCTTAAGTAGACTTAAAGTAAAGTGTATATTTTGAATCCATAAAAAAAAATTTTCGAATGCTTTTTCGCTATTTATCGTAATTTAAAGCTCTCGATTCTCAGGTCTTGTCTGAGATAAAGCAAAAAGTCTTGTCGCTGATAATGTGATAAGAACATCAAAATATGTACATATTAACTTAAGTCATAACGTAAGTCGAAGTTTATCACATTGTCAAAGAAATTTTCGAAATTATGTCATTATCTTTTAACAACACAGCTTTTAGTTGAAATCTGTTAAACTTAAACACAATTTCGTTAAGTTTACATTCTTTAGAGTTGTCATAAAATTTCGGCTCGTAACAGCAACCGCAACTACCAATGTCTCTCACCTGAAATTCTCTTGCCCGATGTGAATACATATTGTCCGCCGACATAATGATTTTTACTGAACAAAGTCAAAGCGGTATCTGGATTTAGCACAATATAACGCGTTTCATTGTTAACCGTTACTATTTCCGAGTACTGTAAATCAACTGCCAAAGCACAAGTAACGAAGATTAAGATAATAGAGCACTTCCTCAATGTGTTAATCATTTTTATATTGATTGTTTGTTGGTTTTTTTTTAGGAATTCCAACACACTTACGGCACTTTTTTTGGGTTTCAAAAACAATATTCGGTGTAGCTCATCTACCTATATGGCAAACGCGTCCGTTGTCGACTAAACGGTTTTCAAATCAATCGCTCCCGAATTGCTTTAGTGAGTTTTTATAGCAAAAGCTCGCCTAGATAGACAATCGCTTGGAACCAACCACAAATTTTGCAAGTAAATCAACTCTTCTATGAACAGGTAGACCTTGCTCAATACATCTTCATGCATTTACAGTTATATGTATGTTTGTATAAGTATTCATATCATGGAACATTCTTCTATTATCAATCTTCTATGTAGACTCTCTATTTTCCACTCTCCATTCACTGCTATCTTCAGGTAGCAAACAGTACATCAACTGAAATTATTGTGTTATCAACGCGAAAAATATGACTCTCACTAATTTCTCAAAATTCGGTACTAAATACAAATACACATACTTGCGTATGTGTTAGTTGATGATAAAAATATTAAAACAATAGGAGAACTCTAGCAAGAGCAGGTGAAAGCGTCATTCATTCATCATAGCGAAATGCGTACGCATCTGTACTCGAAAGCTGATGCCCTTTGTGGCCGCAATTTCTGCTTTTGTAAAGGATACAAGCATACATACAGACACACAAGCAACATAAAATAATAGAACTATTTTAGAATTAAATTAAGGTGGGTCAATAAATTCAGGGTGACATAAGGAACATACTTGAAAGTGCATAAAATATTTTTTAAGAAGAAAAATTGTGGTTTCGTCAACACAACTATAATTTTTCAACGTTTCCTGAGCACAAGAGTATGTGAAACCAAACTGTAAAGTAATAGAGTATAAGTAGACCAGGAAACCTTCTCATTCGCAGTCCCAGAGAGAGAGAGAGGGTAATCAAATGCTAACAAATTTTTTGTTTTTGCATATGGTTGATTTTCCAACTCTTCAATAACAGGTCCTTCTGTTTCAAAATCACTGTGTTCTGAAAGCCTGAATGTATAGATTTTGCGACAGTAGATGCCCACACCTAGATCCCACTTAACCTCAAATCAAACTGTAAGAAACTCACTGCTTTTCATAAATCCCTCAATTCATCGAATAACGTACTTTGACATTATTGAAATATATTGAGGAAGGTCCTTAATACAAATTCGTAAAAAGGGTCATGCCATAATCGAGTGAGGAATAAATTGTATGATATTTACCTACAAAACTTAGCCAACCTCTCATTTAACAGGGACAGATATCGAAATCATTCTGTTTTACCTTTTTATCTGAGAGTATCTCTTCTATCTTCACCCCTAATATTTAATAATATGAGTAATGATGTCTGTGAAAGCGTGACAAAACATTTTTCTAAACTGTCCAAAAATTAATGAAAGATTTAAATTTGCCGCCATTTATGTAGTAAAGTGTGGAAAACCCTAAAAAAAATCGACAGCTGACAGTTAGGCTTAGTAAAAATGGTGCATTACTTACTTTGCGCTTATATTTTTAAAAGGATATCCCCTTTATTTGAATCAACAAGTCAATCCATCGTCCATGATTCAAACTATACAAGTATAATATATAATATAAAGGTCGAAAAAATATCCGCTCAATTTCTCACTCGTAGACTTTGAAACATTTGAACATTATACTTGTAAGGAATCCGACACTCTCTGAATAATTTTAACACTAAAAGCTGTTTATAAAATCCAGCAGCCACAACAAACGACCTAGAACTTGAAGAATTCTTCAACAACAATAAAGTCGTGAAAATTAAAGACGGCTCTTGTGTCTTATTTCTCAGTCACCCTTGCAGGCCTTTTGATGACTTTCATTCTCTAGCTTAGACAATTTAGACTAACATTTCTTTACTTTAGTGTCTTGCAGGCGGAGGTGGCTCGCTCTCATCAAGGTCCACTGTCCTGTAGCTCGCTGATAGTGCACTTAAGACTAGTCAAGGAGTATTTGACCCCTTTATCAGTAGCATCAAGCAACTTTGCCGGGTCACATTGGAATCGCTATAAAATTCAAACCAATGTGCTTACAAGAGAAGGCACCTTCACTCCAATTTCATAAGATCAGAATGAGTCGGTACTCCACTGTCCTCTTGCGCTCTAACTTTGGATCTAGGGCTCCCACGAGCTTAGAAAGCGCTGGTAAACAACGAAAACTTACGATATCTCTCTTGCCCAGAGTGGAACGCAAAAGACTATTTCAACTACATGGAGGCTTGGTGGAATCACCTAAACACTTTTGCCAAAGTAAGGTGATACCATATCAATATATACGAGCCTAAATAGTCACTATTATTGGGACGTCATATTTTCTCTACTCTATCTAAAATTTTGGAATGAGAACTTCATTTAACATTGAAATCTCTGAAAATTGGAAAAGGTAATTCAATAGCTCAATTTCAAATGGGGTTGAGTTTTATTGCTGGCAAAGCACATAAGCAATTTCCTGTTCTATAGTTCAAAAGTAGCGATTTGTCATCCCTTAATTATTTTAGGTGTGCAAAACCTGATACGAGTGGTAATAAACTTTTATCACTTCACGCATGCAATGGACTACTGATTATCAGTTGGCATCTCAAACCGTGGCACTTAGGTGCATGTATATAAATCAATCATACCTACCAAATTGACTGCACTTGAAAATGTTTGAATAATTTAATTACAACTTAGCTATATATAATAATTAAAAATAATTGCCGTGAATTTTTTCTTATCGTATCTGCACCTATAAATATGTTTCAAAGAAGGCGCTAAGAATTATTTTTAGAATATCAGCTGTATTGACGTATCCTCTAAAGCTCACATATTCCACCTAAACAAATTGTCCTGCGGTTTCCGAAAATCTCAACAAGTACGCCCTATTACCAATCAATTTTTGTCTAGAAAGGTAGTGAGATGTAAACTTAAGGTATATAAAGAAAAAATATTCTTAAAAAGCAGAACTAACTAACTAACTTAATTTCCTATTTGACTTCCAAACTCCCTGTTAAGAGTCACGTACATAATTTTCAAGATACTCTTTTTTTGGAGGTGGCCAAGCCATTTACATATCCGACTTCGATTTTCTTTCACATTATCCGTAATCTGCAAATATGGTATATTACCAACAACTTTTTCTCTATCTCAAGTCTCAATATAATGCTTATGAAGATTAATGTCAATTTTGCAGAAATAGATCAATCCCACAACAATATGGTATCGAAGAGTTGAAATATAGGTATTACCGTTGCTCTCTGTAGATGGCATTCACATTAGAAAAAGTTTGTACTTGAATAGTCTGCTAAAGCGCCGTCTTTCCCTCCACAATTGCCAAATTTTATATTTATTTAAATAAAATATCTTCAATAACAAGAAACCAGAAAGTCAGCACGGTAAAGGAATAACAGGAAATATTCACAGACATATTAACGTAGGTGTGTCGTTCTTTTTCATAAAGATCTTAATCTGTAAATGATAATGCACAGTGGTCGCACCATTTCGATGACTTTGCATTTCCATGCCCAAAATAAATTTACAATAACACTTGTAAAATAATATATTTTTATTTGTAGAATTTCCAGAACGTTATCACGAATATACTTGTATATAAGTATTTAAGTTGGTGAAATCTGCGAAAGACGACAATCGCATGATTGTAATAATATATTATATTATTTCACTCTCCGAACCGTGATCCAATCAAGAACCAGCATGATAGGAATCACTTCTTCGAAAGCCTTGAAATATAATTTTCATAGTGTGCGCAGTATATAGCCTCTAGTTTTCAAACCATTTAATCTAGAACCACTTAGTCAACATACATACATACGTGTTACGGAAAATAGGAAACTGAGGCGGACGGACGGACTGACAAAAAAACCTACATTTTTACGTATTTTATTCTTGATTATCGCCTTTAAAATAAGATACGGAACCAATGCTTAATACAATTTTCCATACACATGTTATAAGCCTCGGCTATGATGTCCTTCAGTGCCTTTCGCGAATTTTGGTTTTTTCGGTTCCGGCTCAATTTTGGAGCGCTACTCGCTTCATACACAAAACATGAATCAAAACGTGTTGAGTCGACCCATAAGAGATGATGAGATCCTCGGCTGTCTATCTAATGACAATACGATGATTTTCAAGCACTGTTTCTCTAACTTTTTCGATTTTATCGTCATTAGTAGAGGTTGATGGACGATTCGCATGAGGCAATTTTCTATGACTACACCATCTTCATTGAATGGTTTATGACATCCAAATACTTGTGTTTGTAATAAAGTAGAGACCCCAAAGGATTACTTCGACATTTTCAACGTTTTTAAAGCTGTGATTGAATTGGAAACACAAAATTTCAAGTAAGCTGGGTGTTCAATTTATTTCCATGACAAAAATCGACATACAAACTTTTCGCGTCGTAAACAAACAGCTGCAAAACCCATACTAATTGACATGTGTAGATCTAACTTTAAACGAACAAAAAAAAAGATTGAACCAATCTAAAAAAAAACATGTTTAATTAATTTTTGATACTGGATACTTTTCGATACAATAAAAGTCATCTCCAACCTAAAGAAGAAGCTACATGCCATAGGTATATAAAGTAGCGAAAGAGTTGGTCTCTATCGTGTCTCAGAAGCTTCACTCCCTTCGAATACCGTTTTAAGTTAGTGCATAGCCATCTTGATCAAATATGTATGTGAAGGAAGGACGAAATAGCAAAAAGCCTTTTCCTGCTTATAGAGAAAACATTCTGTTCGTCATTCTGATTCTCGCAGAGATACAGAGAGGTACTTTATTAAAAAAAACAAAACAAAATACTTGTAGGTAAACTATTGATTATGATTATCACCAATTCAGTTAGACATAATCAGTTACCACAACAGTGGCTTATCTGATACTCCTCATAGGTAAATTTAATACATATATTTGCGCTGAAACACGTTTAACCGGTGGAAGCACCGAACTTTATTATACAAAAGTGGCCCCTTATCTACCTTGTTGTTATTTATTTTGCCATAACATTTACCTTATCGAAAATATTGATTTGGTGCGAACAGATTTTAACGCGCTAATGTTACGGCTTTACATATAAGATAAATCTTAATTAACTGTATATTAATGATTTAGTGACACTTCATTTATAGAGATATACATATAATAAATGTAAACCTTTGCCACGCGAAAAATGTCCATACGCAGTATGAAAACATTTTCTATAAACAAATTAAATATATAAAGTTTGTATTACCTAAGCAAAATAGGTGTTTACCTGTCACGTGGCATGTCGAATGCGCTTCTGGTGAAGTAGTTTTTTAATACGTGTATTTACAAGCTAGATTGGGTTTTTTGAGATTTAATTAAAGTGAAACAAATGAAAGAACACTCAAAACTACAGACTGTATATTAGGTAAGGATTTTGAATATTTATGGAACCACTTGAGGAAATTAATATTTTTAGGTGTTAAAAAAAATGACGTAATATAGCACGATACTTAACCACACATTTGTATTGATAATATAAGCAAATGGGTGCGTTATCAAATAATTTGGAATATTACCAAATTTAATTTATTAGGCTTTGTGTCACAATACGTCATAAGAATCGATTTAGTTGAAAAAAAATTCTTCGAAATACACACAACTCTGGTTGGTAGGAAGTAACTTTATCAATAAAGACATGCTAATCGCCATTAACTTGCTAATTAAGCTAATTAAATATTTTCGTTACCGTTTCGTCGAATCATGGATGGATTCCAAATTTTGTCGGCAAGCTAAAAAGTTTGTGATCCGATGTTGGCCTTTCGGTGACTGAAAGTATTTTAAATGACTAAAGATACATAAATCGAGTAGCATAGAATGTTAAGACAGTCAATAATCCTGAGAAAAATTTTGCAGATAAATAAATCGAATATATTTCTGAATGACAGATAAATCAGATTAAATCGCAAGATTCTGGTGTGACAATTCCTAAAACGAGAGATACACAAATCATAGCCAAGTTACGTCAACATTAGTCTCTTAAATATAAGTATAATAAAGAAAGAATTTCTGAAGTGATGAAATAAGCAGTGTCCTTCTACGATAAAGAATTAATACAAAAATAACACATTTAGTTTGCATAGGAGCTATATGTTATGGTAATGCGATATGAACAATTTATTTGAAAAAGTTGTGCATACAAGCACTTGATCCCACTTGATATGGCAGCTATATGCTATAGTAATGCGATTTCTTTTTAGATGTTACAAACATCGTGGCAAACTTAATATACGCAGTTCAGGGCATAATTACTTTGGATGGCCGACAGTTGATCAAAATAGCTGATAACCATGACCGATTTCCCTTGTCACAAATAAATGAAAACAATGGAAATATTTGCTAATTTTTTCTTCAAATTTCTTAAGCATCCGGATCTGACCCTAGCGACTTTTACTTGTCCTCAGACCAAAAAATAATGTTCGCTGGAAAAAAATATTAAGAGGTACATAATCTCTTTTGGAGCAAAAACCATATCATACTAGAAAAATGGTATCGAAAAGTTGGAAGACAATTTATGAATTTATAATCAATTATTTTGAGAGTGTATGGTATGTGCTTATCACGTTTCATCATTATTTCCAATATCTAAAATAACTTGGCTCGACATAAATGATTTGCAAATAATATGAAATATAAAAATTGAAGCATACTTTCAGGCTAAGAACAACATTTATGTGCGCATGGTTTGTTTGAAGAATACGTTTGCCAGTCTATTTACAGTGGCAACCACCTTATCAGAACTTAAAAATTTGCAAAAACAAAAAAAATTGTTACTACGCGACCCTCGTAACCAAATACAATATATACATGATTTATGAAACGTGCGATATAAGATATTTATTTATTGTAAATACCTATGAGTTTAGATTTTCAAAGGTGCGATATTCGGAGACTGTCTGAAACCTCGTGTAAACTAAAAGGACCAGCAGGGATACTTGATAATTGTAATAGAACTGGTATTATAACAAATATGCAGCTTCTTGATAAGAAAAAGATGTGTGCAAAAACTGAGCGACCAGTTCGCGTATATACAGACGGTATCGATAGCTTATTACGCTATTAATTCATATTTATACCTTATAGGGTCTCCGACGTTTCCTTCTAGGTGTTACAAATTTCGTAATAAACCGTGTTCGTGGAGAGAGATCATAGCAAATCAAACAATATAAGAAGGAACCTCTTCAAGCTTAAGCACGCCAGCTACATAATTAAACCAGTTAAAAATTTGCTGTAACGCTGGCTAGGATAACTCCCCTAATTGAATGCAGAGTATTCTGTACAGAATCTAACCTTAACCAATCAGAAAGAGTATCTAAGAAGGATGAGTCCATCCTACAAATGAGCATATAAAGAAGGACAGTATAGCGCCTTTACAAATAATCTCAAAGAAGATATTTTATTCTTTTGATACCTTCATGTATTTATACAAAGTTTTCGCTTATAAAATAGTATTTATTATTTATTTGAAATTCGATTAATTTGAGCCATAGAATTGCGCATTGTAGGAAAATGTTTGCGTTGCAGTAGACTCCAATACAATGGAAATAAAACGCTGGCCAATACCGCCGGCAACAACGTAAGCGTTGCCCTCAGTTGAGTCCGCTTCGCAACGGATTAACACATAGGTGACTATACTGCCAGTGCCAGCTTGTGGGTAAGTCAATTGAACCGTCACATCCTTCGCATCTTCATAATTAAAAGCGTCGGCTATCTGAGCAGCCAAGAAGTCGCCTGAAATATGACAGAAAGAACGGTAATAAATCAAAGTGTTTGAGCGGGTTTCCATTATAGCAAACTTACCTTGTACACGACCGCCTAATTTATACTCGACCGTGGAGCCGCTTCTCGCTTGGCCACTCTCCTTCTTTAACGCTAGCAAGGACAGGCCTGGATGTTTTCTCTTAAACTCATTGATATCCTTGACCACCATTATTGGACGCACTTTCTCTGGCGCTATTTCGTTGCTGCTATCCCGGACAATACCGCCACTCACAACACTAACAGCCAAAATGGCGCAGAGCGTAAAGGCAGCCAAAGCGTAGAAACGTGCCATTTTCGATCAAAAGAAAACTTGTAGAAACTTTTACAGTTACTATCACTGAATGACAAGCTAATGCCGTGATTTTGCCCATTTATACCACAACAATGAAGAGCCTACAATTAAAGCGACAGCGGTCTTATCAAATACAACAAATGATAAACAAAAAACACCGTCGTAGCGATGCCAACTCTGTTGACTGCTCAATTTCGGTATTTACGGGATTTTATATTGATTTTTTACTGATCACCAGACTTTAAACTTTTGGATACTTCCTGTACAATCCGTACACTAAACGATTATTGGAGAACTAGCAAAAGCTTAGAAAGAATAAGTTATGTCTAATTTAAAGTTTAAGAAAGAGCTAGTTCTGATATTGGATTAGACATCAGGTTTACAGGAGTGGAAAGGATTTACTAAATTTTCAGTATATGTTAGTAAGCAGAAACGTATATCTTTTAAAATTAAAATCTAAAATAAATATTACAAGTCCCAAAAATTTCGAAGCTAGTCTTTAACGATCGCGATTTTTTTAGATTGTAAGATTTTCGAGATTAACAACAATAAGTAGTACACGACTTGTATGCAAAAAAAAAGAAAGTAGTGAGCAAGACCTAACCTAATATATTACAGAAATTGGTATTAAATATTTCGAAATTGATCGGTTATTGGTGATACATATATTCATTTAAAAAGAGGTGGGGAAATACTATTTTGTTAATAGACGAAAGTAAGGTAATATAACTTGAACATCCTGAAAAGTGGATAATAAGTTTGACACGAAATTTGTAACACCCAGAAGACAGCATCGGACACGCTATAAAGTTTACATACACAATTTCAGAGAGAGACGAGCCGAGTCGATCTAGCCATATCCATTAATCCGTCTGTATATACGCGAACTACTACCCTCAGTTTTTGAGATATCGATTTGAAATTTTGCACACGTGCTTTTCTCCGCAAGAAACTGTTCATTTGACGAAACCGCCGATAACGAACGACTATAGCTGATAGCTGCCATACAAACAGATCGATCAAACTCAAGTCCCAGTATGGAAATATTTTTTATTTGACAATTTACCTTAACGCAAGTCGGCACAGATTATTGTCCAAGACAACGCATCCATCTTCGCACAATTTGTTCAGATCGTTATAGCTTTCATTTTCTTCTGGTCTCACCGAGTTTATTTGCAATAAGTGGGCTCACTTGATCGCTGTGCCAAATTTCGATTGACAGGTGTTCAGGGAGATAACAATATTAATTTTCATACCCATTAATAATACGGAACTGCTAAAAAATAATCTTTTCTTATCGTTCAAATTAGCTTGATTTGTTTACGCATATACGAGATTGTTATACCTATATTTCCAATTAGCAAGAACTCTTCGATGCGTAATAGTTTGACATAGAATGGTATCTACACCTTACTTGAAAGGTCTAGAATTCGTCTCGAATTATTTTTAGAAACTTTTTGAAAAATCTTTCCTACAATGACGAATATTTACAATTCTAGGAATTATTCAACCACACAGTGATTGACTTTCGATTACCGTTACTGATTTATAATCAATATCTACAAGTAATTTATCAAATGACTCATTTCATAACAAGTTTAGTATTTATAAACACATATGTATGCACATAACTTGTGACCAGAAAGTTTCCGGAAATTGTAAATAAAACGAAAAATTTTTATTCGTCATCAATAATTTCGTTTTTCGTCTTCAAAATATGCTCTTTCTGAAGCGATACACGCATGCCAACTTTTTTTCCAATTATTGAAACATACGTTGTAGGCGTTGCCTGGGATCGCCTTTAGTTCCCTCAGCGAATTTTTTTTAAGGCATCAATCGAGTCGAAACAGGTTCCACGGAGTGGTAACTTGAGTTTTGGAAATAAAAAAAAGTTGAATGCGGTCAAATCCGGTGAATACGGTGGTTGATCGATGATATTGCACGAGTTGACAATTTCCGAAAACTTTCTGGCCACAATGTATTGTATATACAAATGCTTTTTGCAATATGTTCAAATGTAGGCTAACTATTGATAAAAATCTATATATTTATCAGTTACCAATATATTTTTTTATATCATATTTATACATGCACATGTATAAATAAAACAAATACAAAAATGTACACCTATCACTTCAGTTATTCAAGAGTTCAAATATCAGGCTTCTCGACTACTGTAATGCTGCTGACAGCATTAATTGATATCATAAGAGCAGTGACACAACTAACAGATATTGTAGGTAGAGACGTAGATAACGATGTATGCTAGAGTTGTCTTGAAATGAGTAACAACTTCCGCTTGTCTTCTCAAATATCATTGTATCTTAATGTTAAGTATTTAAGTTTTGGGTATTTTATTTTATAGCACTTTTTTGATCAGATTAGTATTGAATATTTATGATATTTTTACGAAAATTGTAACACCCAGAAGAACACGTCGAAGAACAGAAATTTAACGATCAAAAGCAAGTTCTTGTATGGCAAACTTTTCTATTTGACAAAATATCTTTCCAAAATTTGGCAGAGATTATTGTCTAAAGCAACGGTACAATCTCCAAACAAATTGCTTGGATCGGACCACCATAGCATATAGCTGGCATACAAACTGAACGATCGGAATAAAGTGCTTGTATGGAAAACTCTTTCGTTTGACGAGATATCTTCACGAAATTTGACATGAATTATTGCCCAGGCACAACGGCACAACCTCCGAAATAATTGTTCAGATCGGACCACCATAGCATATAACCATATAACCGCGAAGTTAACGTTTTTTTTCTATTTTTTTGTTTTATAATTATTGTTGTTGTTGTTGTTGTTGTTGTTGTAGCGGCCGAATTCTGTTATTATTATTAAATTACTATTACTATTTAATTATTATTAATTTCATAAACTCACAACCAAAAATGAATAAACAAGCAGCATACGTTAAAATCATTTATTGCATGGTTTTTCAGACTTATATTCTACTTTTGCAATTCCTTTATAAATACGAAATAAATAAAATTGTTAAAAGTGTGTAAAAGAAGTACACACGTACATACATAATAATTTCAATGAAATACATATTTTCGTTTCGAGAAAATAGCGTTATGTATCACACGAAATATACACAAATATGATACACATTATAAAGTTACAGATTCAATTACACGATTCACTTAAATTATAGTACTGTTCCAGAAACTAACGTCCCATATGCTTATAGTAATAAATTATAACAATTGGAAGATAAAATTTCTTAAAATTCTCTATGTATAGTTGGCAATGTTGAAGCATTTTAATATGTATCTATAAAAAAAGAATATACCTACATATAAAAAATGTTAGCATAGATCTTTAGCGCTGAAAAGTCAGCGCGATTTCAAATTTTCAAGGCCATTTTCAAATCCATCCACGTCCATTCTGTCAATCCAGTACTTAGTTAAAACTTAATAAACTTGAGCGTAAATACGCTTGGAACGGTTACTTTCACATATACATACACGTAAATATGATTGTTTTCTTTTTTACTAACGTGTCATAACATTGGTTACAGTTATTGCTTGATTTTTGTTTTCTTTTGACAGCACTTTGCGCCATACAAAATAATATCATACTACCAGTGCCCTTCGCAAGCTTCGGTTTTATAATTTTGCATTATAAATGCGCTTACACAACTAAAATTACGAGCATGCATGCATAAACATATACATACATGCATATGTATATCATATTGTAGATAATCCTCACTGTAATTTGCGTCTCAACTCGCTTTAAAATCTGTTCAAATTCAACAAATACATTTCATAATCTCCTCCTTGCTAATGAAACCCCGCGCCGCATTGCTGTTGAGGCATGCCGCTTACCACCTGGGCTTGATCGCTTTGAACCACCATTGCTGATAGCCATCGTTGACGTCGCAATGTGCCAAGAATAGCTGCTGCGATGTCGGATGCACGGCCATACATTTCTTGTGTGTGCGATGCAGCAAATGCTTTGTGTTCTCATCATAATTCCACGGACCGTCCACTGTGCCCAAACGGCATACAGCTAATTTAATGCCCTGACGATCTGCCTCCACGCAACGCTCACCCACACCCAGTTGCCCGGCGGCATTTAGACGTATCAATTGATTATTACCACCGCCGTGGCAGTGTGAGAGTCCCATAATGGCGGGTGGCTGATGACCCATCGAATCAAGGCAACCATCTGTGGCGACGGAGCGTAATTCGCCCCAATGCAAATTGGCTGGCAGTGCGGGAAATTTGTCGTACACATCGTATGCTATATTGTCCATAAACCACTGGAAGGATTTGCAATTTAGACGCTTCTTGAGCGCCAATTGTTCGCTAATATCGCCCATATCGAGATAACGCGCCAGCGGTTCCCGTGTATAGAAGTACTCTTTGTGTGTATCGTCAAACCACGTCTCGATGACACGCTTGTAATTGATTGTTATCAGTGGTCCTTTCTTGGCTTGTGCCAATTTGCCAAAGTTGTAGGGCATGAAACCGCGATAAACGTGTCCAACGCGCGAGCATGGCACCCATTCAATGCTGCCACCACATTGCCAGATCTTGAAGCTCAATTCGAAATTTTCACCACCCCAAACCAATAGACCCGGATCGTATGCACCTAATTCCAGGAAATATTCACGATTAATGGCAAATAAGCCGCCGGCATGTGTAGGACTGCGGTAGGGTTCGGAATTGTGTGCGCGTCGTCGTTGTTCGCGTTTGGGCACCTCGTTCTCCTTGTATAACATACCCCATTCAAAAATGCCACGGAAATGCGCGTCGCTACCATAGACCGGACGATACTCGAAGGTTTTATGATCAATGCCATCAATAATTGGCACAGTCATCACCGTACGATCGCGATAGATGGGCGCTAACAGCGGTGGCAACCAGTTCGTGTTCACTTCGCAATGTGCATCGAGGAAGACAATCACTTCGCCTGCAAAGCGTAAAGTAAATTAGTTAAAATGTGTATTTTCAAAGGTAAAATTTTGACATATTTAATATTTTGCTTACCACTCGCTTCTTGTGCACCTCTTGAACGCGTACGAATTAGACCCTCTCGCTCGTCATTGCGTATAAGTTTTACTAAACCATTGAATTGTAGCAAATAGTTATCCAATTTCTCGCGTAAGTCCCGCTTATCAGAAAAATCATCTACTAGCACTATTTCATGTAATACATGCTTAGGCGAGCGATCGATCACCGAATGCACTGTGCGCATAAGCACTGAGAAGCCTTCATTATGAAAAACAATGATAACACTAGTTTTAGGTAAATCATAGGGATAGTCCCAATGTTTGCACTCATCCAAACGTGAATCCCGCACCGAGCGATGCATTGATATCTCATCTGAACATGCAATATTCATGCCATATTCCATTTCAGATTCATCTGCTAGATTTTTTTTGTCGGCAGACAGTTGATGAGCATCACCATTCTCGCCGGGTCCCACACGTTCTTCCACATTTTTTGGTTCAAAATTTCCAAGACCTAAAAACAAGCCAACAGTTAGAAATTATAGAGAAAAAAAAGAAAAAACAATAAGGTCTTATATAAATATACGAGTAAGTGCAAACAGACGAGATAACAATAACGCGTGACTTTATAGAACAACGTCTGTACAACAATGTCTTTGGATTTAATTAATTAAAGGCATATATGTTTTGATAGCGGTTAAAAAAAATTTTACCAATACTAAATAAAATCCTTAGTTTTTTTTTTAGAGTGTGTAAAATCTATAAATTTGAATCGATCTTTAAATCGAAATTGTCAACAACTATGTAGCGCTAATATATTTTTGATGTTCGAAAAATTGATTAGTATATTTGTGATTGATGTATTATTTACAACATGTATTGCTCAAACTTGTACTTATATTATATTTATTAAAACAGATTGTTCTCAGAGGTATTTCCATAAAATGTTACATTCATCAATATTCGCGTATTGCGAAAACGAGTATTTATAATAAATATTCAACAGCAGAAAATTTACATTTTGTTTTAAAAATTGTTGTATGTGCTTCTCTCTTTAAAATACGCAAACACTGTATTGAACCAGAGAACTTAAAACAAGTTCTTAAGTTCTCTGATTGAACATCAAATATAAAGCAAGGTCAAAACTAGACAATGAACTTTTTACCGGCTAAGATAAAGTAAATAATACAAGTTTACAAACAAAGATGTTTAGAAATCTCACTCACCTTCGACTAATTTTGGCACCTCACGCGGCCTTCCCTCCAATCGCTGATGGTTAAATCTTGCGAATTTTCCGTGGTAACTACTTATTCCACGCTTTGTGTCGCCCCATGTGACCAGCAGAAATATTAGCGGCAATATAATGCAACAGCACAACGCTATGCGGCATAAACGACCTCCACGAATATTACTTACACGCATTTTACAAACAAAAGTTATAATGTAAATAAAATAAATGCTTCCAACTGCTTTACTACAATGTTACTTGATATGCTACAATTCCACTTTCAGCCACATTAAAATCTGTCGACGTGTCGCAATAGCGGCCCAAGCTACCTACGATTTTCGCACTACGGATTAAACTAAAATCAACAATTATATACGAGTAACAAAACACAAGCTATATTTATTAATCGACGAAAATATAGCGGCTAAAACTACAACTATTGTATTTTGTATTCTTAAATAGCAGCACTATAAAAGATTAGTTTTAATAATACATTTGTATATCCATTCCTGTAGGTAAATATGCACAGCTGAATCCGAAATTTATTTCAATCAACATTTTCACCTTTAGGATCTAAACAGTGCACGAACTCTGAATTTCTTTTAGATGGTGAACTTATGAGTGGTAGACTTCGGATAACTTTGTTTCCTGGGTAAATAAAATATGTATTTAGAATGATCTTGTCATAAATTTGTAATTAAATTATGTCAATCCGTCACTAAACTATAATAAAAAAATATGTATGGAGATGTTTTTCTTAATTTGGCTATTGTACTTTTCTATTTTAAAAATCAAAAGAACGAAAATAGATAGTTATATGGTAAGACATTTATAAAATTTAAACATTTCCTGTGCTGCATTCCGCTTAATCGGAAGCTCAGCTAATATTATTGTGCTTTGAATTCTCACCACAATTTGAAAGTTGTGTGTCAATATAATTGAATTGATTTTTATTGTGAATTTATTTACGCTCTTCAACGTAGAAGAAGCAAAAACTATTCGAATTTTGTAAAAGCGCCTAATGGCGCAAAAGGAAGCATAAATAAAAATGCGTAAAAGTGCGAAACTTCCTCGCACATCACGAGTTAATGACAAAATTATCGAATATTACTTAAAATTTGGACAGGATCGTGATTTAGAAAAGTACATGCGTCTATATTCACCATGCGGGAGTCGCAGCGATTGCAAAAGCTTTAGCAGTACAACAACAAACAGCAGTTGCCGTAGTGAAGATGAAGGACGCAGTATGAGACGATTGTTTCATCAAGAAACTGATACGACCACAGAAAGTGATTGTGAGCCGAAAGAATTTATAGTACCAATAGAAATGCAGTCTAGTAACACTATTGGAAAAGGTCTGAAGTCGAAATCAGACGAGGTGAGGCAAACATTAAAAATACAGATTACTTTTTGACAATTAAATATTTAATATTTAGTGTACATCATCTGCTCCTGACTTGCATACACCTCCACCCAGTAATCTTAGGAAAGGACAAAGTAAACAAACGCAGACTCCCGAATCGATAACAAAGTCACACAAACGTCTGGAATGGGATTCTTTGGGTGATGTCGGCTATAGAAAGTCATTATCAACTAGCAATATCAGCATTTTAGAACGTTCTGTGCTTAAAGAATATTTTCAAGAAATTTCATCTATCAGCAGTTCGAAAAAGGAAACCAATAATGTTGAGTGTTCGAAAAGTACGAAAAAACATGTCGAAATACACAAACCGGAGACAACCACAAAGCAACATATACCCGAAAGTAATACACCACCTTTAGCTTCCAGCACAATGATGCAATTGGATAAAGGAAAGAGTAGCAAGCCACAACCAAAATTGGTTTCTAAAAGCACATCAATGTCACTACAAAAGAAATATGATCAATATGCGCAAACTTCTACATATGTGCCACCGCAGCACATATCGCGGGAAGTGCAAGTGACGTTATCCAATACGCCTTCTGTTACATCTTCAACCGCAGCGGGCACTGCAACTCCGAGCAGTTTCGATTACTATTCTTCTCGTTCAGGACGATCCACAACAGACAAAGAAAAACGTGTTGAAAAAAGCGCTTTGAAAAGTGTCCATCAAAATGTAATGAAGTCCAAAGTAAACGAAGAATCCGTGCACCCATTCGTAGCGGAAATTAATGAAATGTTATCCTCTTGTAAAATAGCTGACTCAAGAAAACACAGTTCCAAACAAGAGAGTATAGTAGCGGACTTACAAAAAGTACACGATACTTTGAAAAAAGTTCTGAGCGAAAATAAAGAAAACTCCTCATCTACTTCCTCGATACTCAACTCGCCACAGCTAGATTTAGGCATCCAACTGTTGTGTTCGCTAATAGATGCACGAAGCTTAAGTCAAAAGCAAAAGAAAAGACTCGTGCGAAATATCGTAAAACGCATATCAACTCTCAACGCCGAAGACGAAGGTGATGCGGCTGAGATTGCTGTCGCACAGTTTAGTAATGCATTAACAGCACAAACTGAGAGAAGTGAAACACATAAGAATGCAAATGAAAATATGGAAGCAACACCCCAAACAAGTTCTGCGGTTACAGTGGCAAGAACTGGCAAAGCTACGATGGACATGAGCGATTTAGCGAGTAATTTACCTTCGAGTACAAGCAGCGAAGGAGTTGACGAACATCTTATAAGTGTCGATGGTAAGTGTTTTGAAATTTAAGCAAATTAATTTTAAACTGTTATCGTTTTCAAGTTATAAATAAACCATCGTTGCCGACAACCTCTGCCAAGGCAAGGGCTCGACTGGCTGCTGAAAATACTGAGCATGTACAAAAGTTACGCATAGCGCACGCGCATATAAGTGCTGGCACACAAGTGGAAGAGATGGATCTAACACAAACGAAATACAGTAATGTGCAGGAAATTTCAGAAAACTCTGAAATACAGAACAATTCACCGCCAAATGCACCAGTAAATATAAATAAAGATGCAGACAAAGATTCTTCAGCTTCTAAAGCTAGCACTACATCTAAAGATGTCACCACACAGAAAGCCCTAATAAATATTGAAAGTGGTGGCGCCTCTGACACAGACGTAGACGTCGCTGCGCATTCTACAATGCGCGAGTGGCTGAATCCTATGACACAATCAGAAATTGAATATGAGCAGAAGAAGTTGGAAATGGTAAAGCTAGCCGCCAAAAAAAATAAACTTACCAAATGCTTTGCAAGCGAGAAAATCGAGCCGGAACGAAAATCACAACTACAATGGATACAATCGGAAATTGAACGCTTAGAAACATTACGCTGTCTATTGCTCAAGCCGAATATAGAGCGTGCAAGTTCTTTGGAAATACATGAATCGATGCCACTTAATGTGGAAAAGTTATACGACACTGTTTTTACGGACACAAAGTTGGCTTCAGTGACCAGCTCGACGACAACCAGCGCACATAGCAGTGAAAATAACAAAGCGATGCAGGAAATCGAAATAATTATTGAGGAGTCAAATGAGGATGTTATTAAATTAGATGAGAAAACCAAATCTACGAAACAACGCAAGCGCGAAACCCAAATCATTTACGACAAGCCCGTTGAAACGACAAACATATATGACAACTTAGTACCTGGTAAAGCCCTTTTTCGCACTATGACCGAGACAGTTACAACTAAAGAAGAACAAGTTCTGCCAACAGCTGCTATATTAACGCAAGAATCTGCAACAACAGCTCCACCGAAGCCATTGCCAAGTGCCAAACAACGCCAACAGCAGCGCTCCAAAATTGACACGCCTTCCGTTGACAGTAATGACGGCGAGAGTGTTGGCTCATACGCACAACAACGCAAGCGTGAGTTTTTAGAGCAATATCGCTTAAAAAAACGCAGCCAGTACGTGTCATTGCTACACCAACAACAACAAATGCTAATCCAACAACAACAGCAGATTATACATGAGCTGCAGCAGCGCTGCAATACAATAACGCATGCGCCAGCAGCGCCAACAACTGGACACTATTCTGTGCCACACCATATGCCGCCCAATGCGTATTGTCAGTGTGCCTCAACGCAGCGACCTTATAATCAAACGTATTTTCATCAACAGCACAACAATATGTGTGCAGCGCAAGCACAAACAAATATGAAACGTTCGCAACCGGCTCCTCCACCTTGTCCGCCACGTGTGCAATCGCAACAAGGCGATGCCATCAATTACTCCCATAAAACACAAACAATACACAGCGAGCAATCGACTTCGTCAATATTTTGCATTTCATCCGAGGTCTCCATACCGATGGGATCAAGCAGCACAACTAGTTCCACCACCACGACTACACATCAGTATGACGACGTGACAGCCGTGACTGTACCAGCTCCAGGAGTGGGTGTACAAACTGGCGATTCTTTACGTCGCTCACAGCCGATTTTCGGTAAACGTTTACAATATAACTGCGCACGTATGAATGTCCCAACGTGTTTTGCCTATAATCCACAACCCGTTTGTTCTGGCCAATCGATTTGCGTGCAGGTGAAGCCGAAAGCCATCGCATATGTTATACAATTCGAAAAGAAAACTACATCGTCTACAACGACAACAACCACCACAACAACCAGCGCCACATCAGCCGCCAGCAATCAATATACATCGAAACCCAGCAGCGAGTCCATCGATTTGCAGCGTGAAGAGACGGAAGTGTGCGCCTTGCAAGACTATCTAGTACGTGCCAAACCCCAATTCATTGCGCACACAAAGGAGCGTAAGGCTATACTCAATCAAATACAAGTGCTGCGTGAGGAGCGTGGTAAGGAATTGCGCGACATCATTGAGAATGCCAGTGAAAACTCGTTGGAGACGCGTTTGCAACATTTACCGCCACCCGCAACTAGTATGTGTCTAAGATGTGCATATATATATATATATATATATACAACTAAAGAAGAACAAGTATATATATATATATATATGTATATACTTTTTTTTTTGTTTTACTTAATTTAACATTTCACTTTTAGAGCGTTTGCGAATTTTCGCCACCAAAGAGATGAAGGCAATGACGCAGCGGCATTGTGAGAATTTACCCGAGATATTAAAGCAGCGGGAACGCAAGCGCGAAGAACGTCGCCGCCATGGAAATCGCCTAATCAGAGATATATTTAATCAGGTACTTTTATTTGCTATATTTACTGTTAGTTAATTAATTGTCATTTATTGTTATTTATTATTTTTTATTTTTGCAGCGTTTGCAACGTCGTGTGCGCACCGGAAAATTGTCATTAAACCATAGTAAAACCGTTATTTAAAAGAAGAGGCCAAACCACACTGCATTTATTTGCGCAAAATATATTTATATAGTGAAATTAAAATTTAGTTAATAAAATAAATAAATAATAATGCAAGGCTTGTTGTAATGGAAAAGAAATTAAAATTTGCGTTAAAAATTGTGGCTAAAAATGCGTTGTGTTCAAATGTTTTATATGAATTACGAAAATTGTACGGATAAATGCTGCTTTGTTGGCTTGCACGCGGTTACTAAAGATTTCTGATAAGTTATATCATTACAATTTAGTTGTTGCTGCAGCTTGCTGTTTATAATACCGAAAACTATTAATGCATTTCAAGTGCAAGCGCCTCGAATTTTCAAAAAAATATTACGGTTTCAGCGAACTATAGACACATTCTGACGTGTGTTCAAAGTCATTTTCCAAAATCGTGAGTTTTTGTTATTTTGTTTTTTTTTTTTTATTTATTTTTGTACATTTTTTTAATTTTTTTTTATGTTTTTTTGGTATTTATTTAATTTTTTTTATGCATTAGCATTGGTTATATATAATTATGTTAGTTGTAAATTTTAATTACATACACATATTGAAATAAGTTGATGTTTTAACATGGTTTGTAGGGAAGTCAACAGCATAATAACATTTTTTTTTTACATTGAGTTTCATTTAACTATTCAATACAATTTTTTATGTAAACACTTTTTTCATAAATACCTTATTAAAAACAATACGTTGATAAAAACACTCGTGCCTTTTGTAGCCTGATAACGCTTACTTTCGAGTAAAATATAAAGCAAAAACAAAAAAAAAAACAAATCGCTAGAGCACATAAGCGCAAACTATTCGTTTATTTAGTATTTCTGTCACCAAAATGAATTATAGGAATTTAAATTTTTTCACTGTCATCATTCTATTAAAATACATTATTCCTAACCTATAAAACGTTAAATGTTTAAATGTCTAATTTTTTCTATTCGTTTAAAGTTTTCATATTGGCTAATAAAATGCTAATGAAAAGTTTGCCATCTAAAATAACTCTCTCTCGAACAATACGTTTATGATAGTTCTAATTTTCAGATTTTATATTATTCCGAGAAATATATTTAAGCTACACGGAAAAGTTAACAGTGCACTATTTAGAACTTTAGCACCCATATATGATTAGTGCTGGTGCTTTAAGTGCAAGCAAACTAAAATAATTAGGTCTGTAATTCTAGCGATTCATCCAATATTTTTTCCAACAGCTTGCACGCTAGCCTTATAACAATATAAATTATATTTACACATTATGAATAATATTATAATAGAAATTTTACTACAATGTGTCGTTGATTTTCTTAATACTATTAATTGAGGTTAAGTTTCTGCGGGCCTTGCACCATAATTAAACATTTATAACATTTCGTAAACTCTTGTACGAAAAAGCAAGCACGCTAATATAATTTGGCCAATTTTAATTAACACAAGCAAGTTTTCATTGCATTAAAATTCATTTCTTTATTTTATATAATTTTTTTTTTTTTTTTTTTGTTTTATGCCAATAAATTAATTTCGAGAAATTGTGAGTATGGCGCTTGCCTTATGTGCAGACATTTTGACACTCATGCGTTATTAATTCACTTTGTTTTGCTTTGTTTTGAGCAAAATCCAACTGCACTATACAGTTATTTCATGTGTATGTCAAAACGTTTCGCATATAAAGATTTTAGTTTGGAATGTGGGATAATAAATAAGTAATTAAATTTTTTTATATTTATGCAAACATAACTAAATACGCTATATGAAAGAAACATGTGTTTACTAGCGCCAATTGATAGTAGGACGGTTAAAACGATGCAAAGCTAACGATTTTTGAAATTGTGATTTGAGTTAAATGAAGTGTGCTGCTGTGTTTGGTGCACAGCTGTTGCAAAACGAGAGTCTTAAATGTGCTTATGCATTAATTATTAAATTAATGTTAATTTTTCACTTTCGCAATTGCTTATTTAACAACAATAAATCAATCACATATAAACCGCTATCCCTTGTGCCAAATATTAGCATTTAATACTTTCACTATTAATTTCTCTATGTATGTTAAAAAGCCTACAAATCAATACTATTTTATTTACGCTGAGCTGTACACGTTTAAACGCTTTATTTTCTATTTTCTCATGAATGCCTCGCTCGATATCCGCCCACCACCGTTGGTCAACAATTGCTTCACTTTTGCAATATTTATGCACCATTTTTTAATTGTATTGCGTACACATTATCAACTGTTTAGCATATTATATGATTTTTAATAAGTTGTTTAATTTAATGTTAAGCAATTTGTATATATGTATATATATATATGCATTTTGTTAGTTTATACTTTTAACATAATGTTGTCTTTATATTTAGAAAATATCCTTAAGCTCCACTATCGACATGTTGAATTCCTTTCGTACTAGTTACTGATCCTTAGACAATCCTAAGAAATTTTCTTCTTCCATTTTTGAGAGGAATTTGATGGCTCTATGCTGTGGTTCCGTTTGTCGCGCCATATCAATCAGTCCGAGTAATGTTTTGATTCCAATGAATATTCTATGCAACAAGAAAGCACAAATGAATGAATTAGCAGAAATTTTTTTTTTTTTTTTGTTTTTGTTTTGTTACTCACTTTTTGCCAGACATCTTCTTGCCAATAGCCTGCAATTCGCCCTTGCTGAATATCTCGGCATGTTCGAGCACGGCTAATACATGTTCTGGACTAGACAGATTGGGTACATGCAAGATGGAAGTGAACGCCGTCAACATTTCCATTTCCTCCAAAACCGCACTAGATGCATGCCATGCAAAGTACACAATTATTTTAATAAATATTTTAAGATATAAACTGTTGTAGTCGCCTTACCGTCTGCTTGAAGTAACCAAGATGAGCAGTTTGCGTCCTTTTGGCGGCTGCTTCTTTAACAAAACCAACAATGCTTGCAGTGTCAAATTGGAATAACGTGGACCAATTGAACCGTAGTCTAACAAACGTTCAACATTGTCGACAACAATGCAACTTAAAGTGGAACGGTAAGCATCATCGAATATCTATGGTAAAGCAGTAGAGTAAAATGTTAGGATAGATGTTTCTTTCATGCGATCAGCTGTTTTATATTTACTTTTCGAATGTGTAAGCATTTGGCCGATTCGGTATAGCCGACCATATCTTCGGGTGAGCATACTTTAACGAATGGAAAATCTGACATTTTTGCCAATTTAGCAGCCAATGCAGTTTTGCCAGAATTGGGTGAGCCCTCAATAAGCACCGACACCAGGCCGGAGCTTTCGGTCGCCTTCGCCTGTTGCACATATAGCATACCGTCCTCAAGTAGACTGGCCACAGGTTGTCCCCAGTTGATTATGCCACGTGATAGCATGTTATCTAATATCTCCTGTGCTGTACCGAATGCCTAATGGGATACAATGCAATTAACTAATATTGAGTTAGAAGTTTTTTTTTATCTAGCAGTTGTCAACCTACCGGCTTAATGTCATTCTCTAGCGCGTGCATGAAATCAGAGCGTGTAACTTTAAGCTTCTCCATTGCTTGTGGATCGACATGTACCTTCGCGTCGGCTTTAATCAGCCGATTCATAGCGGTAGATTGTGCTGCGCGCACCAAACCCTCCAGCTCAGCGCCACTAAAGTTCTTCGTTAATGTAGCAATTTCCTTCGAGTCAACATCACCGGCTATCTTGTTAAATTCCCGCATACGCTTCGTATGTATATTTAGAATTTGCACACGACCTTCTTCGTTCGGCAAACTAATCTCCATTTGCACCTCCAAGCGACCGGGTCGCATCAAAGCTTCGTCAATCATGTCACGTCTGTTTGTCATGCCGATCACCAGTATGTTGTTCAACTGTTCGACACCATCAATTTTAGCAAGCAATTGATTGACTACTGTATCGTGTACACCACTATTGCCAGCGACCGAGCCACGAGCTTTGCAGATCGCATCTATTTCATCGAAAATTATAATATGCAAGCCGCTGTTGGGACCAAGCTGCAAGCAATGTGAATTATATTGTTTTTTTTTTTATTTTTGTTATGAATATTTTCTGCTTACCCGTTTTTCCTCTTCCTCAGCCTCGGCAAAGAGTCGTCGTATATTGGCCTCCGATTCGCCTACGTATTTGTCCAAAATTTGTGGTCCATTAACAATTTTCGGCTCGCGCGCATTTAACATAGTGCCAATTTGACGTGCCATCAGCGTTTTACCAGTACCAGGTGGGCCATACAAGAGTATGCCTTTAACGTGTTTGCAGCCCAGCTGCTCCACAAGTTCCGGTGGGAAGACACGGGATGCGAAAGCACGTCGGAATATTGCATTGAACTCCTTATCCAAACCACCGATGCCCATCTTGCCGAAATCCCAATCGGGATTGATAATTGATTGGCGTACAATTTTACCCTTTGACTTGCCTTGCAAGTTTAGCGAGGAATTCTCAGCTTTCTCAAATTGTACGATTGTATTGCCCAGTATACGGCCAAAGCGTACATTTTTAGTACTCGTTTCTTTGCCTTCGCCAAGTGATTTGGGATCCACAGCTAGAACGTGAAAACAAACGTTATTAGTGCCAAAAATTTCGAAAAAGAAAAACAAAATTATTGCAAAACGGTTGAGCTGAGTAAACAAGAATTACTACCCAAATCGCATCAAACTTTTTTCTTTGTGTGTTGTGGGGTTTTCAAACTTACCTTCTAATGTTTTGACAGCAAGTCCTAGCAGCTTTTTACCCTGAAAGTCAAAGACCAAGGTCTGACCAACAGTTAGTGGCATACCAGCAAATTGCATTAAAAATTCTTTAGCCATCTGGTCAGAGTCATAGGGTTCCTGGGAGGTACTGCAGATGAGATATTAAAGCAAAATTAACAATTATATGTTTATGTTTACGAAAGAGAGTAGTGAATAAATCGATAATGTGAAATATTGCATAAAAACTACTTTACATTTTCTTCTGCAAAAAGTCTGTCTCGAAGGAGACAAGTGTTATGACATCGGAATTGGCATCAAAACGATAAGGTCTCACGTCGATATCCTGATTGATGGATAGTGTGGCCCATTTTCGTTGCACTAGCGAAAATCCAACATGACCCCGTGCCACCTCATTCGTATGCAAAAGTGCAAATATATAATGTTGTCCAGGACCAGGCGATATGTCGGCATACCTTGAAAAATGTTACAAATTACCGTTATATACTATGGAAATTATTTTATGCAGTTAATATATTTTTAACATTTTTTTTTCATACGTACTTAACATCCTCTGGAAAATCGTTAATATTCACGATGGCCTTGTTTGTTACCGACAATTCGTCTGTGGGACATTTTGTTGCTTTCAAACGCTGTAAAAAGATATGTCAATTAATTTTAACACCGCAATTGACTTATGAAACTGTTATTCAACCTACGTAGGACATTTTGCTATTACACACTGCACAAATAGAATTCAATTATTGACTATCTTCTTAATTGCGAAAGTATCTAGCCCGACTGCTGCTTTGGAGAAAAAATCCAGGGAAAATAAGGGTAGCTGCTTGTTCTTTCACTGCTTATTCCGAATATCGATCCATAAATTGACATGTATGCAATTTACCTGCGAAGCAAAAATTCCAAAATGAACTAATCCATCGAAATCTTTATAATTCTTGTTTGCTTAAATTTATTATATTTATATCATTAGATAAAAAAAAAACGTTAAAATATTATTAAAATATATTATAAAGAATTGTATAGTATTTTTATACAATAGCATAAGAGCAGTAACATAATAACGTACAAACTATCCTCAATATTCGAATTACGGAAGTCAACAATCATGTTGAATGAACATTTGACAGTTGTTTTCTTAATATGTTATCTTATATTAATATGTTTTGCATAATATTTTGAATTAACAATTATGCAATCTTCTGTTAAATTTAAACAGTTTTAAAGTTTGTAAGAGTCTTTACAATGTAAAGTGTATTAATAAAAATATATCGTATATTACGTTTACGATATAGTTATAACATGATATTTGAAAAAAAATAGCATGCTATAACTAGGAAGTAATTATTTTTGTTACATACAGTTGTGAACTGTCAAAAGTTTGTTTATGTTTGCATGAAATGCGTCAACTACAAGTATAAAAATCCTATGCTAAATCATATTTTCGTGACACACTTAATAAAGATAACGAAAATAGCGTCAAATATGAAGCTAATATTCTGACAATCTAGCTGTACTAATAGCAATTTAATACATGCAATGATTACACTGATTGAACTCATTGATCCTACTCTTTTAATACATATTGTGTTGGAAGAAGACATGAAATAATTTTTGTAATAACTACAATGTAACACGTCAGTATTTATGGTAATTTCACAACGCCTCCCATTGTTTCTCCACCGGAAGCTATGTCGAATGGAGATGGTACAAATCAGGCGGAATTGCTGTTAACATCTTACTAACTTCCTATATGCCTTTCATCACCGCCGTATCGGTGCTAATTGCAGCCACGAAGCACTCACTTTTTAGAATCTTGGAAGTACACGCCAATTGCAATCGTGTTTTTTAACAACACACAATTGTTAGTATTAATTATTGTTTTTGTATGTCTTGTCGCTGTTATATTAATATCACTTATTTTATTTAAATAGATTTTTAGTGTAATTATTCACTCCATGAGCACTTTACTAAAAATTTAAAACCGATTTCAGCTGTATATTTGTAGGTGCTTGATGATGACATATGCACATAAAGTTGCCAGATGCGATCGTATTAAAGCAAATATAAATAAGAATAATTTTAATGCTTTAAGTCTTAAACCTTTGATTTCATCTGTATCTAAACTTCCAAAGAAAGACATTTTACACAATTTTTTTTATAGTTGTCTTTATTTTTTATTATCTCTTATATGTATCAAATATTCATTAACGCGATTAGTAGACCTCTTAATATTCTATAACCTGCTTTGCATGAATACACATTCGCGTTTAATGAGAATGTAAATCACATGTAATTACGTCGCGAATATTGAGAAGTTCCCTGGTATCCGTGCTGTGAGCCCCCACCACTTGGTCCAGGTGGCATAGGCGGTTGTACATTTGATGGGTAATGTGAATTTGTATTCAAAGCTGGGCCTCCCCATGGTGCTGCTGGTGCCATATTATATGGTGCTATAGGTGGTGGAAGTGGTGGTGGTACGACATTTGATGGTCCACCAGGACCTGCGTAATTATGTGGTGGCGGTTGAGGTGGAGCAGGAACTGATGAATTATAAAGCGAGTGTATTGGATGCGCAGTTACTGATGAAGGTGGCGGATACATGTTGTGATAAGTTGAGGCCATACCGACCGTAGGTATAGCGGCAGGTTCTCCTACTGTGGGTGGAACTGGGCCAGAATTTGCCAATGATCTAATGGTCTGAATATTACTTAGCTCACTAGCAGCTGGTATCGCGGATTGCGCAATTGTGGCTGAGTTAAAAGTACTAGGTTGTGTTGGTTTTAATTTTGCAGCGGGTGAACCTGTGTTGGCAATGGTAATGACAGGTTTTGTTGGTGTAGGACTATCTGCGCGACTAGGTGGTTTTTGCGGTGGACTATTGGATTCAGGTGTCTCTTTTTGGTTGGGTTGATATAAGTCTAAAACTTGATGGCATATATCCTCAAGTATCTCCATTGTTACATCTGATACAAACATGTCCCACCAACGGTTATGATTCGGTTGACGTCCAGCCCAATCGGCGACTGTAAATTTGCTCAGCTTACTGGCAAGATGGATAAGTGCTACTGCGATGATTTCGGGTTCCCATTGCAAGCATACAACTGTGCTAAGGGAGTCATTAACGAAATTCCAAGCCATTTGCACCATTTTTTGTAATTTCACTTGATCACCACGGAAGCATTTCGCATATTTTAAAAGAAATGTGTAGGGGTGTTCCACTTGCAAGTCAAATTTTATAGTTTGCAGCAAAATGCGCTCCAATGTCATAACCTCCTACAACATAATAGAAACTTCAGTTATTAATCCAACAAAAAATACATAATTTGCACTACTTACTTCTTTGGGATCTTCTCCGAAGGAATAAAAATAGGTATCTGACAGCAAAGTCCTTGCTATTTTTATTATGTCACGACACTTCTTCGGTGTTTCTTCAACTTTACCAGCAAGAAAGAGGCAACAGCAAGCAGTAACATATCTTGGAAAACTTTTGAAGGAATGAAACATATAAAAGCGATGAAAATACACTACACCGGTAGCCATAGTGTTGTGACCTAGTCCCATCTCTGTGCCACAATTCATTATAAAGCGTGCGCCCTCTTTGCGGTAGCGGCGTTCAGTTTCAAACGATATTCCATCCAAAATGGATGGTGTATCACGCAGCTCCTTTTTATCCCAATACCAACAAGGCATATTGTTTACTCTTTAATTGCAGGAATATACAATAAATCTACACTTTTCACTCACAAAATTAGCTAAAACAACTGTTGACCAAAGTGACAGCTAAATGTTTTTGATAAGAGTTGCTATTGTAATTTTGATATTTACGTACAGTGTTGCAATTTAATACGTTTCTACGTTATGCTATTTCGTAGTTCGAAAATCTTATCTGCTTTGTTCAATAGTTTGCCTAGTTTCCGGTAGATGTGTAAGTTATGGCCGGAAAACGAAATAACGTTGCTTTAGCAAAAGAGATAAAACAACAAAATAATTTAAAACGTGGCATGGCCGTCATACATGAAATTTGTGAAAAAAAATTTTTGTAGCGCTTTTTTTATAAACCTATTAATTCATAAACATTTAAATGTTGGTAAGTAATTTAGCTATATATAAAAGCATTATCTAATTTTAATAATATGTTGAATTTCTGCAACAAGCGTTTACAAAGGAAATAGCTTTTTTGTCAGTTGCCTTTCGTTAAACTATTAGAAGGACTTTACAAATCAAATTCAAATATCTTGCACTGGGTTTCACGAAAATTAGTAGCTGTGTAAGTAAAAGACATTTCGTTTTTCTTTATTTCGGATTTCATCAATATCTTGCTTTGTTGTTGATTATTTTATTTGTATATAATTTAAATTCATAAAATTGAATATATTAAGTTTAAAATATAAGTAGATGTATAAGTAAAAAAATGTATTCCACATAGCGTTTTCATAGTTGGTATTTCTTCATTCCTTTGTTTCTATAGTTTAGTAAGTTAAGTTACAATAGTTTAGTTAAGTTAGTTTAGTAGAAATGTAACTAGGTTCATTATTCATTAAATCAATATTCCTCTCAGCTGTACCATGTTGTTATATTTTTATGATACATATGATGTATTTTATTTTATTTTATTTATGTGTAACCTTATATATTTTTTTAATAACTTCTCTTAGAAGAGATTGTATTTTAATTTTATTAAAGCCCCAATACGGAATGAATATTTATGCTATTTTTATACTGACTTTTCATTTGCAATATTCTTTTCGCTTTCCTTTGTTTTGTATTAGCTTATGTTAATAACTTTTGTTCGTACGCAACTTTGCCCTTAAGATTTTATGACTAAATTGGAAAGAGTTTGAGAAGTTTGCGTTTGTAGATTTTTAATGATTGACCTAAGTGTATGTTGAATTATGAATTTATTTGTAATGGGAGTAATTTTACATATGTATTTATATTAGTATGTATGTATGTAAACATTTGTAGTACAATACATGTTATGCATATATTATGTAGCTACATATTTGCCATACATAGTGCACGATATATATTATATAAATATGTAGGTGATGTAAAAGTGCTAATAGATTTTAGTAGTGAACTTTTAGTTATTATTTTTTGTTTTTCTTTTGAGGAAATTGTCCAGCTAAGGAATCGTGATATTGGTGTTGTAGTTGTTGTTCAATGATACAATGCATGCGTGTACTCTTATATCATAGACACTTAAAATTTAATTAACATTATTTTGCTTATAAATTACAATTTATATATATATATATATATATGTATTATATATATTAATTTTTTATTAACTTTTAGAATTGCTTTAGTAGGCGAATGCTATTTGTAATCTAGGAGTTGTTTTGAAAAAATAATAATATAAAGGTCAAAATGCTGTAAAAGCAATTTGGTAACACTAAACTGCTACGGAAAATTGGTAATTATGAATCGAATAAAATTGAAAATTAAATTAGAATTTAAAATACAAATAAAAATAGTTTAAAAAATATTAACTTTAAATAAATAATAACTTTTAAGAGGTGCTTGACAAAAAGTATAGAAATAATAAAAAAAAATTTAATTAAGATTATTTTCTGACATTTTTGCTTCTGTACATTTTTAAATTTAATCACTGGTAGTTGAAGTGTTGGTATAGTGACGTTTTAAATAAAATACACTCAAAACTCGTATACACAAATATGGCACAAAGCAGCTGGTTATTTGAGATATATTAGTTTACAAATAATTGTGACGTAGCAGGAAATAGTTTAATTTGCAGTGTATTATTGTAGATTGAAATATGAACACAACTTTCTTTAGAGATTCAAACAGTAAAGCTATTTCCACACCGAATAGCGGAAGAAATTTTAATGATGAATATTTTCGTAGTGTTGATCATTTACTTTAAGGTTATAGCAAAATTTATTTTATTAAAATTTCAAATTGTAAACAAATTCAACCTAATTTTTTACGATACCAAAATAATAGCTCAGAAACACGGTAATTGCAGATGGACGACTGTGTACTCGGTTCGGGCCCACATACGTTATACATACATAAGTTTGCACGTACGTATATTCAAATAATTTTTTAACAATCTTAATAATAGTCAAACGAAATTGTGCTAGATGGTTATGTTATGAAATTAAGAAAATATGTGTTAATTTTGTATATACGTACATATATTTAATATACATAAGTATTTATTTATAAGTATGTTATAGTATTGTGATTGTGATTCTGTTAGTTTTAGAATTAAGTGTGCTTTTGCTATATCTTTAAAATTATTAATATTATCATTAATACTAATCAATGATCTCGTTTTGTTATTATAATTTTTTTTTTTTGATATTTGAGTAATTTCATATGCAGCTTTACGCTAATCACATCTTAACGTCCTTTCCACTGTTGCGAATTTAATTGCTGCTTATGCTAAATTTTTTTTAAATGTTACAAAGTGCAGTTTTGTGTATTTTTTAATAAATCTCTGGCAACAATAAATGTCAACTCTATTTATATTTCATTTCACATACCAATTTATGTAATTTATGCGTGAAACTTTTTAATCCATTACAATTTCGTAGTGCTTGTACGAGCGTTTCGAAAGGTGAATAATGTTGCTTCAAGAGTCACTCTGTAACATTTGGTGTATTTAGATTTTCAAGTAAACTTTACATTGCATATCTATATTTTTAAAAATTTTGATTGTGTATATGTATACAAAAATGTACAAAATGATATCAGCGTTGGAAAAAATTTGCGCGCCAATCAAAAGTTGAGCGTTAAGCGAATTTTTTCTTTCCCTGGTACTATTTCTACAAATTTGTTTGCTTTCACGCTTGCAATCTGATCTCACGTATCAATCAACTGTATTTAGCATATATTATATATATATTTTTTTGCCAGTTTCGGCTTAATACTCAATATTGCACATTGGAAATATATTTCAAAACCACTATCTAGTTGTTAGCTTTGTACGCAATCGCTACAAACAACTAGTTTTCTTTAATTTATACCCGCATATATGTTTTTTTTTCAGTTTTAACTATTTTTCAAAAACATGTGTGTTTAGTACACTTTTAAAAACATTTGCATTGCGCTGAAGATGAAATTTTTATTATGTTTATTTCTTTTTTTTTTTTTGTGACAATGCGATTCGATATTTGCTGAAGGTTGATTAACTGATGTTTAATTCTTAGTAACCGTATGCTATGGCAAAGAAGATTCTATAAGTATTTCATATTTTGAAAATTATAATTATCGCATCGTATATGATGTTTAGGTATTAGAACTCATGTGCTGTTATACACATTAACAATGCGTAAAGAATAATCGCTAGTTAGAAGTGGCACCGACAATGACACACTGTGTTTTCTTTTTGTGACACTCAGTTTTTCGTTTTTCATAAAGGTGATTTTAAATTGAATCCATTTTAACTATTCAACTCATATATTGTAGTAGTTATCAGCTCTTAATGAGTGTGTGAACGAGTTTATTTGAAGTACAGGTTCTACCACGCCGAAACAATCTCAATTTGTTTGCACATTTCACTGCATGCTCTAATTTCAATTTCATTCAAGTTAAACTTCGAAAATCCAATTCTTCAAATCTGTGCTTATCACACTTTATCTTGTTTGCATTTGTCTCTTCATTTTATTACTAAATTATGTTTAATTTTTCGAGATATATTATTAATAATTGCTAGTTAATTATTATTTTTTTATTTATTTTATGTATTTCATATTTCCTATTAAATAAGTACATGTAAATTTATTTATCGAACAAATAATTTAATTATTAAAATTGTAAAAAATTAAATAAGTTACAATTATTCGATTATATTATTATATTTATCTATGTTTAAAAATTCATTTAAAATGGCATAACATAATGACAACAGTAGTTAAAAAAAAGTTTCGTTTAAGCACAAAGTACAGCATTTCTTTTTATATACAATAACATAAAAAAATAATTTCATTACTTACACTTAAATAGATATTACAATACATGAAATGCAATATATATATATATATATATTATCTTATCTTTTACATCTTTTAAGCATTAATTCATTTATGTTGTTTCATACCATTCCTAGTAGTTTAAAATTCTTTATTTATATTTTTGATTAAATTTCACTTGTTGCTTTTCTTTTGTTTTCAAATTAAATGCTCTCAAATGCTATTTGCTTTAAACATTAACTATACATTCACATAATTTTAATTAATTTGATTTTGAAATGTAAAAATACTCCTATAATTTGCCGTTAAATTGAAGGCAATTGTTTTTTGTTATATTGCAAAGGAAAAACACATAAATCAATGGTGAGTTTAAATTTTAAAATGCATTTCAGTATTAAATTGCGGCGTTATTAAACACACGTTTATATATCGTAAATATGCAGCATTTCTTTTTTGTTTGCCTAGTTTTGAATTAACGTGATTTTAAGTGTTTCATTATAATTATTATTTAATATTTTCACGACTCCCATTTTTTACATGATACTTGCACTTCTTGTAACACTGTCCGCGTGGAATTTAAATTGCTTTGCTTTTAGAGAAATTCAGTGTGTATTACATTCATAAACATTTTTACTTAGTGTTATTTAATAATTACGCTGCTTAATTAGTGCTTAGCAAGCTTGGGACCTTATAATATCTGTATTGTATTTTTATTAATTTGATTTGGCATCAAATTTATATTAATCGCAATTATACTTATGTAGTTTTGTTATTAGCCTTTTGACATGAAACACACTTAAATGTAAGTCCGTTTACTTTGATCTTTCGTACTGCACTTTTTAACTATAATTTTAATATTTATATGTGTGTTTTTTGCTTTTCTTTTGCGAGTATATGTATAGGTTTGCATTGTCATTATACATTTATACATAACATGTGTTATGCATTTGTCATTCGCTCGCACGCCGTACACATTTCATTGGAATATTCATACATACAGAGGTGACATTTGTTGCCGAAAGCGAAAGTTTTCAAAGTAAGTAAAAATACAAATTTGAAGTTATGAAAGCAAATCTTCACAAGTATTTTCTGAAAATATACGTTGCATTATTTTCCTTATTTATAAAAGTGGGAGAAATATGATGTGATAAGGTAGAATTATTGTAAAAGTGACTTGGTTTGTTTTCGCTGTCAGCAACGTTATGTTTTAACACCGTAAATATTCCAACAACAAGCAGTTTGCTTTGCCAACTTTTTGGCCATTCAATTATGCCATTCACAGTTTTGTCGTTTCACTGATTCATAATACATAATTTATGTATTTTACACTAAGCTTCTGTTTTGCACTCTTTGTTGTTTCTTTTATAAAACATATGAATATATTTTTTGTTACTAAGTGGTTTGTAAACATTATAAATAAATATTTAATTGTTATTAAAACGTTCCAGTTTGAATCTAAACGCATTTTCACTTCCTTAATGTTCGGAATGAGCTTGGTGAATATTGATCAAACGATAAAAATGTCACTGGTTTTGAATATGCTCTGATTCTTACATTTAAAAGTTGGCAAAACATATAACTCTTAAAGAACTTGTACTTGCTCAACACAATAAGACTGTTTTAATACCTAAACTCCATTATATATTCATCATAATTTTTTTATTTGTAACTATTTTAATTTTTTATGTCTTTATCTAAGTTAACAAATTTTCCCCATGTGTGCAATTTATATTTAAAAAGTTCTCCAAAAACTGTTACCAATTTTCCACCGTGCTTTTTTGCTATGGGACACTGGAAAAATATTTTACTGCCAACAGACCGTTTATAGAGAGAGTTCATTAAAAATTATCTTTTAGTTAATGGTGGCACCAGAACATAACAGCTTGACTGATCCAAGCTTGCTTTAAAAAAGTGAAGAAAGTTGAAATACAAAATGTATAAGTTTGTATGAGTTTCATGTCGCTGGTTTTGTATTTTGTGAAAAAAATATTTTTTAATAATTAAACAAAAACACCAGAATAAGTGAAAAAATGTGTAGGAGTACCAAAATGGAATGCCATTTTAAATAAATAAAACTCAAGAAATTTTTACAGGGTCCTTAATTTTTTTTTTATATATTTTTAACGTCGCTTATTAAAGTAAATGTATGTTTACATTAAAATGTAGTCCATAACTAAAGATAGTATGTATTATAAAAACAGTAATGACTGGCATAGTTTTTTCTTGCATTTTGTTTTTTCAATATTTTACAACAACAAAAGTTGTAACTTGCAATAGGTGCTTGGCTTAAATAATGCTTTGTTTTTATTTTATATGTAATTTCTTTCATTAACTTTAAACTTGAATGAATTAATAAATGGTATTTAACATTTTGCATAATTTAATTGCATTGCATATTTGAACGTATGTAGGTATTACACTTTCAAAGTTTTATGCATCCCTCTACATGTCTCTCACATACATATATCGTTTATTATTGCATATGAAATATTCATAACTTACACACTTTAGTCTAATTACCCGTTATGCGCAGTTGTGCCTCCTTGACTATTTATATGCTCTTCACTGGGTGTTGGCGGTTGATCTCTCCGCGGCGGCATGCGCTCGTTCACAGCATCCAGACCCTTCGCTTCGGCAAATGAAGTGATCTTGTGATTGGGCGAGAAGCCTTGCATCGCATTCTTCAACGACTGTTTGCCACCAGATAGTGCGCCCAAAGGTAGTGCACCAGTTGGTGTGAGTCCCTTCAATTGCAGTACAGATTCAGATTCTTCACGTAACACTGAGAATACACGCGCCATTTTACCGATCGCACGTATTTTATTTCGTATGACTTCCTTGCGTAACGCCGCTTCATCATCGGAGCACGGCTCTTCACTTTCCTCGGTCATGAGTTCATCGTCCGAACAAATATTCAATACATTCACCAGCATCTCGGTAACTTTCTCGCCCACGAATGGCAATGACCAAGTGAATACGTCCATGAAATTGGGAAGCCAGTAAGGATGTGGAGAACAGTTGAACTGTCTGATGTTCATTACATTATTTTCATATTTCAACACCGCCGCTTTGTTGTTGTATACATCTAAATAATTCGGTGCCGAGAAGATAGTAATTAGCGATGGGAACCCAGTGGTTTGACTTTTGCGATACATGCGATAGCCGGCGTCCTGCGCCTCGTGTGCACGTATAATCGATAAAAGATTGTTATTTTGCAAAAAGTCACAGCATGCTGCATAACTATAGAAATACGAACAGCCGCGCACCGAGTTGTGCGAGTAAAAGTCTGAATTTTTTTCGTTACCGAAATCCTCTAAGGGATCTGACCATAACAAATCGCACATAGGTCCGAATGCTGGTGGCTCCTTAAATCTATCCAAACGACGTATATCTTCCAGTTCGTGTATTTCCGGTGACAAACCACCATGGACACACAGAAATTGTTGATTCATTAAAGCCGCTAGAGGTAAACAATCGAAAGCATCCATGCATGCATCATAAACACGTTCCGAGTATTTGATCTTACACTCTTGTTTGAAAGTGAAATACTCTGTTAAATGTCGGCATTCGTGATTGCCACGCAGTAAGAATAATGTATTCGGGTATGTGATTTTCAATGACCACAAATACAAAACACACTCAATACTAAAGTAACCTCGATCCACATAATCGCCCAGGAAGAGGTATTTAGTGGAGGCTGGTGACCCTCCTACTTCAAATAATTTCATGAGGTCATAAAACTGTCCATGTATATCACCGCATACGGTCACTGGCGCCTCGATGTCTATCATAGTTTTTTCTTGCCGCAACAAAGCAGCCCCCTCTTGAATAATTCGTAATGCAGGTGCCTCCTCTATGCGACCTTCAAGAATGAAATGCTGTTTTAATATGTCATGATTAGGTTTGCCAGTTCTCAGATCAAACACTTCGGTCATAGTTAACTTATGGCTGGGTGGAAATGGAACATTATCAATTACACGTTCCTTTGTATTAACAGCAGGTGTTTTTGCAACTCGAGTTGGACTATCTGCTGGTCCACCAGCAGTCGTTGTAGCGCTGCTGCCACCAGCAGCAGATGGAGTGTCTGTTGGAGCACTGCGCTGATCTGAAACCGCACTTGTTGCCCCACTAGCTGCATTTGCTGTATTTGAACTGGGGTTTACACCCTGCGCGGCGGATGATTGATTATTCGAAGACATTTTTTTCTTATAGAATTGTTTTTACTTATGAGCCTAAAAATAAATTGCTCAGAATTCGAGCACTTATCTTGATCACTACACCACAATATAGAGGTATTACCTCTGAAATTTTAATATAATATGATGCGCGAATTTGTTTGTGATACAATTTACTGTGTCTGCGTAATTTTGATTTTTTCCGTATTTAGTGATATTTCATTTTTTTCCGCACTGCTTTATTGATATTCCTCTTTTCGTTTCTGTACGTATACTCCTTTTCTAGGTCTCTTTTCAATCACTGTTTTCTTGCACTGTCTCCCTTTTTCACTACTTGCTTGCCTTGTACCTGTTTTGCCTTTTTGACTGCTACTCGCCAATGCACTACTATTGCTCTTTGCCTTATTTTTTTTTACCTATCGTTTTATTGCACTCTGCTCACTGCCAGCTTCTGCAAAAAAATTTTTATTCCACTGGCTACGTTAGTTTTTCTACTTTTTATGAAAAATTCATCTTTGCATCGTTTACTTTTAAACTTCACTATTTTATATAATTTTCTAAACGATTTTTATCAAGTTTTGTGCTAATTTGCTCAAGTCCTAAATGGTGAAAAAATTTTCATTTCTTTTCTATTTGACAATCCAATATTACAGTGTTGCTATATCGCTTTTTTGCTACATGGTCGCATGCGTAGGTCTGTATGATATAAGGGTGCCTTTACAATAAAAGTCGTTAATCTAATAATTTATCTGAGAGAACAATAAAAATTAAAATATATAGAGGTTTTTCCTTGCACTTGATAATGCATTCTTCTCGTGTAACCTTGAAACTTAAAGCTTATAGCTTACTAATTCAGGTAATTTGAATTCTCCACCGGAAATTACATGCCTACGATTCTAATTACTGAATGGACCATAAATTAACCTTGAGACGCAGCAACCAATTGGCTTTTTTTTATTGTTTCTGAAACGATAATGAAAACAAGCTTTGTTTGACTTGGAATTATTTCACGTGTAATCTTCATGTATCTAATAATAATGAAAAACAAAGCTTTTAGCGGCTGAATCCTCTAAGAACTTTAATAACCTAACCAAATATTTATTTATTTCTATCTTTTTCTGCTCGTTTGAAATGGAAAATAAATTGAATGAACAAATATAGACACTTTTATACAAAGGTACGAGCTATTTGTTACACGGCAAGAATTCGGTCAGTTTGTATGACAGATAGTGGTCTGATCTGATGAATTTGTTCGTAGATGACATATAAAATTACAGAGCTTAATCAAAAAAATCCTATTTATATTGAAACGAGTTGTCATGTTCCAAGTTTTAATGATTATGTATAGATATATATTTTTTTACAATAACACTCCAAACGTGACTTTCAGTTTCCTTCATTATCGAAGACTACATATATGTTTATGTTAAACGTTTTTGACACCTGATCAAATTTTACTCGGACTGACAAATCTTTACTAACACCTTTAAAACAGGCTCCCGAGCTAATAAAAGCATGTCAGGCTTAATCCAATTTTTCTTACAGATTTTATAAACATAGTCTGGGATGTGCCTTCAGGAAATTTTAGTTTTTTGGTCCCCAAGTCCCCATCTCGTCAACAGTAATGATGCGTGTAGGATCCTCAGATACGTTGTCGAGCATCTCTTTCGAGACCTCGACATCGTTTTTGCAAAAGATTCAGGTCTTTTGGTACGTGTATATCATTGGCATGCTTTATACCCAAAACATTAAGCAACATTTGTTGAGTCGATCCATTAAATAGGTTAAGGTCCTCTGATATCGCTCTGATGCCAACACGACGAATTCAAGCACGATTTTCTTAATGCATGAAGCAAGTTTTTTATAAATTAACGACCTCGCTGAATGCAGTGTGCCACTCGAATAGTTGTGATCGTGATAAAGTAGACGCCGAAAAACATTTCTGTGATTCCATTAGAAAGAAAGTTTCAAGCAAACTCCTTGTTAAATTGTTTCCATGGTAAAAATCGCCAGAAAAACCTTTCGCGTTTCTAACAAACGGCTGCCAAACACTCATTAATTATAACTAATTATGGAGATCACACGAATATAAAAGGTTATAACAGCCGAGGAGAAAACTTTTTATTGATTGGCGTGTCAATTTAAATGGACCGTCTGGGTTATAGTTGAACAGATGATATTGCTGCTTTGAACTCTATTTATCATATCCAGAAATATTAAATATTTATTGAATAAGTCTAATGACAATATTTAGCCAAGTATTGGATGCAGTGAATTATTTTGGTGACTAACACCCCCTGCATCCAATCACAGTGATTTCCATGTTCCAATATTTATATTACAACTTATTTTACATTTGCAGTCATCACTCAAACCCTCGTTTATGTATATCTGGAATAAAAAACCGCTTATTCTTCTCTCATCTCAAGAAATAGGAGTGTCTGTACCAAGCACCCTATATATGCATATGAAATTATTATTATTGCTTTACTTATGAGTTTGGAATAATTTTTGGTCGTCGTTGTTAATAATTTCACTGAAGAGTTTTTTCGATTGAGCGAAAATATCTTGATTCAAGCTTACTCTTTTCTCACATACTAACAGCAAAAATAACTAATTGTGGACGTTGCACTAACATTAATTTACAACCGTTAATTATGCTCCTTCTAGCAACTGTGTACTGATCTAAAAAACAATCAGCTGTCAAAAAGAAATTTACAAAACATTGTATTGCAATTTTTGAAAATTGTAAAAAAATTTTAATTTATAGGTGTAAAAGCGGAAATGCAGAAAAGTTGAAGTGAAATGGTTGCTAGAGAAAATTACAAAGCCAGTTTTGATAAAGATTGTATAAAATTTTAGAGTCTTCAGAATAAGTAATCGGTACAATTTTTGGTTTAATTTTGCAAAACATTACATAATAGCTGATATTGCAAGATAAATTAAAAAGTTTTAGATATAAAACAATCGTTTGAAAGGAAATAAATAAATGTGCGCATTTTATTTTGAGGATAGGTACTTATATTTTGTTTTGTTTTTGTTTCTTTTTTATTGTTATTATTTTTTTGTTTTCAATTTTGTAGTCTGTAAACGTTTGGTTGTTTTTATTATACTTTTTATTTAAATAACATTGATAATTTGGTTTTGTTACTTAAATGTTTAAAAATTTTATAAGGGATTGCATTAAGATTTGTATACCGTTAAAAGGTAATTTCTTGCTCGCAAATATTTTTTTGTTGATTTTTTTGTTTTCTTTTGGTTTTGCTATTTGTTGTTTTTATAATAATTGTTTATTACTTTTTGCATGACTTTTTAATGCTTTGCAATATGATTTGGATTGTTATTAAGTTGTTTTTGTTTAATTTTTTTTTACGATATACGTAATTAATATGTAACTTTTACAATAAAATTTAAAAATTTTAAAGATTTATCTAGAAATGAAGATGTGCTCTCTGCTACTTTGCAATTTTTGTTTTTTATTTATGGCGTTCTCGATTTTCTTTTTCTCACAATATATGTATTCCCTCACTCAAACTACATTTTTGTGTATAAGTTTTTACGACTTTTTTCGCAACATTCTCTGACGATTACAAACTTGTTCATAATAATTTCCTAATATGTATATTTGTTATATATGTATATGTATGTTATATTTTGATATTATGTGTTTGAATTTCTTGTTGCTTTACTATAGAGACTTTCGCAGCTGCTTTTCGCTATTAAAACGGAGTCAGTGCAATTGTTTTTCGCTTTGCTCTTTGCGATGTCTGTTATGAAAACAAATTTTTTTTTTAATGAAAATGTGTTTTGAGGCATTAAATAAGTTAAACATGTATTGAACAAATGATCGAACTTCCTCTAGTATTTTCATCATAAGAAATTATTATTTTACATAACAAAAATATTGAGGTTAGATTTCGGAAAGGAAATATAAGAACTCTTTCATAATATTGTGTAGTTTTCAAGTATGAAACTTATACTTTCTAACAAATTAAAATAGATTGTTTTAGTCAATTTCAGCTCTGTTCTCTCACTCCTGTTCACAAATTTTTCCTTTTAATTCTTCGAGCTGTAATCAATTTGCTTTTATTTCACTCTTCTATAATTTCAGTTTGTGCTATCATTATGAAAATTAATAATAAGTTCTCATGAGCAAATTTACGAAAAGTTCAAAAACTTATAATATTCAGAAAAAAATTAAAAATTTTTTAGTAATCAAAATTTATTGCTGATCTTCACTGCTCACAAACTGAATTTATAAAATGTGGTTACGTTAATTTAAAAAAAAATTAGGTTTTCTCATGTTTAATAAAAAAGATTATGAAAATATCTCAATTATCTAAGGGGTAAGGTGTAGTCAGAATTTTCGATTTGTCTTGCACATTCTTTAAGTATAATATCTTAGAAATATTCACTGAGTATTTGAAGTAAGAGCGACAAATACTTTGTGAGTCATTCGATAATTAGTAAAGGGGTTTCGGCCGCTGTGGAACGTTTGAAAACAGGTAGCTAGCAGCAGCTGCAAGCGCTTGATAAATTGAGCGTAAAACTTCAAAAGCGTTTTTCTCAAAACTAAGTTTGTGAACTGTGAACATTTCTTGCCATATTACTTTATCAAACTTACGTTCAAAATTTGTGGGTATCATCAATCATTATACTAAGAGTTCAAAACTAATAAATCATCTAACTAAAAATGTTTAATTAAATTCACAGTTATTTGTTTAACGATTTCTAAACATAATTAAAATACGAAAAACGATAACGATAACGATAATTTTTACTTGCGAATTACGTTTTTATGTCAGTACTTATGTGTCTTTATATGTCTACACAAATAAAATTCATTAACAAAAAATAATAATAATAACAAAGTTGTGGGAAAATCAGACACCAATTTTGTTTGAAAACACAGTTTTGCAGCGCTTATATACCGAAAGTCTCTGGTTAATTTTGTGTATTCGTGCATTGAGTTTAAACTGTTTTATCTTTGCTGTACTTTGGGCGATATTTAAAGTTATATGTACGTATTTCTATAATGTAAAGTACTTCAAATTGCTATAAGTTTTATATTTATATATGTATAATAATTTTGAATTAATGAAAAAGTATGTATGCATGTACTTTGCTTTTATTAACTTAGCATTTGCTTTGCTGATTGCGTTGATACTAGTTTCAACATTTTTTCTCTGTTCTGCATATATATATTTTTTGTATTTTTGTTGTATTTAACTTATTCATTTATTATTTATTTAATTTTATTTATTTATTTAGCTTTAATCTTAATTGTAAATTCACATTTCAATTATAAGTAAATGTAATATTATTTAAGAAAAATTTCATTAAATTCTTTATAGTAGATAGTTACATTTCGCTTACATAGAAAGGAAATAATATAAAACCAAAAATGATAGTCTCTACTCATTGATTAACAATTAACTAAGTAATTTTTAATGCGATCTGCACACAATTGGTTAACAATCATTCTTTATTCATATTTTCATTTTATGCATAGTATTTGTAAATATTAATTTGTAGATCAATATAGATTACATGTAATCATTATAAAAATACCAAAATAAAAATTGCTAAGCTTTATGATTATTTCGAGATTCTTTTTCGGCTCGGTCTAAGTAATTGAGAGTTAGATAGATAGATAGAGAGAGAGTGTGAGAGTTAGGCAATATGCATAGTTATACATGTATAGAGCGAAGTGAGTGCGGTTGGACAAACTTCTTATAACGAGAGCATACACTGTTTCACTCCTCAAGCGCTAGAAAGTAGAAAATTTATATATATGTTTGTATCTTATAGATACTACATATACATATACTACGTATGTATGTATGTATATAATCATTGTTAGCAACAGCATCCCTGCCAGTTGAACAGGGGTTTACACATACTATTTTTTTTAACTACATGTTAACTAAAATATATATATTTTTTTTACAATAAATCGCTTTACAAATACGTTTTTTTTTTCTTCTAATTGTTAGGCATTTTTGGAAAATGCATATATGACTTAGATAAAATATATATGTATATGTAGGACCGAGCGAACAGAACGAATAAAGGCAGCAATTACATATGTATGTATGACTACAACGAAGATGGCACGTATAAGACCACAAAACGATCACCAGATGAGTGTGCACGGCGCCGACGCCATCAATGCGTGAAGCTCGCTCCACACATGCCCCCCTACACGACACAAAGCCATGTTAATGTCTATATGTGTGGACGGGTGTGTATGCACTTGAACTGCTTGTATTATATACTAACGGTAAATACAAAATATTACCGTTTTAGCACGGATCACCAATGCAGTAGGGCATCGCCGATGCATGCGTTTCCAGTTTCAGTTACATTGAATAAAATAGCGTACGACCGTGCATCGAAAGTAGGACGAGATGAAATAACAACGACGAGATATTTATTAAATTTTCTATGAAATTCTTTCATTTCCTTCCTTTTTTCTGCTTTTGTTTTCATTTATGTATATTTAATTTAATAATGTTTACTTTTCTTCTTCTTCTGCTTCTGCTATACTTTTGACACAACTCCACGATGCATTCAATTTGTATTTTGATATTTCATACCTAAACTTTTGAATTGTTTATTAACTTAAGAGTTACGCTCATTTCACCGCTTCTTCAAATATTTACGCCACTGGCTGGTGGCTAGACCACTCGTTTACTCGTATATGTATTACCCGTAGTACAACAAACACAATGTTATTATGAAACGTAACGTTGCAATCGGCCGCTTAGGCTAAATACAGACATACATGGCTACTAAAACACTATGGACTTAGAATTATCCATTGATTGCATTCGCATTGGCGTTGGCATTGGCATTCGCCGCTGCTGCAGCGGCAGCCGACAACGACTTTTGTCCCTCCTCAGCGGGCGATGGCGTCGAGTCGCGTCGCGGCGGCATGCGCTCGTTCACAGCATCCAGACCCTTCGCTTCGGCAAATGAAGTGATCTTGTGATTGGGCGAGAAGCCTTGCATCGCATTCTTCAACGACTGCTTGCCACCAGATAGTGCGCCCAAAGGTAGTGCACCAGTTGGTGTGAGTCCCTTCAATTGCAGTACAGATTCAGATTCTTCACGTAACACTGAGAATACACGCGCCATTTTACCGATCGCACGTATTTTATTTCGTATGACTTCCTTGCGTAACGCCGCTTCATCATCGGAGCACGGCTCTTCACTTTCCTCGGTCATGAGTTCATCGTCCGAGCAAATATTCAATACATTCACCAGCATTTCGGTAACTTTCTCGCCCACGAACGGCAACGACCAAGTGAATACGTCCATGAAATTGGGAAGCCAGTAAGGATGTGGAGAACAGTTGAACTGTCTGATGTTCATTACATTATTTTCATATTTCAACACCGCCGCTTTGTTGTTGTATACATCTAAATAATTCGGTGCCGAGAAGATAGTAATTAGCGATGGGAACCCAGTGGTTTGACTTTTGCGATACATGCGATAGCCGGCGTCCTGCGCCTCGTGTGCACGTATAATCGATAAAAGATTGTTATTTTGCAAAAAGTCACAGCATGCTGCATAACTATAGAAATACGAACAGCCGCGCACCGAGTTGTGCGTGTAGAAGTCGGAATTTTTCTCATTTCCAAAATCCTCTAAGGGATCTGACCATAATAAATCGCACATAGGTCCGAATGCTGGTGGCTCCTTAAATCTATCCAAACGACGTATATCTTCCAGTTCGTGTATTTCCGGTGACAAACCACCATGGACACACAGAAATTGTTGATTCATTAAAGCCGCTAGAGGTAAACAATCGAAAGCATCCATGCATGCATCATAAACACGTTCCGAGTATTTGATCTTACACTCTTGTTTGAAAGTGAAATACTCTGTTAAATGTCGGCATTCGTGATTGCCACGCAGTAAGAATAATGTATTCGGGTATGTGATTTTCAATGACCACAAATACAAAACACACTCAATACTAAAGTAACCTCGATCCACATAATCGCCCAGGAAGAGATACTTGGTAGAGGCGGGTGAACCACCGATTTCGAACAACTTCATTAGATCATAGAATTGACCATGTATATCGCCACACACTGTTACCGGTGCCTCGATATCGATCATGGTCTTTTCTTGCCGCAACAAAGCAGCGCCCTCTTGGATGATACGCAAAGCTGCGGCATCCTCGATGCGTCCCTCGAGTATAAAGTGTTGTTTAAGTACGTCATGTTGTGGCTTACCGGTGCGTGCATCAAATACATCGGCCACAGTTAGTTTGCGACTCGGCGGAAAGGGTACACTGTCAATCACGCGCTCTTTAGTCGAGAGACCTGTCTTTTTGGTGGGGCTTTGTTGTGATGGCGTGTCTGAGTTCGCACCACCGGCGCCATTGCCAGCGGACCCATTGCCGCCGGCCACTTTGTCGTGTATGTTATTGTTGGTGGTGGTTGTGCCTGCAGAGTTGGCTGCATTTGATTGCTGTTTACCATTCTGTTGCGCCACCGGCTGATTGCCCGTGTGCTGTGTAACCGAAGACATGTTTGTTGGTTCTATTTAAATTTGCTTTGGTTATACGCTGTAATTTGTTGAGCGATTTGCCAGAAACTGTCTGCGGTGCGGCTACTTTTGGCCGTCGCTAGCAGTGGTAATGCACAATCTGCCTGCAAGTACAACAATTTACATATTTTTAGTTTTTATATTTCTGCCTGCACACTAAAGTAGTATTAAAAAAAAATATTACAAAAAATTGTACATAAAATCGTTTCAGACAAATTAAATTAAATAATTGTATTTTAGAAGCATAGCCATATGCAGTGGCTCAACCAAAAAGGTATTGATGAAATGGGGTATGAATGCCCCCCATTAAGGATATCGAGTTTATGGATGTGTTTAATTATCATATATTATAAGTATTTGAGTTAATAAATGTATGCTTTGCACTCATTGCATTGCAGAGCCTTTTTATTAGGCGCCTCCTCTCTGAAATCCCGGCTGTGCCTTTGCTCATACAAGATATGCTTGTGTGCATTACATACTTTGAACAATAAAGCTCTGTTTCAACGGCACCCATAATCTCAACACCAAGGGTATAATTTTAACATTTGCCATATGAGTAATTTATGTATGAGTATGAGTATTTTGCAATTTAATAAAACCATTTACATGCATACTTTTTTTAGTTTTTTGTTTAATTTCGATTTAAAAACAATTTACAGATAAGGTTAAGTGCATTTGTGGTTAATGAATAGCTCGCAACATATGAACTTTTGCAATCACAGCGGCTACATTTTTCTACAGTTCGCATTTGTGGTCGTAATGTTGTGGCAAAAGCTTTCACTAAACTTGAATCTACTTTGGTATATAATGTGAATGGTTCGTCTTGAAATGCGCTGAATAATGCTTTTAAAAGAAATTATGAATTCAAGAAAAAATATATGTATTCTTCAGAAATAAAAACATTTACATTTATGCCAACGATCATTGCCACTAAATATATAATATGTTTTTTAAGATCATGATATAATTGACGTTTACGCAAATTCGTCTTATATTTTTATGGTTCTTAAGAGAGTTTCCAAAATGTCTAAACCGTACCACGCCTTCTTCTCATACACCAGCGCGATTTTGGTTTCCATTAGCTTATTTGACTTTGCCTGCTTCCGGTTGAACTAGCGTTATATATAGCGGACAATGAACGACGGTACCAAAAATGCATAACGACAGGTCCGTAGCTATCATTAGCCCCTTATAATGATAAGGAATCCTGGTGAATCGTGATCTTGGATCGTGGTCGAGCGAAGTTAGCCGGCGCTAACGGTGGCCAAGTCAGAATTGACTGTCAGGAATGGCTGGCTGAGTGTTTGGTGGGATTGGCAGGGAATCATCTACCTATTAGCAGCTACCCTACGGCCAAACTCTTAATTCGTACCTGTATTGTCAACAATTGGAATATCTGAAGTAAGCAAACGTTCAGAAACGACTAGCTTTGGCTCGCCAGAAGCTCTCTACTCTATAGTTTGGATCTAGCATCAAGTGATTAGTATCTGTGGCTTTATATGGCGAAAAATTCGCCACAAAAGAAGCTTCTGAAACTCAACTGTCCCGGTTTTTTGCCGATAGGGGTAGGATTTCTATGCGTGTGTCATTATGAAATAACTTTCAAAATGGCAACAAGTTATCGAACAAACTAATTATGCTACTATGCTAAAAACCCTTTTTACTGGACTAATTTTAATAATTTCATCTAACATCGGTTTTACGGGCCTCTGTCTTTCGGATTGCGCAACTAATAATCGGCGTTTTCATAATAAAACTAGCATGGATGCTGGCCACGACGGTTTTGCATTTTAAAGCAGATGAGCTTGCCGGAAAAGGCACTTCAGTTTCATTATGAGCAAAATGGGAACAAGTCGGAGTTCCTCTGTCTTCCTTTGATCTTTTTGATTTGCTACTGGGTCGTTGAGCCTCACTTGAGCTTGGCGACAAGCTATCTAGACTTTGGATTTCGCAACTTAACCCACCCAGGTTAGCTATCGTGTATAGAAATAAAACTCTTAAACAGATTAGTAAAGTGTTAAAGGCGTTTATAGATATACTAGAAACAACTATTTAAGTATTCTAATATCACAAAGCAGGAAAGGTCGGAGAGCCTATGAAGTATATACTTGAATATAAATGATCAGCGTGACGAGCTGAGTCGATTTAGCCATATTTGCTGTCCTGTATATATGTTACGTGAACTAGTCCCTCAGTTTTTGAGATAATGTTCTGAAAATTTGCACACGTTCTTTTCGCTTCAAGAAGCTGCTCATTTGTCGGAACCGCTGGCGTCAAACTACTACTTATTAAGTTAATTAAATTGCCAGCACTGCGTAATATTTAGACGAATTAAAAAGTGTCAGGTGTTTTATTGCAATATTGCAAAGTGATGTCGCAATGTCAGCCCCAGTTCTCGGTGATCATTTGTAGTAAAATTCGACGGCGCGCACAACAAATGATAGGTAAAGCAAGCTACCCTTGTGTCTTCCTGCCAAAGTTGTTTGCGGCTCATATCCCTTATTAATTCAAATTATTCATTTTAAAAACAGCATTTGCAAATATTGCTTTGTTTGATAAATGCACCATCAATTAGGCGACGCTGTGTGCACTGGCATTGCAAAGCAAACATATTTGCGATATTTCTCATTAAGTGGTCGCTTATGCATTGCGACGCTGACAGTCGGCATATTTACAATGGCAATGCGGTGTCATAGGCGATTGCATTTTAATCCCGCAAATCCTCTTTAAATTTCGCACACACACACACAACCTAACGGTGGGGAGAGGGAGAGATGAAGTGAGGCGAAATGCAGCAATGCATATTCATTTGCACAAGCCCAAGTAAATTATTTCAATTAATTTAGAACGTAATGAGAGAACGATTTGCTAAAGCACACTTTTACACACACACACACATGCATATATGTATATATGTATGTATATATGAGCGCATGCATGCAGATGCACGAAGGCAAGCGCACACTTGTTGGCAAATAATATGCACTGCCTACCAAAGTATACAAACTGCTATATACTAATGGACTTACATATGTATGTATGTATGCATTGCTTGTTCGTGTATGTGTGTGTGGATGTATGTATGCAAATGTGTTTCTTTTAAACAAATGTGTATTTGGCACCGTTAGCGTTTGCACCCGCATTTAGCGTGTATGTCTATGCACATATGAAATGTAGGTGAGTGTGTGCGTTTGTGTACATATTACTTATACGACATGTGGCCCGCAGCTGAGCAGAAACTTCCATTGTTCAATATCTCGCAAAACAATTGTGACTTTGTTCTTCGTGTTTTTCATTTTGTTTTTTTTTTTTTGTACTTTTAACATATAATTTTAAAATAATTTATTTTACAGTTAGTTTTTGGTGGTGTGTTTTTGTCGGCGACATACCTGTGTGCCGTAAAGCCTAACAAACGTTGCCGCAACGACTTTCATATACACATACAAATCTGCATATGATTACCTTGTATTTTCATATATACACTTTGCTAACTTTTCTAGGCCTTTGGTCAAGCTTGTCATCCGACGTTCGTTCCGCGCGTGTTGAATTTACACCCCAAATGACTTGTTAAGTCAGTTCTGTATGACAAGCAAGATTTTTATGATCATATTTCAGTATGATTATGCCCGTTCAGGTGTGTCGGATATTTTTTTATAATTTTTAATATTGCTGCCGTTGGGTTTTCAACTCAAATCGTAACGTTTGGTAGTCACGCTCTCGGTTACTGTGCATATACATACATATGTGTGGTCTTCATAAACCCAAAAGCTACTAAATTCATAAATTGTACATATATGTATGTATATATAGTAAACATATGTATATATGTCTGTATGTATACCTGTATAGTGTGTTAGACTGCGGTGCAGACCCATAAAAGGTGCAAGATAAATATTTGCTCCTAATTTATTTGTCTCCGGCGCAGAATGTATTGTAAATTTTAAGCAAGCAACCATATTGCTGCATATATGTACATTTAATGTATATATGTAGATTTGGCGCACATATTGTATTTACGAGCCTATCTATATACCATAACAAAATATGCATATATTTCTCCATAAAAACGTGTGCAAGAGTGCACAAATTGTTTAGCCTTTACACTACATAACGTAAAATATGAGGCAACAATATTATTGCACAATATTTCGACACTTCGGAAGATGCTATAAACTTTTTAAATTTTTTATACCCTCATTTATACCCTCAACAGGATATATTAAATTTACGCAAACTTCCTCCATCAGTTTTTGAGATATCGATCTGAAATTTTGCACACGTCATGGTTTCCCCAAAAAGCTGCTTATTTTTCGGAATTGGCCGATATTGGATCACTATAGAATATAGCTGATATAGCCGATCTATCATATACAAGGGCTTGAGTATGAACAATTTTTTTATTTGACGAGATATCCTCACGAAATTTGGCATAGATTATTGTCAAAGGCAAGGCTACAATCTCCGGACATATTGTTCAGATCCGATCACTATAGCGCATAGCTCCCATACAAACTGAAGGATCAAAATGAAGTTCTTGTATGAAAAAATTTGAATTGACAAAATATCTACGCAAAATTCGGCATAGATTATTGTCCTAGTGAACGCAAAAATCTTCGAATAAATAATTCAGATCTATATCTATATCGCTATAACATATAGCTGCCATACAAATCTGATTGACCAATAAAAATCAAGATTAAGAACTTTTTATACTCTTTTATGCCGTGTAGGGTATTATAGTAGTATAAGGCAATTTTTTTTTAAATTAATATTGATATTTAATACATTTATCTTAACTATCGCTTAAATTAATTAAAAAAATAAAAAAATAATAATTTAATTAAATTTCCGGTCATGTTTACGTTTTCTTATTTTCTCGAAATTTGTTGTATTTTGTACTTAGCGAAGAAGAAATTGTAAATCTTTGAAATTATACAAATTTTTCAATAAAAATATGGTTATTATAATAAAAAGATATTTTTTCATTTGTCATTTTTATCGTCTATGTGGTAGAGCAACCAACTTCAGGTCGTAAAGCGTTGTCAAAACTTAAAAAAAAAAATCAAATTATATAATTTTTATACATTTTTGACAATTACCATCT